TTGCTGTTGCTGTTGCTGTTGCTGTTGCTGTTGCTGTTGCTGTTGCTGTTGCTGTTGCTGTTGCTGTTGCTGTTGCTGTTGCTGTTGCTATCGTTGTTGTTATGCATATCTGAGTTATTAGCAGCTGCTAGCATTTGCTTAGTAGCTTGACACTGCTTAGTGCTAGCAGGGAGATAGAACTACACTGCCAGCATTAGTACAGAAGGCGCGAGATTAAAGTGAGCCTATGCAACGCTATTGTAACAGTGCAGGAGCTGGCTTATAGTACTATCAATGCAGTAATGTCTTAATACCTTAGTATCCTGTCACCTTCTGGAGTAAGGAATATAGGTTTCCTTAGCGATGCTAAGCCTGTCGACTGTACAATCAGGTTTCCCACGACCCTAAGCACCAAACCCGACTCAATTGCTACTATAGCTCAGTCGCTTTGCCCCCTCGCTGCGCAACAATCATAGCAGAGCTGTAACCCCGAATAAATGACTACAGCTTTGCTTTCCCCTCCGCTTTCACTCTCGCGTGATACCTATCTCTCATCTCCCTCCTTAGCATCTTGCCCGAAGGTGTTCTCGGAATCTACTGCAGTCAGCAAACGGTCGATCCACTGAGTCGATACAGAACATACCTCATCAACAATTTCAATCCCCCCCGTCAGCCACTTGTGCCTGCTCAGTCGGCTCTTCACCCACTCATCCAGCTTTTGTACTACTTGGGCCTCGGCCAAATTCTTCCCAGCATCCGTGAGCACAACCCACGCTCGCACAAACAGACTCCCGTCTCCTCGCCCATTGTCAACACCCGCTACGCATGCATCTCGCACCAGCCCCTCTGGATGATCCAGCAGCATGTCTTCAACCTCCGTAGCTGCGACCTGCAGACCCTTGACCTTGATCATCTCCTTCAAGCGATCCAGGTAATGGATCCTATCGAACTCGTCTCTCATTACCAGATCACCTGTTCGCAGCCACCCCGGCTCAGTGAAGATGTCCGCCGTCGCCGCCTCGTCCTTGAAATACCCCGGCGTGACAACCTTACCTCGCGCCCACAGCTCGCCCTTCTCGCCCCTCTTCACATCGCGCAGCGTCTCAGGATCGACAACGCGGCCCTCCATGCCCGGCAGGAGATACCCAATCGTGCCCGGCGGCGCAGTCTCAAGCCCAAAGATACCAGGCAGCGCGGGCGAGGCAATGGACGCAGCCTCGCTAAGCCCGTAGCCGGACGGAATCGGAGCGTCCTTGCCCTGCGGCAGTTTCTTCGCGAGCTGGTACGCGACGTCTGGCGGGAGATAGGCGGCGCCTGACACCGCGCCGATGACACTGCTCAGATCGTACTCGTCGGTCAGCGGGCTCTGAGCGAGTTGCCGGATCAGCGGCGGCACGAGGGGGAGCGCTGTGACGCGGTACTTTTGGATGCTTTCGAGGGCGATGCGGAGGTCCCATTTCGGCAGGAGGATGGTCGTGTTGCGCACCAGGTTTATGCGCAGATGCCAGAGTATCATGCCGTAGGAGTGGTACATGGGGATCACGCCCAGGGTTATGGAGCGCGTAGCGAAGGGCTCGATGCCCATGAAGCGCGCGCCCTGGGTGGCGGTGGTGAGGGTTTGGATGCCGGAGTGATAGCCGTTCGAGTGGGTGATCATCATCGCCTTAGGGAGGCCAGAGGTTCCCGAGGATTGGAAGAGATATGCGAGCTTGTTCCCGCCGCGCAACTTCCTCTTCTTTTCTGGCAGCCTGGCGCCTTCTCGCACCAGGCTCTCGACCGTGCGATGATGAGAGACAGTGTCTAGTTGCGGATTTTCGCTCAACACGATGATTTTCTTCATATCCAGCCTCAACTTCAGCGGTAAATCGTCATTCTCACCCGACCCAAGTTTGACCGCTTCTTTCAACACCGGCAGCAGTGTTTCATGGATCAAAATGGAAGTTATCTGCATCTTCCTTAGCACCCACCACAGCTCGTACGGCGTACTGGCGGGACTGATGCCTCCAAACACCAGCTCAGACCGCCAACACGCGTGCACAACCATGGGGTAATGAATATGGTTTCTGGAAAAGAGGCCCAGGATTTCACCGTCCTCTTTATCGTTGATGGGACTCTCACCAAGGTTGAGCGGGTTCGGTCCATCGTGTCTGAAAGCTCGTGCCAAAGCGCATGTACGCTCGTAGAACTGGTGTAGGGTGACGATCTCCTCCGTGACGGCATTGATGATGAGTGGGTAGTCTTCTGGGAGTTGGTTGTTGGGAGGGAAACAGAGCTCATGGATATTCAGATCATCTGGCGAAGGCGGGAATGGGCCGAACGGACTCGAGAACAGTGGTCTGTCATGAGCTTTGTATCTGTCCTTGTGGGGGTCTGGAGGATTGGGGCCAAGGAAGCGTGACCAGTGCGGTTTGAGGATCTGGTCAGCCATCTGGGAGGAGCTTGATGAATTCTGGAGGCCGCGAGACTGGTCAATGCTGCGATCGGTAGTGAGAGTGGTGGATGCTACAGGGAGCCCTGATTGATCATGACTTCAATGTCTTGGTATTGGTCGCTTATCGATGGCTTCCGAGGTGATGGAAACTTCCCCGCGTTCTGGGGCTGTCAGCCCGACATGGCGCTTACGAGTAAGCCACACTAACTTGATGCATTTAACAGTCCTGTATGCTCCCAACCCGCAACGCCAGGCTAGCGCCGAACACCTCCCAATCAGATGATCGATGCTACTTACTCCAAACAGTGCAATGCAGTCATGTATCATAACGGTCTTTATGCAATCATAAAACATATCCTCATAACGCGCCTAGTCATCAGCCGGCTCAACCCTAACAAGGACCTCCTCCAGGAAGCCCTCCAGGAAGCCCGCAACCTCGCCACCCATACCGACTTCACCCCTCTCGTCCCATTGATCCAGCTCCTGGAACTGCTCTGTGATGCGTCCAACAAGCCTCTTGACCTTGTCGTGGCACTCTTGTCGCTCCTTCTTTCGTCGCAGGTACGATTCGGGCTCGCGCATAGCCGATGCGGATGCGGCGTCCTGCTTGTTCATGAGGTTGAGGTGGTAAGTTCTCCTTGACAACGCCGCCTCGAGCGCTGGGACAACAACACCAGTGAGGGCAGTGATTTCTGCTCCTTGATTTGCCGCCGGCGGGTTCAGGAACGCAAGGTCTGTTGGTTGAGGCTTTATCCGACCGAACGAATTGCGAGCCTGGTTCGACTTTGGCGGAGGGGACAGGCTCCCGTTCAGTGCTGTCTGGCTGCCACTCTGGTGAGGTGGTGGAAGCGGAGGTTGATAGCCTCTGTGCGCCGGCAAGGGACCGCCAAATGGGTCATTCGAAGATCCTGAGTCAGGGCGTGAGATCGATGGCGCAAACGGTTGGTGTGGTGATGGTAGGGGTTTCTGGTCAGCCAGTGACGGCAGTCGTTGCTGACCTACGAGTGGTGATAGAGGCTTCTGAGCCTGTAGGGAGGGTAGCTGATGGCTTGCGTGGAGAGCGGGACTCGGTAATGGTTTTGACTGCGCTGATGTCGGTGTATTCCCTCTTGAATTCGGTCCGCGGTATGGTGGTATCTCAGGAATCGACATTGGGATGGCACCTCTCGGTGTAAGATTGCGCTGCTGCGGCGTGATATCCATACCCGCCATGTCCTCGGCAACGGACTTTTGCATGTACTCCTCGTACGCGTGTGCCAGTGGAGTTTGCCGACGTGGCCCTTGAGGCTTCGAGGGTGTTGTAGGCGTGACTAGGCCACGGTTCAGAGGCGGCGAAAAAATATTGGGTACAGGCGATGTCCGCAAAGGTTCCTGCTTAGGCGGCGGGAATACGGGCGCGTTTTTCTTGTCGGGCGAGGGCGGCAGAGGCACTCTTGAAGCAGTGTTGAGCGAGGTCGTGGGCGATGCGCCTGTCCAGAGAGGTGCTAAGCGTTTCGTTGGTGATGGTGGTGGACTAGCCCGAATTGTGTCGTCGTTCTCGTCACCACGCTGAAGCGGTACTGGTTTTCGTGAAGGTGACATGTTGCGCGCGTTCGCGCCAGCATGGTTCAGGGACGCAAGAGCTGGACCCCTACCGCCAGCCGTGGGTCGGATGGTACCAAAGTCCCACAGATCCTCATTAACAGGCTCCCTGCGCAGCGGTTGATCTTCCTCGTCATCTTCGGCGGCCTCTTTTGGATGCCTAAGCTTCCAGTCTTGGTATCTTGTGATGAGCTCTTGCAAGCGTGCAGGCTTGCCAGCTTTCCTCATAAACGACGTGTTCAGCAGCTCCTTCGCCGTCGGACGCTCTTTAGGGTCTTTGCGCAAGCATAGCTGAACGAATTCTTTAAAGGACGATGAAAAGCTGCCTTCCAGTACGGGCGGTGGGTTCTTGGGAATCAGAAAGAGGACCTTCATGGGATGGATATCAGAGTACGGAGGCTCGCCGTGCGCCAGCTCGAGTGCTGTGATGCCGAGGGACCAGATATCGGCCTTGCCGTCGTAGCCGGATTGCTTGATGACTTCAGGCGCCATCCAGAACGGTGTGCCGACAAACGTGTTCTTCTTGGTCATGGTCGCGGACAGCTGGCCAGATACACCAAAATCTGCAAGCTTCACCTGGCCACTTGCCGTGACAAGAATGTTCGCGGCTGTCTCCAGTCAGCGTGGCCAGCCTGGCAGGTGGCGGCGCACTTACCTTTGATGTCACGATGCAGCTTGCTGTCCTCATGCAGATACGTCAACCCCATCAGCAGCTCCTTCAGCATGACAGCAATCTCCGCCTCGGCCAGAGGTCCAGGCTTCATAAGGTCGGCACAGCTCCCGCCCGCGCAGAATTCCATGACGATCCAGAGGTCCGAGCCGTGCAGATAAGAGCCATAGTACTTGGTAACATAGGGCGACTTGAGACCGGAGAGGATCATAATCTCGCCCATGATGTCCTCGACCTCGTCCTCGGCGTTCTCGACGTCGATGACCTTGATCGCGACTGTCTGGCCGGTCTTGCGGTCCAATCCCTTGTAGACTTTGCCGAAGCTGCCGCCGCCTATGCATTCTTGCTTGGTGAAGAGCGTGGTTGGGTCGACCGACGACTCCATTTCGGCCGACATGGTGCTGTAGGATCCAGCTCAGGTGGTGGGCGGCGTCGTGGATAAGTAGAGACTGGCGTTCGAGGGCACTCGAGTAGTTGTGGCGCAGGTGGGAGGGGTGCGAGTCGGGGGTGCTGGAGAGAGCGTGTGGGTGGAGGTGTGGCTCGGAGAAGGAAGGTCGGCGGCGGTTGCCCGGAGTGGGTATGCCAGGTTGCGCAGCAATAATGCGCAGGTCCAAGGGTCAGAAAGGGTCGAACGCGCTCCAAGGCGGCGGTGTTGGGCCGAACAGTGCACAGCGGCGCGTCAACGCAGTGTTTGGTAAATACGCCCAGCGACCGGTATCGCGCGGGCAACGACGAACAAACGGAAGGCGGGGCGGGCGAGCGAGCAGCCTTGGTTGTGCGCACCGGCGCAGCACGAGGGACGTTTGCTGTGCGGGCAGAGAAACGGACAGGAGCCAAGAAGCCGGCCCAGCAGAGAGCGTGGGAAGATGTTCCAATGTCACGCCCGACTCAGGCAACCGGCCGTTGTGAGGGAGGATGTTGGTGTGCGGTGCTGCAGCAAGGATCGTCTTGCGTGCACAGCTGCGAGCTGCAGGAGCGCGGCGAACTGCCGTCGTCACGAACGAAACATCGGAATCAGTGAACCAGTGGCCGCGAAATTGCACGCCCGCCGACGTGACAGCGACCAATAGTCCATGCTCGTCCTGCTCTGACGCGTCGCGGTGGTGGTGGAGACTGGCTAGCTCCCGTCGCCCTGTCTCGTCATTTCGCGCCTCGCACGTGGTGATTGGCTCTCAGCAGAGTCTCAATGTTAGTCTCAATGTTATTCGCTTGCACCTCTGCTGTTGCATGTTTCAGCGACGCGCAAAAGTCACCACCACTGATGTCACACGGCTTCTGCTTGGCACAAGTCTTCTCAGCACTGTTCAATTCATTGGGGTATCCATATGCCACTGCCGTTATGAGCCATAATCATATCCTTGGTGGATGGTCTCGTTGATGCAAAACGTAAAGCAAGTAACCAAATCCTGCGCGCTCTTGAACGCGGTTGCCATTGTTGGCGCATTTCTGCTTCGTGTAGCGCCCGTGGTGCGCTTAGAAGCGTCTGCGAATCCTGTCGGCAAGCGTGCTCTCGCCCTCGCTCTCTTCCTCGACAGGCGCTGGTGTCCTCCTCTCGCGTGCGCGGTGCGCTTTCCTCCTCCTGTTGTGACTGACGTTGCTAGCCGAGTCGTCAGGCCCAATCTCACTTCTGAGGTCATCCAGACTATCGTCCTGCTCCCTGAAGCCGGCTGGTGTGTTCATCCTGACTTCAATGTCGTCCATGCCTGAGCCGCGGCGTTGCTGCGCCACCATTGACAACGCTGCGGCACGCTCTCGAAGTCGTCTGCGGACCTGCTCGGCCTGGTTGTGCAGGTGCTCAAACGCGTCTTCCATGGCTTCCATGCCAAGATAGATCTCGCGCTCGATCTCAGCCAGCACAGCGACCTCGGTCTCCTCGTCGATTTGTACCGGTGCGGGGCCTCCAGCGCCGGGGCGTACTGACCCTGGACGAACGGACCCTGGGCGGACCGAACCGGGGCGAGACTGCGGCCCTGGACTGAATGTTTGGAACCCCTGGCCCGGACTGGGCGATGCAAAGCGTTGGGGTCCATCGGTTGCGGGGATGTGACCAGGCATCAGGTCTTCCGCGCCGGACCAGAGGAAACCATCGAAGCGCCCAGACACGAGAATCTCCCACTCGTGCTTTGTCACTGCTGCCAGGGTGGCTAGTATGTTATGCATGTCAGGGTTGCGGATCAGGTACATGACAGTGAGCTGGTCGCGGGGTTCCTTGCCCAGGCGGTAGAGGCGCTGCAAAGCGAGGCCAGCTTTGGCCAAGTACGGCGGTGTACCTGCCTCGGGCTTCTGTGTGCGGGGGTTGGGCAGCTTGTCGAGACCCCAGAGCAGCGCGTAGTACAACGGACGTTGTGGCTGATCCAGGCGCGTTAGCATGATGAAGGACAAGGTCTCGTCGTCGGCGTCCTCTGGCGAATTGTCTTGTTGGTCTGTCAGCCACGACTGGACCGAGGACTTTGTCTTCTTCGCCTGCTTCTCGTAGTGCGCTCGGTACTGGTCTGGCACATCAACATCAATCTGCTGGCAGGGCTCTCCGAGTTCCGAGATGCCCAGTCCAGGAGCAACTGGATCGTTGTAGGGTGGCCACGACGGCAACTCGCAGCGCCCAGACACAAGCTCCAGGATTTCGCCCCAGTTTACGCCAGAACTGTCCTCGGGAACCACTTGGTCAAAGCACATCAGACACTTGCAGTGCTCCGACGAGATGTTCCTGGCAAAGACATTTTCCAGGCGGTCCAGCAGACGGCGCGCCACCGACCGATACCCCGTCGCAACGGCTAGCGACCCGTTCGTGTCAATGACGGTGTTGTACTGGTTCAGCACGCTTTCAAGCGGCCGGAACAGTGTCCGCACGTCGTGGCCCTGGGCGCCGCTTGTCGCGGGCGACATGTACGACGAGTAGGCTGGGACCGATGCGCCCTCAATGGCTCCTAGCAAGCTTCGGGGGATGGGTCGTGGCAGACCACCGTTTTGAAGCAGGTAGTCGACACGCGGTGGGTCGCCCGACATTGCTGGCGGCGGTGGCGGCGGTGGCGGCGGAGGCGGCGGTGGCATGGGCGAGCCATAGTTGGGCTTGACGGACGACTCGCGGGAGACGGGGTCCAGGATTTCAACCGTAGCCGGCCGGTCCTTGTCGTCGAAGATGACAGAGGGCAGCACCGAGTGCTGTGTGGGTGTTCGTGGAGAGGAGTCGACTACAGATGCAGGTGAGGCGTCAGAATAGGCTGGCGACCGTGTTCGGCGGGCACGGTAGAGGGGCATGGAGGTGTTGTCGGAGTCGAGGGTGAGTTCGGACGAACCTCTGGGCTTGGTCTTGGCCCTGTATGTCTTGGAGCTGGACGTCTTGGTGCGGCCGCCTGCTGGACTGGCCGTCTTGGTGCGCGCGGGCACCGTCTGGGGCGACTTTGCTCGGGGCGACTTTGCGCGGACCGTGCTGGGCTGAGAGCCGGTTGTGGACGTCAGGTCCGTCATCGAGTCCTGCTCTCTGACGCTGGAGCGCGACGCCGTGTGCCGCTGTCCGGACGGCGTCGAGACGCGGGTCGAGTTGTCCACGCTGCGTCGGCCGGCCTCCATGTCCCTGTGCAGGGCCTCGGACGTCCGCCGCGAGCTGTTGGCGCTGGCCGTCTTGCGCAGGTCGGCGGTGGTCGGGGTGGTGAGGGGCGGGCTCGGCGGCGCGCGCGGTGGTGGGGGAGGGGGTGCGCGGGTGGGCGTTGGCGGCACCGTCGGCGAGCCTTCTTTCTTGGACCCGTCCTGCGAGCCGTCGGCGTCGGTGAGGTCCGGGGTCACCGTGGCCTTGCGGCGGTCCACGTCGTCGCGGACGTAGATGCTCTCCTTGCTGTATGTCTTGTTGACGGACGGATAGGGCAGGCTGACGCGCGAGCCGTTGCCGCTGTCGATGCTGCTGCGCCGGCCCAGCTCGGGGATGCCTGGCACGGCCATCTTGTGCGACGACGACGAGGTGCGGCTGCGCTCAGCAACGTCCTCCCGGGAGCCCGACGAGCGCGTCTTGTGCGAGCGGCTGCTCTTGTGGCGGCGGTGGGACGAGTCCTTGTCCTTGTCTTTGTCCTTGTCCTTGTCCTTGTCTCCGTCTTTGTCTCTGTCTTTGCCTCTGTCTCTGTCTCTGTCTCTGTCTCTGTCTCTGTCTCTGTCTCTGTCTCTGTCTCTGTCTCTGTCTCTGTCTCGGTCCCTGTCTCTGTCTCGGTCCCGGTCCCGGTCCTTGATCCGCGGGCTAGTGCGCTCGCCGTCGTCGGCGTCCTTGTCCTTTTTGCGGCGGCGGTGCGAGTCGGATGCGCTGAGCATCTTCTGCGGTCGCGGTGGAGTAGCTGCAGTCGCGGTGGACTAGCTGCGGGTAGCTCGGCGTGTCTGCAGGGTCGGCTCAGACCGTCGACCGTGGCACGCCCTCCCGCCTGCGCGCCTGTTCGCAGTGCTCGATTGGAGCCGTCGACGTGCGTGGCAGTGCGCTTGCGCCTATCAGCGAGGAAGGGCCCCGTCCATTTGGACCGCGGGCAGGAGATTCAGGGAACGGGGGGCGGTCTGCAGCGCAGGTTCTGGACGAAGTGCTGCCAGCCGTGGACCGATTTGTGTGTTGCGCTGAGAGTCTGACGTGTCTGGTGGATGGGCCTGGGGCGCCCAATGCTGCGCCAGCCGCGCCTGCAGACCCCCGCAAACACGTCGACACCACCTCGACACCACCTCGACACCACCTCGACACCACCGAGCATCGTCGTCGGCTACTACTGTGACTCTGTGACTCAGCGACTCGGTGCTGCTTTCAAAACCAGCTCCATCGGTGCCTCACATGTCACAACAAACTTGTCCAGCACAATCCTATCTCGGACCTGGCTTGCACTGGACGTATCAGATCCCCGCTGCCCAATGCGCCTGCTGTGCTGTCAGTGCTTCACCGTACTTCGTAAGTGCTACATACACGGCTGGTACTTTGTGACCAAGCAAACCGTGCCAGCCTCCTTTCGACCCAACACTTCCGTCATCTTCTTTGCATCTATATTCTCATCTCGCACCGCCGTACACCTCTTCCTCCACGTCCTCGACTTGCAACAAAAAATAACTCGAATCATCACAACCGCACGGCGCACCAGTGACAGGACAGCAAATGAATTGGGTATCTGTAAGTTCAGGCATCCACCCTGCCTCATCCTGTAGAGGTATCATGCGAAAACTCAATGCTGCACACGCGGCCTAGGCCTTGCCAATTTCCCTCAACAGCACTGCACACGGTAAGAAATGGGATAATGTACAATGTTGCCAGCCAGTCTTGCCCCGAAACTCGAAAACAACAAACCGAAGAACCTTTTCTCCCCCATCCGAACACACTCCGTACTCCGAAATCGTAATGTCTTCGCCCGTGGGTCGAGAGACGCATTCCTGATCCCCAAGGACAGGTTTCTTATGTACTGTAGAACGACATGCTTCAAGTGCCGCGCCATTCACCCTTGGTAGCAGTGCCACGCAGTCCTGCCCGTCTTCCAAGTGATCGCTGCCCGTCTTCCTAGTGACCGCTGCCCGTCTTCCTAGTGACCGCTACCAGTCTTCCTAGTGACCGCTGCCAGTCTTCCTAGTGACCGCTGCCCGTCTTCCTAGTGACCGCTGCCCGTCTTCCTAGTGACCGCTGCCAGTCTTCCTAGTGACCGCTGCCAGTCTTCCTAGTGACCGCTGCCCGTCTGAGTGCTATTGACATGCTGCTGAGCCAGCTGGGCACGCAGCGTTGTAATCTCAGTCTGTAGTGTCGCTATCTTTTCGTTGTGCTCCTTCTCCATCCGCGCCATCCGCGCCTCAATTTCGCGAACGTAGGTCCACACGTCCATGGTGTTGCCCATAACCTCACGAATGCTGCTCCCACTGCCACCATGGCTGGACATGCTTCCGGGCTGAGACATGGGGCCCGGTGCGGGCATTTGCTGGTGCTGGAGCATGCTAGGCCCCTTGCTGCTCTGCGAACCCGGCTTAGCCAAACCGGCCAGCCCGGCCAACGATGGGAGGTGAGGTCCGTTGCTGATGTTTGGAGGTTGCAGAGTGGGTGGTGTACCCCGTGCCGTGTTAGCGCCACGGGCGTAGTTCTGCAAATGCATCTGCTGCGACATGTTTGGCGATCTTGGGTGACTGCCTTCATGTGCACCCAACCGGTAGTGATCTTGTTGGCTCGGCGAGATGGGCTTCGGGCTCTCGGTCATGCCTCCTTGAGCGAATGCGCTAGGCTGGTTCGCATTGTGGAGAGATGAGATACTTGATGGAGCTAGTTTTGGCGACATGTTAGTGGGCTGAGTTGCTTGCGCCGCGTAGTATGGGCGAAGGGTGTTCTGACTGTTTGACCCTTGGTTCGAAGGGTTGATTGGCGGGTATGTGCTTCTGTGGTGACTATACGAACCTTGCGCAGAGTTTCCGGTATTCTGCCTCTTACGAGCGGGTTCACTGATACGGCGGCCATCGTCATCTTCATCGCCATCTCCGTCAGGCTCGTTAGTGTAGACGACGCCATCCATACCATCATCGCCCTTGCCGTCACCCATATCCTCATCGATGCCGAAGCTTGACCGGCGACCAGCACAGCCACCCTGCCCCTTGTTGTGACGCGCGAGTGCATCGCCACGAGCAAACCTGCGGCCACACTTGAAGCAGGTGTGCGGACGTTCACCAGTGTGAAGTTTCGTGTGCCGTTTCAAGTCGTGCAGTCGGCGAAAACGTGCTTGGCAGGTAGGGCACTCGTAAGGTTTCTCTTGACTGTGCGTCAACAAGTGACTTTTAAGGTTGTGGTGACGCGTAAAGTCCGTAGAGCAGTAAGGACATTTGTGACGTTTCGTGGACGGCGACTTTGGGTTGTTCTGACCATAACCTGGGAGACTCATCTGGCGAGCAGGAGCACGTGGATCGTCTGGCGGCATCGGTCCTGGAAAGGTAAAGGCGCGGTTCCCTGGGTTGTCAGGATTGGGTGCAATCAACTGGTGCTGATGATGGTGAGGCTGGTGCTGGTGTCGCTGGTGTGCACCCTCATGTTGTCCCGCATGTCCCGTAGGCCCTGCGGATGCTTCAACGGCAGATGCGGCCGGCGCAGCTGTGCCCTCCCCTTCACCGAAGCTTGAGAGGCTGACAGGGCTCGTCTGCATGTTGTCGCCCGTAACTCCAGTAAGTTCCGGAATGATGATAGGCGGCTTCGTAGCCTTCTCTCCCTGCGGTGCTTGTGACTGCGGCGCGTCTGAAGGACGACTTTGACCGTTGCCCTGTAGGCTCTGGAGAGCGGACACAGCGGGATTCGGACTCGTCTGGCGCGAGTTGTGCTCTCTGTAGCGACGTTCGTCGGCCAGCGCGGTTGCGCCTATGAGGGTTGCTGGAGACAGCCTTGGCGACAGTCCCCGCGGAGATTTGACAAGATGTGTGCCGAACGTCGCGCCTCCATTGCTGTTGCGCGAGGCAGAGCCCGGTGTTGTAGGCCTATTTGGCGCAGAGAACGACCCGTTCAGAGTGGGCGTGATCGCCCGAGTGGTGGCGGCCATGAGAACGGATGCTTGGACGACTGCGCAAATGGGATCTTGGAGTCTAGTCAGCACGGGATGACAGGAAAATACTGGGCTGAGAGGAGTAGACAGGTCCTGGCTCTCGCGCATGCATCGCTTCGACAGCAGGTGGGGGTGATGTGGTAGTGTGGCTGTGACAAACCTTTTGTTTAGTGAGGCGGCCGTTTCCGCGCGCTCTATACTCGGCGATATGTTCGCAGCAGTGACGCACTTCGACACGTCCGCTGACTATCAATGGGTTGGAAGAATCGTGGGCTCGACGCAGGCGCCGCTGCAATCGGGCTGCAGGGAACAGAGCTGGCGGTGCGCGCCGTTACGAAGCGCAATGCGACTGTGGCCAAGGTGATCTGCCTCTAGCGGCCCGAGGGAATCTCCACCAACGCGCGGAACGTGGAAGGCGCGCGGAACGTGGAGCGCGAGATGGACTGCGGCTGACGGGGTTCGCAGCTGACAGCTGGCAGCTGGTGTTGGTTCCTGGATACGCGCGTTGCGGCGGGAGCGTGGCAGCAAGCGGATCGGCCGAGGTGGTGGAATGAAGACCTGCTGGTGAGGCTGCAAGCTAGGCGGCCGGGCGAAGCGGCAGATGCAAACCGGCGGCGACACACGCATGCAACGAGGAGCGTCCTGTATAACGCGACGTGGTGCAGACAGCGTCTTGCAGGGCCGACAGCGCGCGCGAAAAGCAAATGTCTGGTGCGCAGCGCGGAGCGGTTTCGAAAGCTGGTGGAAAGTGACGAGTTGTGGCTGAAGTTTGAACCTAGGGCAGGTGCGATGCGCTCACGGACCCACGAGGTGCGGAAGGTGTGGTAGCTGCAGCTTGCCTGTTCTCTTCCACATTCAAGTGCGCGCGCCCGGGAGATCGCTGCGAGATCTTATGGGGGCAAATAGATCGACGGCAGAAGGCCAGAGGGAGAGCAGAGCAGGCCTCTCTCGCCGATATCGAGTTGCGCCGGTTGATGAGTGGTAAGTGGGCAACTTGCGTCTGCCGCGCGAGTTGAAGGAGGCTGTGCCGGCGGCCGGTGGAGCACTTGAGCAGCGGCCAATTGGCTGCTCGGACGGCTCTTTAAGCAGACAAGGCGCTGACCAGAGGACGCTGACTTGACGCCACAGCGGCGTGCCTCCAGCTATGACCGCCTCGACTGCCAGCCAAAAGTGCGATTGCCCTGTATCCGCGAGATCGTCCAGTTTCAAGTCTCAGAACGCCACTGCAGCAGGGTCTGCGACGACGAAAGCGGCCGTTCTGCACGATGCTGCCAATCCTGCTCGCAAAAATCATGATGGCCAGTGGCCAGGACTGACCGTGATGGCTGCGCCACCGCCACTTACTTCCGCTATTCTGCCATCCGTGTATCCGTTTGCCGGTGTCACGGCACCTCAGCAGGCAATGCTTGACGAGCACTGTCTCAGATTGCAGCACATCTGATTTGCTCGTTGCCGCATTATGTTGCCGCATTATGACAATGGCAATAGAGGGCGCGGAAGTTTGTTCGAATCGAACGCCTCAATGTCTCCCGGGTACTATGTCAACAATCAATTAAGTGGGGCCGAGCGACCTCGGACTGACTTAATTGATTACCTGTTTGAGGCCTAGCAGCTACCTCCGTAGGTTTAACTCTTACCTTGTTGGGTAAGCGCATAAACGTGAGGTCGAAATTGACTTGCTCGTTGACAAGGCTAGCAGGCTGGCAGTGGCAGTGGCAGATAGAATGCTGAGCGAACAGTTTTGGAACAAGTTGCTGGATAGTACCAGGAACCTTCGCGGGCTCATGTGTTTCGGTAAGAGCATCCAGAGCTAAATGCATGACTGAATCAGTGCCATCAATTCAAAGTCGCGTAGTACCATCCCACCCGAAATATAGCCACACAGCACTCCGCCCTCTTGGCCCTGTTTTAGGAAAGAGATCGGCATACCCGAGTCGACTTGCCTTTAACCACCCTGAGGTGAATGTCGTTACGGCAACAGCCACTGCTTGGACTGGATCGTTTTGCCCTCGGCTGGACCGGCAAAGCCCCAGTGCAGTGGGTTACACAAAGCTTCTAGGCCGCCGAACGCTGCTGCCTATTCGCTCGGCACAGCTACGCAGGATGGATTCATCTTTGCTGCAGAGTGATCTAGTGACTGGACCCATGTTGATCGTCAGGAACACTGGGTCCGGGGAACAATATCCAAGGCAATGGCGATGTGCGGCAGTTCTCTGTACCTGATGCTGTCTTGTCGCGACATACACGGTCTTGTTTTAAACTTTCGATGAATGCCTAAGTATGTAGACAGTTAACGGTGCTGCATAACGCCTCCCGCAGGTCAACATTATCAATGGGTCAAGCTATTGTCCATCCAAGACGCCACGCGACAATCTAATTGATCAAGCCACAGTAAAGAGGTTGATGTAACATGAGAATGGACCTGCGTATTGCTGGCCGCTGGTGCGACTACCGGTCTGCTGATTTACTGGCTCAATACTCCGATTTTTAGGCGCTCTCACGTCGAACTCCCACGCAAGGACCCTAGATGAGAACGCCGGTGCCATTCTCGCGATATGTCAATGGGCAATGCATTCAGGCTCCTGAAGACCTCCACGCTGGTGCATACCCCCAGACATTCGGCATGAATGCAATACTAGATGCTACCTACTATCTCTACGCAGCTGATGTTCTTCCTTCGTCGAGACTGTTAGTATTGCTGCTCATTATTCATCCCGCTTTCTCCAGACTATATCATCTACACATTCGTGGCTACCTCTCAGGTCCTCTGGCACCTGTGTCGTAAACTGGGAACACAGTGCGAAGGTAAGCCACGATCTACGGACTGATCACAGGATACGTCGATTCCATTTTATTCTCCCAGGAGATAATTATGATTGTCTGGTTTCGCTACATATTTCGTCTGATCTGCTTGATCGGTGATTTCAGCAATATCTCCTGCATGGCCATCTTTTCGTTCACGTCGTGATCAGGAACTGCGGAGATCGGCTATTATAAAGATCTATCAAGCAAATGTCGACGCTGTATAACCGGAGAGCGTCGCAGCCTCAAGAAGAGCAGAGAATACATGTCGCGACTACGCTGAATGACTTCTGAGCTGGTGATCAACTAAAAAGTGGCACCAGCAGTGACCTGTTATTATTTCTTTTGCTGTTCACGCCACTACACAGGAAAACCTACAATAGGATAGCAAGTGAGATTCAACAATAGGTAGGTTCTGGAGTTCTGGAAGGTGCTCCCTGGCAACCACCTTCACCTGCTCTTTGCGCTAGCGTGGTCCTGCTCTCACTTCAAGAACATCTCCACGTCTTGAAAGAGGGCACGTTAAATGTCGGAGCATCTCAATCGCGAGATATTTCGACTGACGTCTACCACCGCCGGCTCGCCATACGCAAGTTTTGTAGGCAACTGTTCGCCAGTATTCTTCCGATCATCATCAAATCTCTTTCTTAAATTCGATTCTAGACTTCGCCACCTGATTTACACGATGCGATCCGTCATCAAAGCGAGCATCTGTCCTGTCCGTTATTGCTGGTTAGCGCAGCTTTGCCGTTGACTGTCCTTCCTCCCTTTCAGTTTGACGCAAAGACATACTGCTCGTCTCGATGTGCCGATTTGCACTCTCGTGGTGAGTATCGCACGCCCTGTGATTTGCCCATCACCTGTGATGTCTGTTGCGAAGACAACCCGCTTATCGGCTATATTCACAAGATTCGAGAGCAAGATGTTGTCACTGGGGAGTGGAACCTTACCATTCCTTCCGACTGTTTTCTACATCTTGCCCCAGAACTTTTGAACACAGAAGACGGAACCTGTACGGACTGTTTGCGATCACACATCTTCACTCAGCTCGAGACACGTGGGGCCATGAATATCAGCTGCATCCAGTCACATCCTATATCTTCAATGTCTCGGAGACTCGTTTTAACAGAGCAGAGAAGCCTTTCCAGGTCCCAAGAATGGCTTCCGTATGCACCATATTTTCTACCACAAGATGTGCATGATGAATTTCACCAGCAACTTTTCAATCACTTCACCCACACGACAGCAACGGCACTTTGGACCTGCCCTTCAAACTGCGGCTACAGAGAGGGTATCATCCAGCCCAACGACACACCGGGTTTCCCACACGTTGAGTGTCCAGGCTGCCATGATCACTTTTGTGCAAATTGCAAAGTACCTTGGCACGACAGGCAGACGTGCCAACAGTACCGTGCACTGCACTCAGAGCTTCGCGACAAAGACGAAGCGAAACAGCTCCACGAGATGGCACGTCTAGGCGCTCGACGTTGTCCACAATGCCAGTTCATCATCGTCAAGGAGGGCAGGTGCGACCACGTTCACTGCTAGCAATGCCGCTTCGACTTCATATTTCCAGAAGCAGAGCGTGTAGTTGCTCCTCCGGACTACGTGCCAGCGCCCGCGTACAGCGCAGCAGCCATCTCCTTCAAAGGATGGAGTCAGCTCCGCCAAGCGCAGGAAGAGCACATCAACCGCAACCGCATCGCAGACAAGCCCTTCGATATCGGCAACAAACACTCGCAGCATGAGGAGGGCGTCTTCTACTACGATTCCGACACCAATCTGTGGACACCTAACATCTGCGAGCTCGATGAGGTTGCCGGCCGTGAGGCAGGACGACATTTTGCTCGTGAAGAGTCTTGTGATCGAGATGGTCTATGGGCAATTGTTGTTGTAGAAGGTAAGCAGCAAGGCAGTGTCAGCCTGCAGAAAGCTCTCGCGTTGAAGCTGCAACCTCACACTCCGCAGCCAATTCGTATGCCATCGGAGGTTGTTCAGATGCTGGGTAACCTACCGCTAGTTGGGAATGCAAATGAAATGGCTGAGCGTGCTCTTCACAAGATCATGAAGGCTAGTCTTGTAGATGATTCAGACCCTGCAGCGCTCGCGCTCGAAGCTATAGACCGGTTCCTCGCCAGTCTCTCCACTCAAGAAGAACAGGACAATGCTGAAGAACGTGGAGGCGACGATGGTGATCAAGAAGAAGGCGCGACTGGCCAGCCAATTCGAAATCCCTTCGCAGATATTTAGGGGCCGCCTCGCGACGCTACTGACGTTCTTATCAACCAGATGCTGCTGGGTGCCATGCAGCCAGGTGTTGGGCCGGATGTGTCTGGCTTTGGTGAGGGGGTGCCTCCATTGCACCTTTTGGGGGCTGTTGAGGAGGATGACAGTGCAGATTCGGAATGAGGGTGATCTCACAAGGTGATACGACTTGGACGGTATTTGGCCTCATTGATAGCATCCTTTTCTCAGGTCTGCCCGTGGCAGACGAGGAATGGTGTCGGATCTCGGAGACTCTGAGGGAGAAGAACAGACTTCCGTTCAGATTTTGAGGGGGATATATCTGCTATTTTGAAGCATCCTGGCTGTGTATATCCGACCCGCTCATTCACGAAATGTACCTGTCATGACAACTGTTCACCCTGTTCATGCCGATCTCACATGTTAACATCCTTCAGATAAAAGACAGCGAAGCGCGGCAATTATCGTGATTGAGCCATTTACTCACAGGAAGGTACCGCAAACCTTCCTTTTTTGTCACACGCACAAACTGAATCCGAGCACATCTGCCAACTAACCTCGACTCCTGGTAATGTCCAACCACATCACCACTTACAGCAACGCACCCTACACCGCTCCGATTGCTCTAACCTCAGGAGTTCGGATATCATGCCGAAATTGAGACAGCAGCTCGCGAATGGCACATCTAAAACTCAGCGTTTCGAGTGCGAGTCGGCGTTGTGACCGTGGCATGGTGGGTGGGCTCTGCCTGATTGCTTCCCCGCCATACCCCCATAACAAAGTCAGCAGCAGGCAAATGAGCACCCCGTCTAGATACGATAAAGCTGGGTACAGTGGACAGCGTGTGTGCATCAACCGCCGCTATTGCTTGAAACGTGTTGATAGCGGTGTCGCGAGTTGCGGCGAAAGTCCGGCCATGACGACAACCGCCGGATATTGGGTGGAAAATTTGGGGCAGTGGGTCCAACCAGCTGCAAGAGCCGCAACGGGGCGTTACACCGGTGCAGAATCTTTTGCCTAGGGTCTCCGATACGTCATTTCTCATGTATGGGTCGATGGTTGATAAGGATGGCGTGGAAGAACATTCGCGCGCAACAACACGTTGAGGGAGGGAAGAACTGCCACGAACAACAAACGACTTTGACTTGACGCTCACGCCACGGAACATTCACCAGAAACAAGAACCAAATCGCCATCATGATCCCCAGCCGCCAGAACTCAGTCAACTCGACGCTCTCAAGATCAAGCTCAGGAATTGTCGTGCCCAACATGAACAAGACCGTCCGGCCGGGAATGGAGCGCGCACCCACAAGCATGGCCCTGAACAAGCCTCTTTCCAGGCTGCGACTCGACGGCCAGGTCGCTCTCATCTTCGGCGGAGGCGGCAAGATCGGTATCGAGACTGCAGGGCGATTGCTAGTCGAAGGCGCGACCGTTGCCATTGTCGACATTGATCAGCCTGCGCTCGAGGGCGCCATCCCAGTACTGAGAGCAGCGCTGCCCACCGGCGTACCCATTGAATCGCGGCTTCTCACCATTGCTGCGGATGCAACGATAGAAGAGGATGTAGAGGCTTGCGTCAAGAAGACCCTGCAAAGATTCGACCGCCTGGACATTGCCCTTCTCAATGCCGGGGTACGAGACGAGGCAAAGAGCTTGTTCGACCAGACAGAGGAGGACTACTCGCACGTCATGGACGTCAACGTCAAGTCTGGTGAGTATTCAATATCGAGATTTGATAATACGCCTTACTAACCAGCATCGTAGCCTTCTTCTGCGTCAAGCACGTTGCGGCAGCTATGCGCGTTCTTGGAAACGGCGGTTCAATCATCTTCAGGTCCTCCATCGCTGGACTGCGTGGATTCCCAGACCAGGCCATCTACTCCACATCGCGATTTGCTGTTCGCGGTCTCGCGCTATCAGCTGCCGAGGAGCTCGGTCAATTCAACATCCGCGTCAACACCATCCACACCAGCATCATCGCCACTCCAGGCTATAAGGAAGGCTGGAGCGCAGAGAATCTCGCGGAAGTCAGGGAGGACACCAACCTTCCACGCCTCGGCCAGCCTGACGATGTTGCGAGCGTAGTTGCCTTCCTCGCCAGCGACGACTCGAGGTTCATGACCGGAGGCAGCCTGAAGATCGATGGTGGCTGCGTCAGCTACTAAGGGTTTGTAGCCGTGAGGGTTGTTTTCTTCTACGCATTGAATGGAGTTTGGGACATGCATTGCATCGGGTTCGCATCTGGCAACACTGCAGATTGCCATGAGCCATAGACTTAGACGATAGACATTACACGCACTTTAGCATGCATTCAGCACCCAGGTGGTGTCGCACCCAAGAGTCTTGCGCCTTCTCACCTTCCACGCGTCTGCCCCTCATCGCTGCAGATTCTGATATCGTTAGGATGTGATGTCATCACCTCGCCCCACCGAGAGATGTCAGGAACATCACGATCCCACTGTTCGGCCGCTGTGGCTCCGGAGCTAAGCTTCCAGGAGCACGTTGTACGAGATGGTCCGGAGAGACCGACAGGGACCGTGATGTACGCCGGAAGCCAGATCACGTAACGACCAAGCAGGAATGAGCGAAAAGGACATTTGCAACTCCCGAAGGTCGAGGTCTAGCGCTCGTCTCAAACGTCGTGTCGCTAGACCAGTCGGCGCCGGAGTGGATGCGCGCGAATTTGCTGGGGATAAAGTGCGTGTGTCGGGTGTCCTGAGTGTTGCAAGGACTTGGATTGCAAGGACTCGGATTGCAAGGACTCGGATTGCAAGGACTCGGATTGCAAGGACTCGGATTGCAAGGACTCGGATTGCAAGGACTTGGACCGCAGTGTGCTGGTGAGGGAGACGATCCGTTGATGCTTTCAAGTGGCTTGGGGTACATTACATTTGCTCGGCGAGAGGTGTCTATCTTGCTGGAAAGACCGCATGGGCTCCTTGGTAGGCTGCGTCGGTGATTGGTCTTTGAGCAGTGACAGGGACGTCCTTGTATCTATGCTTGATGCGCCGTAATGGTCTCGTGGCCGAGATTAATGTCTTTTAATCTTGCTGAGGTTCCTCTCATTTCTTGCAGCCTTGATTGACCATCTTGCAGCCTTGGTTGACCATCTTGCAGCCTTGGTTGACCATCTTGCAGCCTTGGTTGACCATCTTGCAGCCTTGGTTGACCATCTTGCAGCCTTGGTTGACTATCCAAGACTGTATGAAGCAGCCTCTTATAGCGAGTAAAGCAATGATACCTACTAACAAAGGGACACTTGCTGCAAGGCTTCAGCTTGAACCAGGGCGCTATGCTTCACCAATCACCTCAGTGTGGTGCGCTCAGATAGGTGTGAGGCAGTCGTTTCGACCCTCTGTCCTGATCCGGCGATCGGCGCTGATGCGGGCAGCAGTCATCACAGCTACATTGTGGTTGTTGTTGTGATTGTCATTATCACTCACTCTCCCTATCATCGCCGCTACTCTCTCTCCCACTCTTCCCATCTTCCCCAAGCCGGCCCCGCTTCGCGAGCCTCACATTGACATTGTCCGCCGTCCTGCACTTCGACACCGCCCTGGAACTGACATACGAGACGTCCTCTCTAGTTCTGCTCGAGACGTCCTCTCTAGTTCTGCTCGAGACGTCCTCCATGGTTCTGCTCAAGACGGGCGTGCGGTCCGGCTCCCACGCAGCGGTCAGCAGTCGTGTAGAGATGAGATTGTGGCGTGGGCTGCAGACACTCACAAGCTGTGGACACGCTCGCTAACGCGTCGCACTGGGATGCCGTGATGGAGACGGGGAACGGTAAAAGTGCTGTAGGTGGAAGAGAAGCAAGCCCGACATGTTCCGCTCGTTTCGCGGCTCCCTACGCCTTGGCGCCAGACTCTAGTTGTTGGTGCGTAGTGGAACGGAGAATGAAAGTCGAGGCACGAGCAGCATGCACGCTACGTCGAGGGTCGAGGGTCGACGAGAACGTGACTGGATAGTGTCGAGTTGGATAGTGTCGAGTTGGATAGTGTCGAGTTGGATAGTGGGCACAGCAAGGTACGGAGATGGTATCGAGTATCCAATCCATCGCAGAGCCCTGGGTAGGGACCCGCTGCGCGTACGCGTGTAGGCGAGTATGCATGTCGAGTTGAGGCGCTACTCTGGACCTGCAATCAGCCTCTCGGGTTTAGCAATCATGGCCGTCGCCCCGTCCACTACGTGGTCTGGCAGAGGCACGTCAAGCCAATACACATCAGCTTCCAGGCTCTTCCATGGTGTTGAGTGACCGTTTCATCATAAGAATATACTATACACTTTTTCTCTTGCACGTGTCGTCCCTGTTGGGAAACGCCCAAGGCCCAGACGGGTGCCCTCCAAACGCCAAGCGCCATGCCAAAAGCAATACATGTATGGTACAGCTGGGTATGCACCGATGCCTCGCGTCGCAGTGTCTACGCCCCGTGTCGCAGCATCTACGCCCCGCGTCGCGACGTCTACGCCTCGCATCGCAACGTCTACGCCTCGCATCGCAACATCTACGCCTCGCATCGCAACATCTACACCCCGCATCGCAACGTCTACACCCCATGTCGCCGTGTCTACGCCATGTTTCCAGCCAGCCCGAGGAACAGGGCCTGGGCGGCTAGCTGCAGGGTCCAGATGCCGACCTTTTTGATCCTGCGTTTCCTCACGGTGCGGTCGTCGAGGACATCGCGGGCAAAGGCGTCGTACATCTGTTCGCGTCAGTGGCAATGCTGCGGGTGCGGGGGTCGGGCCAACTTGCCTCGCGCGAGACCTCCTCCATCAGGCCGCTGTCGTACAGGGTCCAGCTGCCGTCAAACTCGCTGAGCTTCTTCACGACCCTGCAGTTGACGGGGATAAAGGTGCGCTTGCTGTTGATGTAGGCCACAATGGGCCGGACGAGGGCGTTGTTGACGTAGGACATGTCGCGCGTGAAGATGGGCACTGCGGCGCGCACGTCGTTCAGATGGACCTTGAGGTCCATGATGATGAAGCGGTCGAGGGCCTCTTGGACAGCGTCGTCGTCGTGGTCGAAGTCGTGGTGGTCGAAGCCGTGGGAGGCGTGGTCGGACAAGTGGTGGCGCACGGCGCGGCCGTTTTGGCTGACGGTGGCTTCGACGCGGTCGTACATGTCGCTCATGACCTTTGCGAGGGATTCGTCGTCGTCGTTGGGCAGCATGATGTCGGCGACAATGTCGACGTTGCCTTCGTGGATCCAGGAGAAGGGGCCGTCGTAGCCGCGGTTCAGGTGGTCAATGTTGAGGGCGTCGATGCGGATGCGCGAGTGCTTCTTCCAGGTGGAGCCGCCGTCTGCGCCGCGGCCGCTGCTGAGCTGCATGCCCGTGTAGCTGTGGGACTGGCGCGGGTGGAGGGTGAAGAGCGAGCCGTCAAAGGAGCCGGACATGATGCTGGCGGAGAGAAAGTCGTAGAAGAGCCACTGCTTGCGCAGCTGGGGCAGCTGGCACGAGTATATGCTGACGGGGAAGGGACGGAAGCCGTCGGGCTGGTAGATGGTGACGAGCAGATCCTCCATCTTGAACGAGTCGAGCTCAAAGTCGCCGGGGCTGTGGTCGTGCTTGTAGGAGCGCGGATCGACGCCCTCGACGGTGTGCACGGCGGTCCGGTCGATGACGCCGCGGATGCCCTTGATCTCGACGTCCTTGAGCAGGCCCTTGCCGTTGAACCACTTGGAGAAGGACAGGGTGACGTTGACGGTGTCGATGGAGACGTCAAACTGCGTGTAGTTGGTGTCGTCCTCGTCGACGGAAACGTCGGACTGGGCGTGGCTGGCGTCCCCGTCGACGGAGACGTCGGACTGGGCGTGCTTGGCGTCCTCCTCGTCGACGGGCGCGTCCCTGCCGGGGTGGGCAATGGCAGCCCCGGCGGCGGCCTCGGCAGCGGCCGACGTCTGCGAGCCCTTTGTGACGTTGCCCTTGCCCTGGCCCGGTCGCCGCGAGACAAAGACCTTGTGGAAGGAGATGACGCCGTCCTTCCACTTGGGCACGACGGCCGTCTCGAAGACGACGCGGATGCCCGACGACTTGGTCAGGTAGTTTCCGATCCACTTGGCGAGCGTCTCCTGCGAAAAGGCCGTGTTGATCATGAAGACGGTCAGCATGAGGAACGAGGTGGTGCCCAGGACGATCCAGGCGACGTGGGCGGCCAGGACCCAGGAGAAGAGGGCGTAGAGCTCATCGGCGTTGAAGTTGCGGTTGCTGCGGATCGTGAGCCACTTGAAGCGGACCTTTAGGCGCGACCAGAAGCCGGAGGCGGCAGCCAGCAGCTCGGCCTTGGAGGGGCGGTAGAGGTGCGGGACGTGGGGGAGGCGGTCGAGGAGCGTGTGCGGGTCGTGCTTGGGGTCTGTCTCGGGGTCTGTCTCGGGGTCTGTCTTGGGGTCTGTCTTGGGGTCTGTCTTGGGGTCAGTGTGCGGGCGGCGGTCAGGGAGCGTGTGCGGGCCGCGGTCGGGGAGCGTATGCGGGCCATGGTGGTGCCTGGAGTCTGGCGTCGGCGCAGACTGGGGCGGGCCTTTGTGCTTGGTATCTAGCGTCGGCGTCGGCGTCGGCGCAGACTGGGACGGGTTGGCGGGCGTGGCAGCGTTCGGGGGGTGCTTGCTCGCGTAGGAGCGCGTCGAGGCGTGTCTGCTCCAGGCGGAGAGGACGGCGAGGGTGACGCTGGGCCGGGGCGTCCGTGTCGGCGTCGTGCGGCCGAGGGCAGTCGATGCTGTTGCGCGCGTCGGCGTCGACGTCGCGCGGCCGAGGGCAGTCGATGCTGTCGCGCGTGTCGGCGTCGACGTCGCGCGAGTCCCCCTCGACAGCGCCGGCCAGCTGCGCGCGTCGAAGCGGGCGAGGGCGCTCTGCCGCAGCGGCGGGCGGGCCTGGGGCGCAAAGCCGCAGCGCAGAACCGCGGCGGGCGAGGGAGCTGCTCGTCGGCTCATGGCAGGTGCGGCAGCGACATGGCGACGCGCTCGTCGGGTCGGTCGGTCGGTCGGTTGGGCGCGCGGGCGAGGGTGCGGGATGCGAGGCGCTGTGCTGTTGCGCTCACACTCGCGCACGCGGGCAGACTTTCGTCATGCACGCTTGAGCCGGCCGCCAGCGCCAGCCCGCTAGGCCGAAAGCGCCAGCCCTCTCGCCTCGCCCCAGCGAAATTTGCGAGGGCGGCTTATCTTATCGGCCCCGCGACGCTCGAGTACCTACTGCGACTTTTGTGCCGCGACTTTTCTGTGCTGCGACTTTTCTGTGCTGCGACTCTTGTGTGCTGCGACTTTTGTGTGCCGCGACTCTTCTGTGCTGCGACGCTTCTGTGCCGCAACTCTTCTGTGCCGCAACTCTTCTGGCCGACAGCGCAAAGGCTCGCAGTCGCTGTGCCCACCGCCATGCCCGCCCCCACCGCGCTGCAGCGCCGCCCCGACGAGCCCGTCGCCGACGTCGCCATGCTCGGCCTGCCCGCCGACGAGTCCATGGCCGCCGCCGACCTGCTCGACATGCACGCCGTCGCCGACGACGCCCTGCCCGACAGCCACCGCCCCGCGCCCGACGGCGCGGCCACGGTCGACGAGAGCGGCCGTCCGCAGTTCGCGCCCAGCAGGAGCGTCCCGCTGGCCTTTCGCCGCGAGACGCGCAAGGTGCCCGTCCCGCCGCACCGCATGACGCCGCTGAAGAACGCGTGGCCCAAAATCTACCCGCCGCTCGTCGAGCACCTGCACCTGCAGGTGCGCATGAACATCAAGACGCGCTCCGTCGAGCTGCGCACCTCGGCCCTCACCACGTCGACGGACGCGCTGCAAAAGGGCGAGGACTTTGTCAAGGCGTTTACGCTCGGCTTCGATGTCGACGACGCCATCGCGCTGCTGCGCCTCGACGACTTGTACATGGAGACGTTTGAGATCAAGGACGTCAAGACCCTGCAGGGCGAGCACCTGGGCCGCGCCATCGGCCGCATCGCCGGCAAGGACGGCAAGACCAAGTTTGCCATTGAGAACGCGAGCCGCACCCGCGTCGTCCTGGCCGACCAGAAGATCCACATCCTGGGCGGCTTCCAGAACATCCACGTCGCCCGCGAGAGCATCGTGAGCCTGATCCTGGGCCAGAACCCGAGCAAGGTCTACGGCAACCTGCGCACCGTCGCGGGGCGCATGAAGGAGCGTTTCTAGAGGGCCGTGTAGGGCCGTGTAGGGCCGTGTAGGGCCGTGTTCTAGGAGGGTCGTGTAGGGCCGTGTTCTAGTAGGGTCGTGTAGGGCCGTGTTCTAGGAGGAACGTGTTCTAGGAGGGTCGTGTTCTAGGAGGAACGTGTTCTAGGAGGGTCGTGTTCTAGGAGGAACGTGTTCCTACATGAAGGCGCGTTGAGCATTTGCAGGCGTTATACGAGGGATGGGAATCTAGATACAACCACATGAATTCATCGAGTTCCAACCACATGAATTCATCGAGTTCCAACCACACTTTCAACCACACTTTTGACCGCACTTCAACCGCACTTCAACTTCATCAACCACACTTCAACTTCTTCAACTTCATCAGCCACACTTCAACTTCATCAACCGCACTTCAACTTCATCAACCACACCTCAACTTGATCGGCCCAATGCACCCGTCTACACTCGTCCCTGCACCCGCCTACACTCGTCCCTGCACCCGCCTACACTCGTCCCTGCTCGTCCTAACTCATCTCCAGCGCGTCCCTGACCTCCCTCCCCGCAAACTTCAGCCCCTTCATCAGCCCCTCCACCCCGCCCATCCCCCCGCTCCCGCCGTCGCTCCTCCCCACCAACACCGCCGCCACCTCGCGCCCGCCCTCGCCCCACACCCGCCGGCAAGGCACCCACTGCACGCCCCTGAGGCTGAGCCGCCCGAGATACTCGTCTGCCGCGAACCCACCCCCCGCGTACAGCGTCGCGCTCGTCCAGTCCCGGACGCTCTCCCGCCCGAGCCGTCGCAGCGCATCCGTGTCGTCTGGGCTCCTGATCTCGAGCGTGTAGAACCGCGGCCCCGACGCCGCCGCCTGCGTCATGCTCAGCGCCGCGAGCCGCGAGCGCGAGAACGACGCCGACCCGCTCGTCAGGCCCGTCGCGCTCCACTCCACGTCCGCCCCGCGCGGGAGCGAGTCGACCTGCGCGATGAAGCACGGCGGGTAGCCATCGGGCCTGGCTGGACGCTGCGTCGACGGATCCGGGAGCGCCGCGCGGTGTGTCGTGTCGTTGAACGCGGCGACGTGCGTGTTCCTCCTATCCCAGGGATCTACATTGTCGCCGTCGCCGTCGCCGTCGTCGTCGTCTGCTTCCTCTTCCGAGCAGGCGTGGATGCCGCGCCACGCCGCCTGCGCAATCTTGACCTTGTCCTCGGCAGCCTCGCCCGCGGGGATGAACCCCACCGCGCCCGTCCACCACCGCACGCCCTTGGCGCGCCCGATGCGCCACAGATGCTGCAGTGCGAGCGTAGCCTGCCCCTCGAACCCGCGCGCCGTGAACATGTCCATTGACGCAGGCACGAGCGGGATCTGGCCCGCGACGTAGACGACTTGGCCCGCGCTGCTCGCTTCGCCAGACTCCGACGGCAGCTGCGCAGAAACCGCCTGGCTGTACGGTCCAATGTTCGCGGGCGCCCAGTAGCTCCTGCCCTGCACGTGCAGGCCCTGGCGCTCGACTGGGCGCACGACTTTGCCCTTGCGGTCGCGCGCGTCCTTGTCCATGGTGATGCTGAGCATCACGTCCACACCGGCCGGCATGCAGTCGCCGACCGAGACGGTGACGCGCGCGGGCGGGTTGACGCCGGAGAAGTACTGCCCGTAGACTGGGTTGAGCACGCCAAAGTCGGACATGCACCGCAGCAGGAGCGTGCAGTGGTTGATGTCCGCGCGGGAGAGGTGCCATTGCTTGAGCACGTGGTCGAGGCGGAGCAGCATCTTGGTCAGCTGCCGCGAGGGGGACGGGGCGCTGGGCATGGAAGCGCGCCATGTGTCGGACAGGTTGGAATACGTAAACACGGTTGGCGTGTCGGTCGATGCGTTTCTGGGCAGACGGTCGAATGTCGCTGTCGCAGCCACTGGCTCATTCAGCAGCGTTGCGTCGTCCGAGATGACCGATGGCGTGTCGTCCGAGATGAGCGACGGCGTGTCGTCGCTGGCTTCCAGCTCGTCCAAAACTCTCTTGAACTCGTCATCAAACAGATCCGGGATCCTCAGCATCTCAGCTCTCCCCTCGTCCTCCCCGCTCTTCTCTTCCAGCTCGCTCGCCCTCATCTTCAACACCGACTGCCCGGCCTCACTGACGCCCGCCGCACCGGGTTCGATCCTGATCCGCTTCTTCCAGAGCGGCCTCGGCCCGTCCAGCGCCAGCGTCTCGTACTCTCCCCCCTCGCCCAACACAGCCCCGTTGCTCTCCTCGCCAAACCTCGCCATGGCCTTTTGCAGCTTCGCAATCGTGCTCGGCGCCGCGACATCCCAGCCCAAGACGCGCTCGTCCAGGCCGCCCGATGCCGTCTTGATCACAATCGCCCGCTGCCCCACCGCCGCCATATCGCGCAGCAGCTGGCTCTGCGAGTACGGCGGCAGCAGCGGATACTGCCACAGGTAGCTCAGCGGCGCGAGCCCGAGCCTCAGCGCCACCGACTCGACCCGCGTGCGCTGGTAGGTGCTCAGGATGGCGCCCGTCGACACGGCGTTTGCCTCTGGGTGCGCCAGCATGGCTTTCCGCAGCAGCGGCACGAGGTCCTCGGTCTCGTCCTGCTCTTGCTGCTGCGCCTGCGGCGTGCGGTAGTCGCGCTCCGAGTTCACTGCGCTGCCGGTGATTTCCTGCCGGTAGACCGGGATCCCGAGCGCCTGCTCGTAGAGCGGTATCACAGCGTGGCCCACGGTCTGGTACATGTAGCTGTTGATGTCTTCATTGTCGCTGCCTGTAGACGGCGGGTGGAGGTTGGCCAGGGCGACCACGTTGTGTCCATTCGCGACGCAGTGCAGCATCGAGAAGAACGAGTCTTTGCCGCCAGACACCAGCGCGATGACGTTCAACCCCATGGTTCGGGGCGTGAGCGGGAGCGATACAGGAGACGCGAGAGAGCGCTCGCGCCGTGTCGACTCCAGCCGTCGTGATACCTACATGTCTGGTGTCTGGCCCTCGGATTCGCTAAAGTCATCGCGCGCTAGCGTAGTCGACCCAAGGTGGAGAATAAACTTGGTGGAAAAGTGCGCCATCCAAGAGCAAGCCACAGTCACATGATTGAGGTCACTGAGCGCCAAAGTGGAGCAGAACTGCGTGTATCTTTAAATATTTTGATGCATAGTCGGATGTGCCAGCACAACCCTACGAACAAGGCAAAGAGAACTATGCAGAGCGGTAGGGGAAAGTCGAACTATTACAGGCTTGAAAGAAGCGAATATTCTCAGAACGTTTGGCCTGCACAGATTGCAGCCTATTAAAACGAGAGTAAGAACGCTGAACACGTGTTCCGTGTGAAGGAGTGCGGCGACGATGCCCGGGAGGAAGGGGTCGTCTCGTCGTAAGCTGTAAACCGCAAAATATGAACACCGACCAGATCTAACCGTGTGAATCCCCAAATGTGCCCATGTGATACCCTGATGTGCCGTGCTAAATGTTAAACCCGGATGGAGGCAAACTCGTGAGCTGCCAAAGTGTGGTGAAAGAATACAGGTGAGAAGAGAAGACGAATTTTTGCCGCAACGTCGAGCCAATGCACCCGAGTCGCCAGTATTGAGCAAGTCCTTCTATCGATCCTGGGTCATGAAGGTTCGTTAGAAGAGTCCAAGGGAGAAGACGTCGGACAACCATCTACTCATCGCGCTTCCTCTTGCTGCGCATCTTCAGTGGCGAGGGCTCGAGGTCAGAGTAAGAGTCGGAGCTCGCACTGGAGATGCCGGCAGCAGCGTTGTAGAGGATCTGGCCCATCATGGTAGGATCCTGATTCTCGTACGATCCAGAATGCCGATGAGACATGTCGTGGTGGAGCTCAGAGCTGTCGAGGACACCCATGACCATAGCGCCAGTGCCGTGGGTGCGCTGATGCTGCGAGAGGTTGTCGCTGCGAGAGAACTTCTTGCCGCAGTCGGTGCACTCGAAGGGCTTGTCGTGGGTGTGGAGGGATCGGTAGTGGCGCTTGAGGTGTTCCTGGCGACGGAAGCGGCGCGAGCAGAGTGTGCAGACGAATGTCTTGGAAGGGTCCTCAGTCAGCGACTGCTTGCGACCGCGACGGCTGGAAGGGGCGGCGGGGGCAGCGGAGGCTGTCTCCTCAGAGCTAGAGTTGGCGGCGTTGTCTTGACCTGAGTTCTGTTGGCTTGATGCTCCAGACGCGGCGCTATCATCACCGGATGTCTGCTGCTTACCAGAGTAGTCTGACTCCGCCTCGCTCTGCTCAGAGCGCGCCCTTTTCATCGATCGCTTCTTGGGTGCAACGGACATGTCGTCGTCCTCGGACTCAGCAGGTGTGAGGGGCAGGCTGAGGTCTTCCTCAAAGTCAGTGAAGCTGGCGTCGCTGACGAAGTCGTCTTCAGGGGTGCAAGGGACTGTGCGCTGGCGCTTGCCGACGGGAAGCTGAATCTCCGAGTTGGGGAACGCAACAAGGCCAGTGAAGTCGTCCTCGCAGTCAAGTTCGAACAGCGGCTCGAAGGTTGGCAGACCCGTGGAGGTAAAGGTGGACTCGACCTCGTCGACCTTGGCGACTTCACCCTTGAAAACAAGCTTGTGCTCTTCGTCAACAGGGCAGAGAGTCAGCTGCTCGGAAGCAGAGACAGTGAGGTCCCTGGGATTGCAGAAGTTGTTCTCAGCCTCGACGGAGAAAGAGCGGGGCAGAGGTGAAGGTGAAGGAGACAGCGATGGGCAAGAAGTGGCGGAGAGCAAATATGATCCCTGAGTGGGCTGAATGTACACTAATCCTAGTCAGTCATCCCTTCCACAAACGTCGCGTTTGCCTAGTCACGTTTACACGCTTATCGGCCACCTGATTGTGGTGCTTACCTGGGGTCATAGGTGGGGTGGCTGACCTCCACTCGATGCCAGTGGACAAGAGCTCGGTGAAAACCTCTCCCTCGCAGCCTTGCTTGATACCCTCGATGCCCTCGCCCGGGAAGAAAGCGTTCACTGGTGTGGGAAGGAGGTTGTATGTGGAAGGAGGGCTGCTCATGTTGCTACCGCAGGATGACAGTGGTGGTGTGGCAGGCGCATAGAAGTCAGTGTCAAGTGTCTGCAGGAATGGGGATTCCTGAGGCAGGACAAAGATTGCTGGCTTCTGGTACATTGGCTGAGGCGATGCTACGGGTGTTATCATCTGGTTGGCGTATGCGGTATGAGGGTAAGACATCGAGTGTGCGGACGAAGGCCTCTGGTAGTACATCTGTGGCTGGAGTGTCTGCTGGCCGGCGGGCTGTGGTGTGAAGTGTCCGTGCTGGCTGGTCCTCTCGCCCTGAGGGTCCGGGTTGTAGTAGAAGAATGGTGCTGATGTTGCCTGCATTGGGTGCATGTGATATGAGCCTTCCATTGTAAATGCTGTGATGTCTGACCGCGATGTTAGTGGGGCATATACTTGGATTGCACTGCTCTTCAACTCACTATATGCTAGTTGGTCAGGTGCCAGATGGTTCTTTGGGTGATTCCTTGGTACCGAGGCGGAGTGGTGTTATATTAGGCGGAGTGTATATGGTTGTATGCTTGAGCGCTATGCAGCAATGGATTGTTGGTTGGTTTGAAGGAGTGACTGGACGACTACTTCAAGATGATGAAGCTGTCTACTAATGTGTGGATCTACTAGGACGAAGATTTCATGGGGTCGTGCGTTGACGAAGATTGGGATAATCCAAAAGGAAGGAACGGTTACAATGCACAATCGACGGGAGGACTGTACAAATGTATACCAAAAAGGGAAGACCAGGAAGGGTACTGGGAAGGAGAAAGACAAGCGACGAGGTTGATAAACCTTTGGACAAGGAAAGCGCAACGAACGGAAGGGAAGGCCTGGATAAGTAGCCTAGATCAGCGAGCGACGAGACAGCAACCAAGACTGAAAAAGTAAAAGATGGCCGACGGTCGCTCGGAATTGGTTGACTACAGGTGTGGGAGGGAGTCGGGGCGCAGCGCAAGCGTCCCCACAAGCCCAACCACAGCGGTGGTCTCCATGCAGGACGGACCCCTGCCAGACTCATGCGCCTAAGTGCAGGGTTGTCGACTCGTGAGCGTGACTTAGGGCAGCGGGATGGCATAACTCATGCACTAAAATTGGTCGCCAAATGCAAGGCCTGGTGTGGCTGCATGAGCTGCACAGGCGAAATGAAGACGCGCACAGCGCCGGCACAACTTGTGCAGCCATTGGCTTGTTGGCCAGAGCGGCTGGCGTTGTCTGCGTATCGATATGCTGCTGCGGTGCTGCCCACCGCACGCGCCGAATGGTCGAGAAACACCGCGAGGCAAGCAGAGCTGACTCTTGAGCCCCGCCGCCGGAAGGGCCGCCGAGAAGGCGAGGCCATGAGTGGTGGTGAGCAGTGCGGTAGTGCTGCGCGACATTGTGTCTCGTTCGACGACGAAGGCCCGTTGGCCGCAACTTTGCGTAGTTGCCTTCGAGCCCTCCCATTGTTAGCCATTCAGCCGTGTGTCCCGCCGGGGATAGATCAGCCTATCCGCCCAATCGATAGTGATATCTCGCCGTTGACCAGGAGTCCAGGAACAGGGTCCTGGACTCGGCCAACCGGAGGGTGAGTAGTGCGGGCTGCTGCTGACGTCTTGCCTCTAAGCGTTCGTTTCGAAACATTGCAGCTCACCACACAACGTGCGTCCCTCTGGCAGGGTGTGAACATGACGACGTCGCGGCTTCGTCACACGAGAGCGCAGCGTTCCGATGCCGAATCGCACGCTTTCGCCGCGGTGCTACCATGGGCTATCACAAGAGGCTACCATGGGCTATCACAAGAGGCTACCGTGCACTCGAGTCTGACAGAGCGTCTACAGCCGCCTGGGAGGTCCGACGCTCGTCGATGGAGAGTATGCGAGGTGACTGCGTTGCATGCTCACCGCACCCACGCTGAACGACGATTACCTCCACACAGAACGCGGTCGGAGTCGTGGAGCGCGTTGTTTACAGTCCAAATGCAGAAGGAGTGCGGTAGCGCAGCGCTGAGCAAACGACGCGAGATGCAGGAACACCGTCGTGCTGCATGCAGGCTGAAGTCGCCCGCTGCAGCTGATTTGCCCGGTGACGGCGAATCGTTGGATCCGGCTGCTCTACGGACGGCTACGCAGCGATGGTGCGACATAGCAGAACGCGAGCTGCACCTCGCCACCGCGCGGTTTCCTAGGTCAAGACTCAAGAACGGTAGGAACCAAGGAACAATGGTTAGTGGAACTGGTGCCCGAGGTAGCTGAACAGGTAGCTGCTCACGCGGCCTGATGCTGCGTTGGCATCGACGAGAGTCGTGTGTTTCAGATGGCTGCGCCGTGTGTGAAGCCGCAGAGTGGCTACAGTCTGCCGGCGTCAAGGCCGTTTGACAATTCTGTTGACGGCGGGGAACCTCTGTAGCGTCCCGGAACCGACCATCTGCTGGAATCCCACAACGGGAAACCGATGATAAGCCAAATCTCGCCTGTTGTGCGACATGTGAGCTGCTTTTTGTTCGATGTCATCAGCGTGGCCTAAAACTGCTGACTCGTGTCGCGTCCGCAATGCAGACCCTACAATAACATTAAAGTTCACACTCCACTGCCTAAACGTGTCTCGAAGTTTTGGAATTAGGTATGGCACTCTCATTACACGATGCTCAATTTCTCTTCTACGCCTCTGCCGTAGACGTACCGATACAGATAAGGATGATAGTGCCGTGATGGCGACTCGACTCGCGCCTTGGTCCTCTGTCCTTCGCGACCCACGATTTGTGCAGCGTGTGGCTCGTATAACTGTCAGCATTCGATAATTGTTATGCCTCAGCACATCGTCATCTTCCTCGTCAGTTTGCTATTTTGAGACCTAGCGCGACTTTAATGCACGTTGCACAACTCTCACCCGTGTGTGAGCTCCGCTAGGGTATCCCAGTATGGCCTAGCTCGTTCGCTGCTTTACGGCGACCTTGTCAGTGGTGTCACATCGTCCAGTGAGCTCGCCTGCGTGTGACGGCGGGGTGGTCTGCCTCAATTCGGGCCAATTGCCTACGACTGAGCTGGAAAAACCCATAATAACGGCAAGCACCTACGCCGCCTATGCAGGTACGCTGCAGGAACAGAACGTCTCGCAGCACTGGACAACAACTGCCTTATCGTGACACTAGTTCCTTCGTCTGGACCCTCGTGGGGTACGCTCATCTGTGCATCGCACGGCGACGTGACGCGCCTACCTTTTCCATGTGATAACGGAGGATTGTGATTTCTGGAACGTCCATCATAACGGGGCCAACAGGGTCGTGAGATGGACGGCACGACTCAGGAAGAAGCTCCGTCGTGCTTTGTCTGTGCTGGAGCCTTCCGAGGACAGTCGCGCGGCATGGCCTCACCACAGGGTCGGCGCCGGGGAACTGTTGATGGCTTCCTTAACCCTTGTTTTTGGCTCCACCAAATCGACCTCTATCACTTGTCGAGATTCCGTGGAGTACCCTGATCTCGTTTAAACTTCCTCGAAGGTTTTTCAGGCCGAGGACTGCTTCCGAAAGTGCTCTTGATGAGCCAAACGAGACGCCTCGCTCATCACCAGTTTGCCAACATGTGTCAGTCGTATACAAGCGTCGCCCTCGAATATTCCGAGAGCCCAAGAGTCATAGGTCTCGTCGATCGTTGTGTCCGCCTGCAGGCGTGGCATTTGTATGTGTGGATGAGTCCGGCAGCGGCCTGATACTGAAGAGTCTTCCGTCAGAGTCGAAAAGTTGCTGCTGCATGCTGCATGCTGCTGACGATATTGACACATTTGAGAAGCTCACCCAGAGATCCCGGTTCCCCATTGACACCGCCTTACACAAGTGATATAATATTTGAAACCACGACACGGCATTCACAATCGCCGCAGAGGCACTGTCAACGGTGGCTTATCCGAGAAAGGCAGCTGACAGCCTGGGGCAGACGTCGTACCGGGGAGTCTGGAACCGTGGAACGGAAGCTGGGGTGCAGCACCGTGCTGAGCAAGGCCATCCAAACGAAATTCAAATTTCATATGCCTATGCTCGAGCAGTGCGACATGGCGCTTGCTCTCGTTTACCAGCCGCGACGCACCCGCACGACTGATCCCTGGCGTCGTCCTTCTCGAAGACTACTCCACAATGATGCGAGGATTAAGAGTGCACGTACTGTCCAAGATTTCATGCGGCGTAATCGGATTGCAAGGAAAACCCTATTCAGCTCAGACTCTTTCGCGATCAACTTGCTGGTCGAGCAAACGTCGAGATACGTGTCTCGTCTAATCTGAGACGGGAAGTGGGGACGGAAGGGCCGCCCTGGAGCCGTGATGGCGAACTTAGAAATTTGTTGGTTCCATCTGCTGGTCAAAGACGTATTTGCAACGCACCGCCACATTCTGAGGTAACGATTGGCAGGATTCCTGTGGACCCTCAAGGCTCACGGATTGTAGGAAGACATGCCCACATTGAAACACTACGGAGAATATTAGCCGTGCAGTCCTAGGCAATGGGAATCACCGCAAGTGGATGTCGTTCGATACCTATCTTCGTGACTGTCAGCGAATCACGCACCTCGGGCCTCCTCACTTTGCTCTAGCCGGAGGACTTCCTGCGCCTTCAGTTGGCCGTGCTCTTGAGTCTTGATTCGTGTCAATCCATGACAGTCGGCGATATAACGGCACTCGTGTCAAGAAGCCTGGAAGCAGGGTCCCGCGGTATCGGGAGAGGGCCGCCTTGGGCGGCTTGATTCAAGAAGTCGCTGTGAGCGCAACTTGCCGATCCAGTAGATCTTGGGCACGAAGGTGATGAGATTGGGGATCGCAATCTGGATGACGCTTGCCTTAGACATGTGCGTGTTAAGGACGCAATCGAGGCTTGAGTGGCAAATAAGTCAAGGTTTCCTGGTCCCAGGGCGATGTCGAGCGAGGGCTTCAGGGCCAGCCCGCAGGGCAAGCCGTGTATAACATGCAGTCGCGTCCGCGAAGTCGGTCCCTCCCTCGTCGCTAGAGCCTGTTGTACAACGACAAGGCGCGCTTGTTTCAAGATGCTATAGCAGCTGCGTGTTCACCGAGGCCAGAGATATGTCGCGTCCGCCTGGGACGTCTCGAAAAGCCTGAGCAGGACGGACGACGATACGCCATTGGTTTTTCAATCGTTGACTGCGGCAGACCGAACGATAACGACCCCGGACGAGACAAGACACAGATGTACGGATCCTCACAAACGTGTAGACAGCTTGCCGACCAGCTGTAGCCGTCTCAGCACCCATCGTCCATGCCCTGTCGCGTGGTTGACATGTCTCCATCGCATGAACTGTCAACATCACAAAACACCGTTGGTCGGTACGTCAAATTATACGCATGAATTTGAAACATCCGAAGAAATGTCTGAGATGCAAGGATGGGCTGAGACGTCTGGTACCAGTGATGCCATGCCCGTGCTATAGCCGTTGGGGTCGTTGAGGAGCTTGTACCAAGATGCTGGCGTGTTATAAAACGTCGGCCGTGAGCCTGCAGACGAAAAGCAACCGCGCGGCGTTTGAAGAAGAAGCTGCGTGGACGACGCTTATTTGCAAACGTAGACTCTACCGGCCACTTCACGCATCAGCATACATGGATATAGCATCTATGGATGTGGGAGCGGACGCCCAGGCTGATTAGTTCAAGCTGCTGTTCAAGTTGCTGTTCGAAGAGCATGCTATGGACTAAATGCCTGCGAAACCTCAGCTAACACGCTCCACATTGGCCACTTCAGGCCTGGACAGCATACGATCCTGAGAAAGTGTATCTGCGTGTGCTGCCGTAGTGCCATTTGCAGACGTCCAGTCACGGTGACGCCGTACGAAGATCTGCGAAACTGTGCCGCATGCTGCACAGCCTCCTGCGCTATCGTCGCGCTCGCCGTACGCCGCACCGCCACGCAGAGCTCAGAAGCGGTGCGCGCAACTTCACTTGACGAGGCATAGAGCTACTTCACCATCGACAAGGTTTCTGCTGATTGGAAAGATGTTCGAGCCTTTTCCAGCGAGAGCGCCACTGTGTGTCATCCGACTCAGACGCCCCCGCAAAGTGTATACGATCGATGATGCAATATGTTCTCTCTTGGAGGTCATTGACGCCGTGCAGAACCATCGCCAGGCTCCGGAGCAAGAGGGGAAACTCTGTAATATGACCTCCGCCGCAAAGAAAGAAGTCTCGAAACGGGCCCTTCGGTGAAGTTTTTGTACGGTGACCGGAGACGGTTATTCCGCGCCGGTGTTAGCGCGAAAATCTGTGTTGAAAAGTTGCGGGCAGGGCGACGGTGCGTTTCGATATGGCCGGAGATGAATATTTTACATCATGATAGGAAGAGTAATATACCGCACTGCGGTAACTGATTTCATCATACATAAATTCTGAGGCCTGTCTTGGAGTTGCGCGTTTGGAGATGTTCTGCGGAAGGGGCAGCTTGCAGATGGAACCACATCAGTATCTCACAGCTGAAGGCGGTTCGATGCAGTGATTGAGCACTGCTCATGTCGTTGGTCTCATAACTCTTCTTGAAAACGCACGCTTAGGAGACACTCTTTCCCTCCCCCAACTGTGACTGCGTCAAGAGTCGTCGCCAATCTTCTCGAGCTTGCCCAGATCTCTCTTCTCGCCAGTCTCGCCAATGAAGCGGATCCTGTCTATGCGCGTCTTCTCGCTGTCGCCCTCGCCATCCTGCACGAACAGCACAAGGCTGTAGACGTTCTGGAACTTGACGAACCGCAGCTCTAGCTTGGCCGTGCCAGTCTCCTGGTCCCAATCCGACTCCTTCAGCTCAATGGTCTGCGTTGATGGTATGTCCTCGGCCTCCTCGAAGCCCAGATTGTGCTGGCGGTTGGTCCAGATGTGGATCGTCTTTGGTCGAACGGGGATCTCGTCGTCGTCTTCGTCGACAGGCGGGTTGGAGGTGATCTGGATGGTGTGGACCTTGACGGTTGAGGTGAAGGGTACGTAGAGCATGAGCTGGTTGTCGACATCGCTCTCAACCCAGTCCTTCGTGTCTGCGCTTCCCTTGCCCTTGCTCAACGAGCTCGGCTTCGCGGTCTCGAAGAGTGTGCGCACGCCGCCGAAGTCGCTGTCGGCGTTCAACAAGTCCAAGCCCCGTACGTCAACCTGCTCCGTGACATCTGTGTATCCTCGTGGCAGATCTGCGCCTCTCCAAGGGCCGCTGCCACTCGAGCTTGCCTCTCCAAACCCTCCAGCGCCTCCATCAGACTCGGCTTCTTGCGCTAGGCTCTTGATCGCATCGGACAGGTGCTGGGGATTGGAGCCGCTGAACTTGCGTATCTGCTGGCCATTCTTGAAAATGATGAAGGTGGGTGTGTTGGTGACGTTGTAGCTCTCGGCGATCTGGGCCTGCTTCTTGACGCTGACCTTCGCGAACGTGATCTTGCTGGCTCTCGAGAGCTGTTGCGCGAGCTGGTCGTACACCGGGATGATGGCCTTGCTCGATTGGTTCTCCTCGTTGTAGACTGCACACCAAACATTAGTGACATGGCCCAGGTCGGCAGCGGGGGCATTGGCGCGTACAGTTGAGGACAACAATGCGCGAGGAAGAGATCAGCTGGCTCAGCTGGGAGGCCGACGACGTCTCGACACTACCGGACATGGCTGCGACTGTGGACGTGCTTGTTGTATGTGCAGGCGCGGCGGCTGGCAGATGTACGTGGGGGGTACTTCGTAGCTGGCTGGCGCAGCAGTACGGCGGGGTGCTCCAGGCGGCAGTTGGACGCGACATTGCTAGAACATTCACCCGCACATTGCCCACCAAACAGCAGCCCGGGGTCGCGACAGTCGCTGTAGCACATAGCAAGCCCATGGCAGGACCCGGCAACCTTTACTTCAACTTCGCCGAAGCCAAGCTCATCCACGCCATCAACCTCCTACTCGTTATCGAACGTTGCGACGCGACTAGGAGAGCTCACCGCGCCGACTACTACTACTCGCGCGCTACCCTGATCGCAAACGTCCCTATTGGCGTCCTCGCCTCCTTCGCTCTGTACAGACTGTTCCGCCCGGCATAATGTCTCACGTCGTCGTCACCAACTCCTTCGCGAAGACGTTCAAGATCCCGACCACACCCACCAAGTACTTGACCGAAGTCCGGGACGAGGCCTGTGAGAAGTTTGGCGTCAGCAAAGACCAGTTCACACTCAAGTAGGTGGAAGATTCACATGATTACTGCAGTAGTGGCTGACAGAAGGCAAGGTACAACAACAAGCCCATCTCGCTCTCGCAGCAAATACGACTCGCGAACCTGCCGCAAGGCGCACGACTAGAGCTCGTCCAGGCTTCGAGATCACCCACCGTAGTCTCGGTCGCCCTCCAGCTGCCAAAGTCTCGCCTTACGCAGAAGTTCGCCAACAACACCTCGCTGTGGGAGATCTTACGATACTTCGAGAGCGGCGATGGAAACAACTACAACTTCACAGAGCGTGCTGCACCTGAGATGAGCGGGACGTCAGGCGCTGGGAGGCTATGTTACGAGATGCCTGTGATTACAGTCATGCCTGGTCACAGGGAGCAGTCATCCTTCGTTGGGTTGCAGCAAACACTGAGCCAGCTTGGCTTCGACAGTGGGTCAGCATTGCTGAAGCTGTCCTTCAAGAACACAGGCACGCCACTAGAGGAGGCCATGGCTCAAATATCTCAGTACTTTAAGCCTGAGGATCCTGCTGCCAGCACTGCGCCAAGTAGACACGCTGCTGACCCTGTTGTGTCGATGCCGGCGCCCAGTATTGACAAGGCAGTGCCCGAGGAAACAACCACGATAGCTGGAGAGACAGTCACGAGCGATGAGCCGGACCCCGAGCCCATGGACGTAGACACGCAGCCGGCGCAGCCAGTGCCCCAGCCACCAGTTGTGCCTGCAGAGTCGGAACAAAACAATGCATCTGCAGACACCATCAATACCTCTCCCGCAGCAGCACTTGCAGTAGCGAAGTCAACAGCGACGCCAGAATCAATAGAAGCCACGACTATAGCCCCACCACGGCCATGTGAGCCTACGTCTTCCTCAGATCAACCTCGCAACATCCAGATATTCTCCGCCTCCTCTTCGGCAACACCACAGGCCGCACGCAACGCATTCAACGAGAATGATTTTGTTCCCACAGTCGAACACGCAAAAATCCACCAGGCGCAGCTTATCAACCGCACACGCAACCAGCGTCTCCTCTCCGACAAGGAGCTCGAGGAGCAAGAGAGAGAACGACAAGCCAGAATTGCAGCAGCGGCGAACAAGCCTCACTCCCTCCGTATCCGCCTCCCTGACGGTTCGCTTGTGCAGATGAGCCTCAAGAGAGAGGATACTGCCTCCGTTCTCTACTCGTACGTCACCTCTTTCCTCGAGAAAAAGAACGAGCCCTTCGACCTCAAGTACACAAGTAGCACAGGGCGCCTCGTGCTCATCGCGCGCGATGAGAAGAGGCTTATTCAAGACCTGCGTTTCTCGATGAACGAACTCGTCACCTTCCAGTGGGCCGAGGGTGCCAGTGCAGAAGTGCGCGCGAGTCGGAAGACACTAGCACAAGAGTGGCAGGCGAAAGCGCAGACACTCAAGGTCGTGGAGCCGGTTCAGGAGGGACCAAAGAAGGTCGAGTCCAAGGGCCAGACGGTGGCTGAGGGAAAGCGGAAAGTGATGAGCAGCGAGGACAAGGAGAGCAAGCTGAAGAACATCCTAGGCAAGGGCCTGTTCAAGAGGAAGTGAGTGTGTGCAGATCTTGCATTAGATGGAGTTGAGAGCGTTCCGGTCTTTGTGTATAGGTGACCTTACGATAGCGAATCACGATATTTGACGCGTGTCACATTTTGCTGTGTTGCGAGTCTGAATATCTTCAATGAGCGATAGGTCCTTTGTCGTTGGTCGTGTTGGTGTGGCTGATGGGCCGTCACTCGCGTGTCCAGGGCCTCATTTCTCTCTTTTCACGATGGAGAACCTGCCTTTTAAAATGCCACAGCGACGCACCGATAAAATATTGCCCAAACCTGATTATTGAGTACCGATATATCGGACCAATAGGCGCAAGAGAGTTTCAGAGGGTTCAGTCGCATGATGGTCACGATTTCTCTGTTTTTACCACCCAGCTCAACTTCCAACCCATCACACTACCCGACTTACCCTGTTCCGAGACACACTCTCCTCATACTACAATTTGAGCGACACCAGCTTGGACAATTATTCTAGCTGAGCCATCCATTAGCAAGTGACATCCAAGATCTCCTGGGCAGCAGCACTCCACACTGGCGCCTCGTACCCACACGAAACGCAAACACAGACACTGTAGCGAAACTCGGGCGACACACGAGCTCTGTCAAGACGTCGAAGGCTCCAGACATAGTCTCATCCAGGATCGAGGAGATCCTTAATGCGCGATACTGACCGCCATGCTCCGCGAGTGCTTCTACACTCCGTTCCTCGCTCCAGGTACAGGACTTGACTGTACGAATGAATGCGGCGAGGTGGACTGCGTGCATATGATGCGGAAGCAAGTATCTCGATGCGAAGACATGCACACTGTGCCCAGCAACTAGAGGCAAGGCAAGGATGTGATGTATTTGTTGCTGCGCGCCGATCCCGAGGGTGAGTAAACGGAGTGCTTAATTCAGGATATGTCGCGTACGTGTGCCACGGTATTGTGATGTGATTTACCACCATCTATCGATGCGTTGCTTTGAATCGGGGATGACGGGGCGTGGGGTGAATGGTACTTGGGTACGTCGCTATATGTTGGGGGAGGTGGGTGATGCGTACTGAAGAAAGGGGAGGATGCGAACTTGAGATCACGGTAGTTGGACATTAGGGTGGGGGTGGGTAGCTATCAGTACAGGGAATGATGAGGATGTGGGCAGCGGAGATCCATGACGGATCGTAATAGACGGCGGTAAGGGCTGGCAGCTTTATTGGATGGCTGAAAGGTGTGGGGTATATGTGCATATGCATCGTCCGTAGCGGAGTGTAGATTGTAAACCATAACAAGCAAACGTGTACCAGAACCGAGCCCTTGTTGTAACATCGATCGTGAGTAGCAACCGAAAGCGTTGGGTGTATCCGCGAGGACTGGAGCGTAGGGATCATCGAGGTAACGGACATTGTATTATTGCTATGATTGCAAATCAATGCATGTTACAAAAGGATGTAGGCGCCTCCACTTCCAGCTTTACCCATAAGGAGAGCAGGCTAGAAGCAGCCTCCGTGCATTGTTACACGTTGCGAGCAAGGCGCGTTCGATATAAGCATTTCTCGGCCCATACTTCAGCCATTGGAAAAGGCATGAGTTGGAATTTGACATCCATGCTAAGGTCTCAACCATCGATACAATCCGCAGTCGTGCACTGTTCGCTCGCTGTTAGCTCACCACAACCCATACACTATGCACAAGACGTGGCGTGAACCGTCGTCACATTTCATGATTTTGTGACACTGCTAGGTACGCGAACCATGCTTGTTTGTCCGTCGCTGTCGCCATACTCCGATCATGTGTCATCCTCTTGGTGTGTTGTGACCTTAACCCTCGTGCCGAAGGCGTAGTCGATCCGCCAGGATGATTGGTAAGACCTAACACCCAGAAAGAACCGGAAAAGTGGTGCCCATACTTTGCTTCATCTGAAAATCATGAACCCGTTTAGTGACCCGCACGCCTCGACTCGGCGATGACCTTGGACATCTCGTCGACCTTTCTCTTCGCACGGCCGAAGGTACCGAGCTGTATTGTGTTAGTAAAGGCTTGTAGAGTAGAGTGTAATGCGTGTAGGCGGTCGGCTACGATGAGTGGTGGTGGGAGAGACGTACCCTCTTCTTCGCGAGACGACGGGCACGCTTGTCCTTGGAGTTGCGGAGGAGTTCGATGACGCGCTTCTCGTAGGGGGCAAGACTGAGCGACTGTTAGCGGGCTGCGTAATTTGGTATCCAGACATTGGCGGCGGCGGCGGCAGGCTCTGCATGTGCGCATTGCACTGTCCCTCCACCTCCAATCGACGTACCCAGCGACCTCACGGGCGATCTCCCTGACGAACGCGGTGCGCTTGGACAGGAAACCCTTCCTCCTGGAGATCCTGGCGGCAGGAGTCCTGGGAGTGACCTCTGCGTGCTAGTTAGTCTCCGTTCTATGCCCTCCTCCAAATTTTGCGCGGTGTCGGCTCGTTGCGTTCGGTGTGTGGTGGGTGAGAAGACGTACTGTGGCCAGCGTTGATGCCGGCAATAATGCCAGACTTCTGCTTGACGTCCTTCGGCATGTTGGCTGTTGTCGATGGTTAGTGGAAGGGTCGAAAGGGAGCAAAGTGCGCGTTGGTAATTCTGTGGGCAGGTGCGATCCACCATCTACGCTAGCCGGATGGAGGTGCGCAGGCGAGCGCTTGGCAGGCGCGCACCGAGCATCAAACTTTTACGGACCACGCGGAAGTTCAAGGCAGCATCGACGTGCAACAACATCTGAACACTGCAAGGCATGCTGGGGGCAGTCACGGTGGGAGGCGCTATTAGTCAATTGGATTTTGCAATTAGGTTACTGCTTGCAGCACACTGCTTGTGCTGCGCTCTATATCTTAGCGTCTGGCTTGCTCCTTGCAGCAAGATTCCTCGACGCTGACACCACAAATCCAACATGATTGCTCAAAGCAACTAGTTCACCAGCTGCGTCGTGCACCCATATACCCAGGTCTAGTCTGCCATTCTTGATTTGTTTCAATTCGGCTCTCACCCTGAGCCACTTAACTCCCTCGGCAGGCAGCAACTTCTTGATGTCCAGGTTCAGTAGGAGTGTTGGGTACCAGAAGGCTTCCTTCGTTTCCTTGAGGTTTTCAACGATCTGAGGGTACATGTCTGATACGAACCCAATAGAGGTCTGCGTAAAGTTTGTCCCGTCCGACCAGCAGAACCATTCGTCGACAATGTTCGGGCGTACCGGACCAGCTCGAGGCAAGTGGAAGTTAACCTGCGCCGTTGCTTTACGAAACTTTGCAAATGGCACTTCACTCAATTTCCATAGCTCATCGGAGTCCGTCTCCAGTTTCGCCAGGTCGACAGGTGGGGGTGCAGGCAGAGGCTCGTGCTTCGTGTCGAAGGAGAACCCTTCCTCGGCGGCTATGTTGGAGTTCGTCACATAGGCCACAATCTCCTTGCGGCCATCCTGCGTCATGGTCACGTGAACGACGGAAGCCTGTCGACCAAGCTTGACGTCTTCGACTGTGAACAAAGCAGGCCCAGTTTGGGTCCTTCGCATGAATTCAATGTGCAGAGCAATGGTGTGTGGTTGATTCTGCTTGGCCAACGATGTGTTGAAGTGCGTCTTGACGACCTCCAAGACACAGCCCGTCACGTAGCCGCCATTTGGTACTGTGTTCTCGTCTTAGTACTCCGCCTCCACACAAATGATACGGGATTGTGAAGCATACCACTACCAATACACCAGTCCTCATACAGGGTGCATGAGTACGTGTTCGCGGACACTTTCTGTACCGCGGTTGCTTCTTCCCAACCAGGCATTGTATCGTACTTGTTTCCTGAATTCCGAACGTGAAAATGTGAATGATGGATACACAGTCGGGATCAGGATGCAGTCCAAATAAAGGTACCAAGTAGATACGATTGCTACATGACGATTAATTGCCGACTCCTGGGCTGGGGGTAGTTGACCTCGGAGAAAACGATGCGCTAGCGATCAAAGCCGGAAGAGCCGCGGTTGCGGAGGCAGGAACCCCAACTTCTGCAGCGTCACTCTGAGCCACGGGTAGCCGACGTCACGGCACTCCGCATCGGAGTTTGGCGTCACTGGCGTAACTGCGGCTATGCCGCAACTTTGATCTCTTTCTTGATGCACTCTTTGATCCTCCATAACCAGCTGGTTACGATCTTCAACTTTCGATATGCCCTTCGAGTCCAAGTTCCCAAGCGTACCGATTCCAGATGTCGACCTCTGGGCATTCCTGTTCGAGAGGAAAGATAAGGGCTTCTCCGACGACAAAGGTATGCACGCGACACTGATCTGGTACCTCCAACTATTGGGGTTGACATTCACTGCTAGTGATCTATTTTGACCCATACACAAAGCGATCATACACGTATGCCCAGGTCAGGGATACCGCCATCGAGTTCGGTAAGGGCCTCAGGGGTCTATGGGATTGGCAGAAGAACGATGTTCTAGCACTGTACACACCTAACTGTATCGACACACCAGCGATCACATGGGGGTGTCACTGGGCAGGAGGCGTCTTGAGCCCTGCCAACCCCAACTACACTGTCGAGGAGCTGGCATTTCAACTGAAGGATTCTGGCGCAAAGGCTATCGTCACCCAGCTTCCGTATATCAAGAATGCGCAAGCAGCGGCGAAGCAAGTGGGCATCCCACTCGACAGGGTAATCATTATGGGTGACCAGACAGATCCCTCCCACACAGTCAAGCACTTCACAAGGATCGTCAACACGGCCGATTCGCCAAAGTGGAGAAGGACGAAGGCGAAGAACCCAACAGAGGATTTGGCTTTCTTGGTCTACTCATCCGGAACCACAGGTCATCCCAAGGGTGTTATGCTCACCCACCGTAACATCGTCTCGAACACCATGATGATCAAGGCTGCGGAGGCGGGTAACCTTCAGCCCACAGGCGGACCCACAGGCGATGGCGATAAGCTACTGGCTTTTTTGCCATTCTTCCACATCTACGGTGCGTCCCCTTTGCGATCCTGGGCCTTATTGTGAAGCCATCCACTAACTGCCACAGGCCTTACATGTATGATCCACCAGAGCATCTACTCCGGTCTTCAGCTTGTTGTACTGCCCAGATTCGATCTCGAAGACTTCTGTCGCTTCATTCAGGAGCTAAAGATTACGTTCGCCTACGTCGTTCCGCCTGTCGTTCTGCTTCTCGGCAAGCACCCGGTAGTCGAAAAGTACGACCTGAGCACAATACGTATGATGAATTCTGGAGCTGCGCCCTTGACAAGAGAGCTAGTCGAAGCCGTCAACAAGAGGCTTGGGATACCCATCAAGCAAGGATACGGTCTTTCGGAGACAAGTCCCACCACTCACACCCAGCCATGGGAAGACTGGAACAAGACTATTGGCTCTGTCGGTACGCTCCTGCCCTATCAGACAGCGAAGTACATGTCACCCGAGGAGAAGGAATTGCCAACAGGCGAAGTTGGTGAGCTTTGGATAAAGGGCCCTAATGTTTTCAAGGGCTATCTGAACAACCCTGAGGGCACGAAGAATGCCTTGACTGAGGATGGCTACTTCAAGACGGGTGACGTCGGTTACCAAGATGAGGATGGAAATTTCTATATTACAGATCGCGTCAAGGAGCTCATCAAGTACAAGGGTTTTCAGGTACCGCCAGCCGAGCTTGAAGGTCTTCTTGTCGCACACCCCGGAATTGATGATTGCGCTGTAATAGGTTTGCAGTCCTGCTCAACGATTTCTTGTGTCAAAAACTGATAAGTACAGGCGTCTATGACAAGGACCAGGCAACTGAACTGCCAAGGGCCTATGTTGTACCCAAGGGTGGCCTGGGCAAGGGCGAGAAGGAGGCAAAGGAGATCATCGATTGGCTCGGCGCGAAGGTTGCCCACCACAAGAAGCTGAGAGGCGGTGTCCGGTTTGTTGACGAGGTGAGTGTCTACCACATGCTTTCAGCATAAATTCCCCAGCCCTGGAATGCTAACATGATTTTAGATCCCCAAGTCGGTGTCTGGCAAGATTTTGAGGCGAGTGCTCAAGTTGAAAGCACAAGAAGAACAAGACAGTAGCGCGAAGGCAAAGCTCTAGATAATAATGCGCGAAAACATGTGTCGTTCTCCATCACTCTTTCACCCACTCATTTTGCGCTAGCCAGCTGCTGCTACCAAGTTACAAAAATTCCAGTATATCAGGCCATGGCAAATTACTTTCGCGACTATCAGTCGTCGCCACTTGCATACTAAAGCTCCTCTCTAAACAGAACCCTCGCGTCTTCACATTGGTATCACCTCAAGCTGTCAACAACGGCCACACAGGCAATCAAGGCACCCAGTATGTTGATGATATTAATAAGCATTGCTGAAAATTAATATGATCTTTTTGCTCCTCCATCACACTCTGACATGATTTCTTACAGATATCCGAACCCCCCAGTGAGCCCAGAGAAAATATCTGCTATAAAAGGAAAATAGCATCGCACATCGCAGCCTTTGACTAAGTCTGTTACCCTCATCCATAGCATAGGCCTGCATTTCCAAAATCTCCCATGTGTGGTCCTCTCGATCAGCACAACAAATCCAAGAGCCTTATACTACCTTTCGCTTTTTGGAGGGGAAAGAACCATCAAGCACAAACACACTGCAACGGATAGATAATGCACCACTTCAACGAGATACAGCACTGAAGTAATCCAAAGTAAGACACCTTCGCACAACAGCAACCTAGTACAAAGATCGATACGATAACTGTAAATAAACAGGCATTGGTTTTGGTGTAGTGTGGTGAACATCCTCCGTTGCTTACGATTGCAAAAATTTCCGGCAAGCTATCGATCTGAACCGCGCGAAAGTCACATCAAAATTTGGAGTACAGTTTGCTTACCACTTCGACTCAAACATGCACCTTGGGTTTTTGTCCACGTGCAGGCGCCAGAAACAGATCCGATCATGTTTCTGAACATTGCTAACCTTCTTAGAAGTCATCATGTCCATGTCCAAGAAACGAAAATCTATTGAGGGGAACGACGAGACCACGGTTATCATCATCATCAAAGACTAACAAAGACAGAAAGTCAAGCCTGTATTATATCTTTCCAAAAGCGCTCCAGAATATTGTCGCCGAGCACATCATCGAGACAAGCTCGTTACACGGAATGGCCCCGTCATCACAATACATCCTTACCTCTTCAGATAATTCAAAGCTCAAGACATTTGAGAGATCGTACATCATGCACACACAATTGCAAATAGATATAGCAAAGAATTCCACGCACGACTCCCTCGGTCTTGCAAATTTGGCGCTATGGAGAGGTTCATGCAGTCAGAGCTGTCAAGCAACGATTCAAATATAGCAGACTAGGTCAAGCTTGACATCAGCGAGAGGCTAGAAGACCCTGCGTTTAATCAACAGCACTCTTTGCGACCGGACGAGAGAACGGGGGTATCTCTCTGTACACTGCCAGCTAACTGCAGATGAATGTCCAGCATGACTCAATATACATTGTCACCGCCAAAGAAAAGTTGGTAGACTCCTCATGAGGGTCAATGAGGCAGTAACTGGGCTTGGGAGGACAGACTGATGTTTGAGGCAGGTAATACGGGAGCGTGGAAACAACGGAGACAATACACGGCCATGCAGTGTTGGCTATATGTCCATCAAATTACGGCCTGTCTCAGCTGACACTCCCACCTGATATCGCAACGCACGTGTTGTGAGCCTTTGGCCCAGCCTTCTCTCACCTGCTGGTGGAGGACCGGAGGAACTGCTGCCATATAAGGAAGCTCCGTAGGTTGCACCATTCCTTCAACTCCTCATCTCTACAGTCACCAACCACAACAATCAGAACCCCACCCGCCCAACCTTTTGCACCACGTTTCAAAATCGACAAGCGAACTGACTGTATGCAGGCCACCATGTCGCAAACGTCCAAGAAGCGAGCGGCGACCGAGCCAACAGAGCATACAAATATCAAGAGGCAGCGGGGCGCTCCTGCGAAGATCGTCGAGGCTGAGGAAGAGCATGAGTCTGTCCAGATCACCACAGATCTCCACAACAAGTTCGATCTCTACCCAAAGTGCCGGACAAGGCTGTCGAATACACCTATGCCGTCGACGCGCACAAAATTCTCGACGGCTTTCAGTCCGTCGGTACACTCCAGAAGAGATTCACCTTCCACATCGTCAGTGAAGGTCAGGTGCTGGGCGGTGACGACTCCGATTACAAGTTCACGGAGGCCGAAACCTTCTACATCGCTAGTATGGCGAACGTCGCCGTTCTCGAACAATTCATTATAGTTGCGCCGACTAGGAAGGCCGACTTTGTGAAGGCGCCCGGTGTCGAGCTCATAAACTCAGGGTTTGCGGCACTCCACTCTGTGCCCTATGGACACATGGGTTGGGTCTTCGACGCGCTCGGCCTGCCTCTCATTGCACAAGACCATCATCCAGAAAAACAGGCTGAAGCATATTTTTGCTTAGGTGGAGCGCAAAGAGTTGAACATCCCGAGGATCGACTAGAACAACCAACAACAGATCGTCGAGAGCTCGGGCACTGCAGTGAACTGAGAAATGAAGAAACGATCAGGGTGGGAGGAAAATGGCATGTGCGATGACAGAAAGGGAGCGAGTTAGTAGCATGCGACTAATTTTTATGAAGCCGTAGTATGTGCGGTACACAGAACCGGCGAGATCAGGTGTTTTGCAAATGAAGCATGATTTTAACTTTGGATTTTGTAATGTGATGAACGGTGAAAATCGGATTGACGTGGAGGACGCGATCCTGACTAAGCGAGCTGCCGACCGGGCGGTGAGGCACGGCACAAAGAGCATCACGGATCCTCCTCTACGCTTTCATTAACGCGGCCCCCCCCCCATTCCACACATTCCGCTTCGCACATCTTATCGACCGTACCGATTCGCCGTCGCTCACGAAAGCTCAGATTGTAAGGACAATCACGCCGCACTCTTTTGGACTTTGCGAGTAGAAAGAGCAAGGAACGCACAACATGAACGCGCCCGACAGGTACGTTGACATGCTGTCCTTCGTCAGATCTACACAAGCGGGCAGCCAAAGGAACTTCAGGAAAGGCTCAGGGCTACAAAGATCGGATACAGCAACGCACGAAGCTCTCGCGGCGTGAGGCGAATTGCACGCCTTGATGCGCCTGCTGCTTCTCGAGGCGCGTCAGTGCCGTCTGAAAGACAGCACAAGCGCCACCTTTGTACGACGCTCGCGTCGTTGTTGCTTTGTAGCGAAGTGGAGCCAGAATGGAGGCCTCCGATGCGTCATGATAACTTACGAAGAGATCACAAATGCTAACGGTGTGCGATCTAGATTCGAGCTCTTCTTGCTGGACGATGGCCAGCAGAAGGTCGAGTACAAGGAGGAGACTCGTGTGCCCAACACCGCCATCTTCACGTTTAATAAGGAAGACCACACACTCGGCAATCTCCTCTCGCAGCGCCTCCTCAAGTACGAATATATCGTCTTCTCCGCCTACAAAGTACCTCACCCGCTTTTCGCGACCTTCGAGCTCCGCGTCCAGACCGATGGCTCGATCACACCGAAGGAGGCTATCATTCGATGCTGCAAGGACATTGTCCAGGACCTGCACGTGCTGAATAGCAGCTTCCAGACCGAGTGGCTCGGCAAGAAGATCGTCAGCGAAGGCGAGGCAGATAGAATTGCGCGCGAGCGTGACGCATTCTAAGTAGCTGCTGCGTTACTGTACAGCAATAGCTGAAGAGGAGGACGAACAGAAGATGGAAAGGATCATGCATACCTGGCGTTCGGGAGGCAATTGGCATGTTGCTGAAAGATTGGCGTTGTGTTTGGGTACGACCCGATCTGTACAAACGCTTGCTGTACCGGAGGATCGATTTGGGAATTGTAGGCGAGAGATACCTCCAAGACGCGCATGTATTGCGCTGCGCATGAAAGAAGAAGAACGAGTTATGTCGAATGAAGAAGCTGAACAGGCTGTTGAGCTGCTTGTCACTCACTTTCCCAGGGAAACGTTATGGCCTGGTCCAGCTTTTTACTTTCCTCAAAGCCTGCACAAGGCTGGGTTCAGCACAAATGGAAGCCCACAGTCTGCACCAATATCCTTTGATTGACTACACACAACATCGCAAGGACTATCACAACCTGCCAAATACATGTTCACAGTTCTCGAGACCTGAGCAAAGGGAGATCTCGAACAGGAAGTTCTGACTGGCGTAGCTAGGAGCGCAGAGACCGAGCAGGGTCAATTGGTGAAGAAGTGCGTGGTGCGCAATTTACCCCCAGATGGGCCACGAACTGACCTACAGACGCGGACAATGCATCTCTGACAATGTTTCTTCCACGCTCCTCGAGCTACACTGCAAAGGCGTGGATTAGACACTGCTCGCTCCCATGGCGACCCAGACAGCCTAGAGATTGAAGCCGCTCGTACCATCGTACAGCTCCGACTGTGACACAATTTGAAAGACGGCTATGTTATCGACTTCACATGCTCGCCCTATATCCTTGACCACATCTTCGCGTTCTGGCACACATTCAGCTTGTCTCTTGGGAGTAAGAAGACTGTTATGCACGCCACTTCACCACCTACAGATGCAGCTATGCTTGATGTCAAGCCGCCTTGGTAGACTCCTTGCAAGCGCTCATCGAGATCGCACAGATTGCTTATTAACTGGGTGATCAGCCACTCACAAATCGAGTCTACGGCCACGATGCTTCGGAGATCGTCTTGCTGTTGATGAGTGGATTAGGTCATGCCACCGTCACTAACTATCAAACACGTTCGCTGCGTTCGACGATTCTGTCAGTTACTTGGGGAGTTACCCTTCTGGTGGGAGGGACTTAGCATAAGTACCGATGCATCGTTATCTTCAGAGGAGGATACTTTCGAAATGAGAGAATGTAAGATGATTGGAGTCGCGCTACGATACGCTGTGAAGTGGCATTACCGGGACACTAAATTCGAGTCAAGGTCCACAAGGTTGGACTCCCATAACCTTAAATACAAGGCTGGCCCCCTTCATTTTCGCCACTAAGGAAGCGTTGGTCTGGCATAGCTCATAATGTTAGTTACTCTCGAAGTTGCATCTATTTTGTGCGGGATGATATTTCCACTCTACAGTTGGCTGTTAGCCGCAGGTACAATGGCAATTCTGTAACGCTTTATCAACTACTTACAGACAATCCGAGAATCGGTTTGACTCATCCACAATTTTCCCAGATTTGGAAACACGTAATTACCTACCACAGATTATTTTGGATGTCGCGGCCTCCGTTCAGTACCGGTTCTGTCGATGTGCCAAGGGCCAAGCTGCAGGGCGGATCCGCGATGTTTGACGAAGCCTCAGCCACCGCTGCAGGATCTCCGCCAAGTCGTCTCCCATTGCGATTCATGTAGAAAACTTCCAGAACCAGCCATTCAGTGCATGGAACGACTCATCGTGAGCGGGATCTCCACAACGCCGACACAATGGCTGAAGAGGCTCACAAGCAAACTACACCGGTCGCAGAATAGGTCCTGAAAAACTAGGCCCAGAAGTTTCGACCCCGTCTGGGCAAGTCACCGAAACTGTATGTGCAGCACTTGCAGCTCGCACCCAGATGATCGAGGTTGCGCAAGGTGAGCGCGTACGCGGACACGAGTGAGTCTCGGGCTGTTCTCGATGCCATATAGATACGCGGCATAGCGGGGAGGGAAACAGCCGAAAATCCCACAAAAATGCGCAGGAAATGTCTACTACAATGAGGATATATCTCGGATTATCCGCAGATGCCGCAAGCATGTGACTCGGTTAGGGCGGGTTGGCCGACGGGCGCCGAAGCAAAGCGCTGCTCGTCATGGGAGGAGACTCAGGAGAGGTATTTCTCCGCAAATGCTCCACATTGCCGAGCTATACCCATCACATGCATGTACCTGTGGTGGGACGGAAAATAGCAAGCAGGCGCGCAGGTATTATTGTGAAAGGCTGGCGAGCAGGATTGGGGTGCGCACGCTACGGTCGAGCTGGACCGAGCGGCGAGCGCCAGTGTAGGAGGTGTTTGGATGGGCAGTGGGCCAGTAAAGTTACACGGCTTGGCTGCCTATCACGAATTCCACTGCGTGGGGTGGGCAGAGGGGGTTTTATGTCTGTTCGACACCCCGGCGTAGGTTGCAGGGTGGGTTTGCAGCGGCATGTGGCATGGCGGGGCGTTCCTGAGGTTTTGGCAATATCTTTTACATGAGCATGGGGACTTATCGACAAGCTCGAGGTGAGGGGCAGAGCAGCAGCAGCTTCACCGGAGAGCTAGGAGCTAGAACGCGCACCCGCGAGTCGTTGTTGAGGATGCTCGTGCTGGAAGAATGCCATCATAGCTTCGTCTGCTACCCAAATAAGGGTTTCAAGTGAAGCCACGCAGCAGGGCCAATGCAGGTCTATCTCGAGCTGCACTTCGCCAGAGAGCTCTAGCCAAATTGTGGACCGCTGCAAGCTCCATTACTTTTGGCTGCATGAGACCGGCCGACGGTCCCTTCGACATCAGGTGCGGGTCCTTAGATGCGTGTTTCGATCTGGTCTTGGCCCTTCAGCTTCTGTCGGTCGCTGTTTTGGGATTAAGGTTGCGCTGCTCCCAGTGACTCGTAGTAGCCCAGTCCGATACCGCCTATATAGTTTCCCTCGCCCGGTGCCCTGGAGCCAGCAAACTCTCCCCCACCTCAATCCCTACTTGCCCTCCCTACCTAATACCTCACTGCAGTCATCCAGCATGACGACGCTTGCAGTTGACAAGAACGCCTCGAGCGCCATCGACGAGAATGACTTCGATGACGAGCATGGCGAGCACCATCCCCACAGGAACTCTGTCCATCATAGGCTGCGAGCAAGCAGCTCCATCATGCAGCTGAAGAAGCTCCTCGGTACGTAGCTGCGAGCTTCAATGGCTCCCCTCAAGGCCCCAGGCCCCCCTCTAACAGCTCGCCCAGTCGCCAACCGAGGAGAGATCCCCATCAGAATCTTCCGTACCGCCCACGAGCTGTCGCTGCACACAGTCGCAGTCTACAGTCATGAGGACCGCCTCAGTATGCACAGGCAGAAGGCCGATGAGGCCTACGAGATTGGGCAGCGCGGGCAGTACACACCCGTTGGTGCTTACCTCGCCGGCGACGAGATCATCAAGATTGCCGTCGAGCACAACGTCAACATGATCCACCCTGGTTACGGGTTTCTCTCAGAGAATGCTGGCTTTGCCCGCGCGGTCGAGGCGGCTGGTCTGATCGTAAGTTCTGCCCTCAGTATCCGCTTTGTTTACCTATGACGAAATGGGTGGAGGGGTCGCGGTTGCCAATCGCAGCTGTTGAGCGTATCTGTGCTCGGAGATGCTGTAGCGGGGCCGCCGGCGCTCCACCGACCCAGCCCTGTTATGCTATCTTTGCAGCGCGGCGCGTCGGCGACCCAAGATTTTCTTGGAACTCATTTCGATTGCAATTTTGCATTGGCAATACAGTGGTGCAAAAGAGGCTTACAATCTGCTAGTTCGTAGGTCCCTCGCCCGACACCATTGACGCACTCGGCGACAAGGTCTCCGCCAGACGGTTGGCTATCAAGTGCAATGTCCCCGTTGTGCCGGGAACGCCAGACCCCGTCGAGAGGTACGAGGATGTCAAGGCATTCACCGACGAGTTCGGCTTCCCGATCATCATCAAGGCCGCTTTCGGCGGTGGTGGCCGTGGTATGCGTGTTGTTCGCAAGCAGGAGGAACTTGAGGACTCCTTTAAGCGAGCAACATCAGAAGCGAAGTCGGCTTTCGGCAACGGAACCGTCTTCGTTGAGCGCTTCCTCGACAAGCCTAAGCACATTGAGGTCCAGCTTCTCGGTGACAACCAGGGCAATGTCGTCCACTTGTACGAGCGTGACTGCTCCGTGCAGCGTCGCCACCAGAAGGTCGTTGAGATTGCCCCTGCTAAGGATCTGCCCATTGAGACCCGCGATGCCATCTTAGCCGATGCTGTCAGGCTGGCGCAGTCAGTCAAGTACCGCAACGCCGGTACCGCTGAGTTCTTGGTCGACCAGCAGAACCGGTAAGGCCTCACGCATCATTTGGGAAGAACAACTACTGACGATGTCCTCAGCTACTACTTCATTGAAATTAATCCTCGTATCCAGGTCGAGCACACTATCACCGAGGAGATCACTGGTATCGATATTGTCGCAGCTCAGATTCAGATCGCCGCTGGTGCGTCTCTCGAGCAGCTCGGTCTGACCCAGGACCACATCTCCACACGCGGTTTCGCCTTCCAGTGCCGTATCACCACAGAAGACCCGTCACAGTCGTTCGCTCCGGACACTGGTAAGATCGAGGTCTACCGTTCCGCTGGCGGTAACGGTGTTCGTCTCGACGTAAGTTCCCCCTTGACTACCTCCAGGCGGAGCAAAAACTGACTTCGAGACCCAGGGAGGTAACGGTTTTGCCGGTGCTATCATCACACCTCACTACGATTCTATGTTGGTCAAGTGCACATGCCGTGGTTCCACATACGAGATCGCTCGCCGAAAGATGCTTCGTGCGTTGGTTGAGTTCCGTATCCGTGGTGTCAAGACCAACATACCTTTCTTGATCAAGCTCCTCACGAACCCCACATTCGTTGATGGTAAGTGCTGGACAACGTTTATCGACGATACACCCGCGCTCTTCGACCTCATCGGTTCTCAGAACCGTGCTCAGAAGCTGCTCGCGTACCTTGGTGATCTCGCTGTCAACGGCAGTCAGATCAAGGGTCAGATCGGTGAGCCCAGATTCAAGGGGGAGATCCCTATTCCCACCCTCACCGACAAGAACGGTAAGGTCATCAACACATCTAAGCCATGCGAGAAGGGCTGGAGGAACATTCTCCTCAAGGAGGGCCCTGAGGGCTTTGCGAAGGCTGTCCGCAACAATAAGGGCTGCCTCATCATGGACACCACATGGCGTGATGCCCACCAGTCGCTCCTCGCTACTCGTGTGCGAACTGTCGACTTGCTCAACATCGCCAAGGAGACTAGTCACGCCTACTCCAACGCTTGGGCTCTGGAATGCTGGGGTGGTGCCACCTTCGATGTCGCTATGCGCTTCCTATACGAGGACCCTTGGGAGCGCCTGAGGAAGATGCGCAAGCTAGTACCAAATATCCCCTTCCAGATGCTTCTGCGTGGAGCCAACGGTGTTGCGTACTCCTCGCTTCCCGACAACGCCATCTTCCACTTCTGTGAGCAGGCCAAGAAGAACGGTGTTGACATTTTCCGTGTCTTCGATGCTCTCAACGACGTTGAGCAGCTCGAGGTTGGTATCAAGGCTGTTCTCAAGGCCGGCGGTGTTGCCGAAGGTACCGTATGCTACTCGTAAGTTTCCTGATTATCCACAGAAATTCGGTATACTGACTACCTTCAAGCGGCGACATGCTGAACCCCAAGAAGAAGTACAACCTCGAGTACTACCTCGATGTTGTCGAGAAGATTGTTGGCATGGGCGCGCACATTCTTGGTTCGTACACCACATGTTCTCATCGATCATCACGTACTGACAGCCTCCAGGTATCAAGGACATGGCTGGTGTCTTGAAGCCCCGTGCTGCCCGTCTTCTGATTGGCGCTGTTCGTGAGAAGTACCCCGATCTCCCCATTCACGTTCACACCCACGACTCCGCTGGTACTGGTGTCGCCTCTATGGTTGCTTGCGCCGAGGCTGGCGCTGACGGTATTGACGCCGCCATTGACAGCATGTCTGGTATGACTTCGCAGCCTAGCATTGGTGCCATCCTTGCCTCCCTCGAGGGCACAGACTTCGATTCTGGTCTCGATGCTCACGCCATCCGCAACCTTGACGCATACTGGGCTCAGCTCCGTCTTGTCTACTCGCCCTTCGAGGCTGGTCTTACTGGTCCCGACCCCGAGGTCTACGAGCACGAGATCCCTGGTGGTCAGCTCACCAACCTCATCTTCCAGGCCTCTCAGCAGGGTCTTGGTGAGCAGTGGGCTCAGACCAAGAAGGCTTACGAGCAGGCCAACGACTTGCTTGGCGACATCGTCAAGGTCACGCCTACCTCCAAGGTCGTTGGTGACCTGGCCCAGTTCATGGTCTCCAACAAGCTTTCTTACGACGATGTGCTCAGCAAGGCCGAGCAGCTGGACTTCCCATCCTCAGTCCTAGAGTTCTTCGAGGGCCTCATGGGCCAACCGTACGGCGGCTTCCCCGAGCCCCTCCGCTCTCATGCTCTCCGCGAGCGCAGGAAGATGGACAAGCGTCCTGGTCTGTACCTCGACCCAGTCGACATTACCAAGGTGAAGTCCGACCTCAAGAACAAGTGGGGCGATGCCACCGAATGTGACGTCGCTTCCTCCATCATGTACCCCAAGGTCTTCGAGGACTACAAGAAGTGGACCCAGAAGTATGGCGATCTGTCCGTCCTGCCCACACGTTACTTCCTGTCGCGCCCTGAGATCGGCGAGGAGTTCCACGTCGAGCTTGAGAAGGGTAAGGTGCTGATTCTGAAGCTCCTTGCTGTCGGACCTTTGTCCGAGCAGACCGGTCTGCGTGAGGTCTTCTACGAGATGAACGGAGAGACCCGAACTGTTACTGTCGAGGACCAGCACGCCGCTATCGAGAACATATCGAGGCCCAAAGCCGATCCTACAGACAGCAGCCAGGTCGGTGCACCGATGTCTGGTGTGCTGGTCGAGGTTCGTGTCCACGATGGCAGCGAGGTCAAGAAGGGCGACCCCGTTGCTATTCTCAGCGCTATGAAGATGGTAAGGCTCGCAAAAATCGACAAACAATTTAAACCGGTCACTAACAAGAATCCAGGAAATGGTCATCTCCGCGCCTCACTCTGGCAAGGTCAGCGGCCTCTCTGTCCGCGAGGGCGATTCCGTCGACTCCGGCGACCTAGTCTGCAAGCTCGTCAAGTAAATTGGAAACTGGTAAAAGTGTGTTTGATGAGGGTGTCCGCTATACCTGCAAGGACTGGGCACCTGTAATGACTTTCCCTTGCGCAACGAATGAGTATGGTATACAGCAATGAATGACGTCTATTTTTAAGATCGAAAATAATTGTGCTCTGGGGACTACCTCTCGTCAGCGTGCCACATGTGACCCGGGTGCCTCTCGCAACATAGTAAGGGCCAGTCTTTTTGCAACGCCTGTTGAATCCCTGCCCTTCACAGCACACGCGCCAGCACAGCACCACAGTGGAACAGATTTTTTTTACGTATACCACTCTTATCTGTCAGCTATCATTGAATCACATGGGAATTGTGCCTCTCGGTCCGCATTGCAGTGTCGAAGTCTTCTGTAAACGCCGCACTTCAAGACTTGACGTCTAGCTCGGACAGCGTTGCACCGAAGCACGAACCCACCCCCAGATCTGACCCCAGACCCCAGGAGATGCAAGCACGCTTATTCCTGGTTCAAGGACGCGCCAGCAAGCCTTCCGAGAACGTCCATTCTAGCGACCATGATGCGCGGAATCGTGTTTGTGGCTACCTTGACCCGCATTTTCGGGTGTTTTCGGACCCGCGTGTTCACCGCGTCGTTATCGCAGCCGACCCACGACGGGAAGCTTATTCTGACTCCGTCCGGGCGATGAGTCCCGCGGCAAGCACGCGACTGACATGTGACGTTTGCATGGGTTGCGTTTTCCGGGTCGTGTCCGGGTCCTTCCCGTGCTCAAGCTTTGGTGACATACGAGCCCACTTCTCAACTGTTTTCACGGGAGCAATCCCGCTGTTCGTATTTCGATCTATGGTGCAGATTGATCATCCGGCCGTGGTAGATGGAGAAAATCATTTTGTCACTTCGTCCTGTGGACAGCACTACTGGACTGCGATGGGTGAATCCTCAGAGTCTGAACTTCTGTCGCAGAGGCTACCATATGCCTTCGGTCTCGTGTGCCAGGTACGTCCGATTTCCGTCTGAAATAAGACCTCTCCACGCTCGCGGGCTCGTGCCGTCTCCAGGATCGTTCTTTGCCGTTTCGCTAAGAGTTCTGCAAGGACGAATCGGACCAAAAGGCCGCTGCCTATCTCTTGTGCGCATGCCAGTGCTGTCCATCCAGACGAATAGTCGACAGGCACGTTGCCTTTCCCAATCATAACCTGACGCCTAGCCATGACAAAGTTGCTCGCTGATACGGCCAACATTGAAGCAGTCCATCCCCTGCCTATCTTGAGCTTTCCCATTGGCTTGTCGCGACTTGAAAAGAATACGGATCATTGTCTGGCGGCCGATGCGCGTAGCTAGGACGGGTGGCGTTTGTTGACGCATGTTGCTCGTCGAAGTACTCAGACTGTTCAAGCAATCATTCTCAAGTTCTGGCGTGGGCCGTCTGGGTTGTCGCCTGGCGTAAATATGTCCCTCTAAAAGGTAAAGATCTGATCAATATCTCTGTTCGCCTCGAGACCATGGACGAGACGAAGTTCTCTTGTATTGCTGCGGTGTACCAAACGCATCGTCCATCTAGAGCAGCCCAACAGCAGCGCCCGTCGATTTGTGAGAACCTGCGCCTGACAGTCGAGACTTGTGTCTTATATTCTCTGCAGGCGAAATCGAACAAGGTGCATGTCAAAGGGTGATTGCAAGGCTTCAATGTGTTTTGAAGGAAGAAAGTGACGTGATCGTTCCTCCTAGCTCACTGCCTTGAACCTCCTCATACAGCCAAGTAGGGTCGTTGTACGTGCTGTTACAGCTGTGTCGTAATTATACAAGTTTCTGTATTCATGAACAGATCGTTCTAAATTTTGAAAAGTCTCTGAAGACCACAATACATTTTTAGTATCATTGGCAAACGTGCCACTCTCGTTATATAGCATTCTGCGTACAGTCAGCACCAGTCTCAGGCATATCGACATGCTGCTACCGACATTCGTGATATGTCATCCAATATGCCGACCGGTACCGTAGACCAGGCCCGCCTCTCATGCGCTGCGACCCCGCTGCGTCTTTCTGTGGGTATCTATCCTCTTCATTCGCCGGCGCGTGGGTGCTTTCCCTCTCAGCTCGTTGCTGTCCCTTGTACACGCCTAGTCTGAGTCTGAGTCCATCTCCATCTCGGCGTCGTCGTCGTCCTCTTCTTCCTCGTCCTCTTCTTCTGCTTTCCTCTTCTGGCCCTTCGCCCTGTCCTGCTCATTGACTGGTACCGCTTTCTCTAGCGCGGCACTGAATCCAGTGGGTTGCGCAGATGTCTCCTCGGCGGCCTTCTCAGGCAGATCAGGTTCGGGCATCTTGTATGTCCCGTCGAGCTTGGCTACTGTGTCAGACTTGGACTTGGCGTATGCGATTTGCTGTGGCATGTGAGTTGTATGCCCTTATACGATGGAGAAACGTTGACATACCATGTCCTTTCCAAAGAATGTGAAGCCCTGCAGCGCGCGCATGGCTTGTGTGGAAGAGTCGACGTCGCGGAACACGACGTGCGCCTGGCCGCGCATCTTCATTGTCTTGAGCGCGACAATGTCCAGAATGACGCCATAGGTAGCGAAGAGCATGTAGAGGTTGCGCTTGAGGTCTTCCTTGGGGAGCTTGTCGTTGAGGTTGCGGACGTATAATCTGCCGTGGTCAGTGTCTGTGCGATGAATAAGGCAAAGGGACAGCCTTACGTCCTGTTCGGCACGCCCTCCTTGCTCACCGGAACTGTGCCCGGCGGTCCTCGTGCTTGTGTGGCCATGATGCGTGCTTGTGTCGATGGCTCGGTGGTTTGAGCTCCCCGCAGAAATCGCGTTCGCTGTGTCGCGCCAAGTCAAAAGTTCGGGGACGTGCGTGCTCGCCGCATTGTCCGCGGCGGGCACGTCAACACCCATGGCCACCGCCTCGCCCACACATAGAGTGATTGAAGAAAGAGAAGGAAGACAGGGAAGCGGCAACGGCTGGCGACTATGAAAGCAGTTTCTTGATTGGCCCGGATCCGACCCTCACTCGCCCCCGTCTCTGTTGCGCCTCACCCAGAGGGCCCTCGACCTTATCCCTCCCAATGGGCGTCTCCTCACCCGCCGCGCTGAGCCCTCGGCCCAACCCGCCAGGTGCGCATCCCGCCATCCCCGACCGAGCCAAAGCCCTCTCGAACCTTTCGCGCGTCACGAAACCTCCAGCAATGGCCGCCATTACGAGCAACCCCATCGATGGCGGAGAGGAAGACATGGCTGAGCAGATGAACGCCGCTGTGCGCTCACAGTTCGTGTCTGGGGCACGTCTCGGTGAGGGAACATACGCCATCGTCTACGCTGGGCACTACCGAACGGACCCTACCAGGCTCGTAGCTATCAAGAAGATCAAGCTCAACGCCGACTTCAAAGATGGCATCGCCATGGACGCCATCCGCGAAATCAAATACCTTTCTGAGCTGTCGCACCCCAACATCATCAAGCTGCACGCTGTCTTCAGTACAAAGGACCAGAATCTCTCCCTCGTGCTCGAGCACCTGCCCCTTGGTGACCTCGAAGGGCTGTGGAAGAACAAGAGCATCACGTACAGCAGCGCCGACATCAAAGCATGGTCCAACATGCTCTGCCAGGCCATCTGGTTCTGCCACGCCAACAATGTCCTCCACCGCGATATCAAGGGCAACAATCTGCTCATCGCCGCCGACAACACCGTCAAGCTGGCCGATTTTGGTCTCGCTCGCTCTTTCGCAGACCCCGGCGCCAACATGACCTCAAATGTCATCACCCGTTTCTACCGCCCTCCGGAACTGCTGTACGGGTGCAAGCACTACGCCGGCAACGTCGACATGTGGTCCGTAGGCTGCGTCATAGCGGAGCTCGCACTGCGCCAGTTCTTCTTGCCCAGCGAGACAGACTTACAGCAACTCGCCGTCATAGTCGACGTCTTTGGCACACCCACCGAAGAGTCCTGGCCCGGCGTGAACACTTTGCGATACTATCAGCCGCCTCCCACACGCAGCGCAATCAAGCTCCCACAGCCACTGATGTGGTGGAGAGGTCGCCTGCCGCTGCTAGGTGACGACGGGATCGATTTGGTGCGCGGTATGTTGGCCATGGATCCGCAGAAACGATTGACAGCCGAACAAGCACTCAAGCATCGATACTGGACTTCTGCACCGCGACCCACGAAGAAGGAGAACCTCCCCAACGAGGGCGGGGGTATCAAGAAGGAAGGCGAGGATTTGAAGAGAAAGGGCGGCGAGACACCAGCAGGCGCCGGACGCGTGGATAAGGTCGCGCGCAAGCTGGACTTTGGAGGCATGTGATGAACGCAGAACCACATTCCAAGCGAAATAACATGCCGAACAGCGTTGGTGTCCCAGTGACGCGCTCCCCGGGGTCCAGGAAGCAGGTATGCATCGAACACATTGCTGCAACTCTACAAGTAGAGTAGAAACCGCCCTCGAGACCTCGCCGCGAGATGGATCAGACTTTTCGGTGCAGCTTCGGCGCAAGTAACAGTCCGAAATTAAGGGGTAGATCGAGGAAGATTGAGATAGTGACGTCCAGTACGAGCTGCCTGAACACGCTCTCCATGCATGCCAGGACGCAAATCGAGGAAGCATGGAGGTCATGGAGGACAGACAAGTCTCTATTGATAAACATGTCAAATGACCAGGCGCCTGGGGCGAAGACCGAGATTGTCAAGAGCGATCAGTGTAGCACGATTGAAAGCAGAGCTGTGTGTTCTCCCAAACCGCACAGCTTCGCCAATGGCTATCTCTCGTGAACGATCCACCTCCTCCATATCCTGCGAAGTCCTTTCCAAGACCCATCACAGAACCCACTCAAGGATAATACTATCCCACAGCACACCCCTCCACAGCACATACCTCTCCGTCTTGAAGCTCAGCACGTTTCTCCCCGCCTTCAGATACTGCGCATCGATCTCATACTGCAATAACCGCCACTCCCCACTCACCGTGCCCGAGCGATACAGCGCCGGATCGCTCGTCAACGACTTGTTACTAATCGTCCCAATCGTCTGGTTGCCGTTGAGATAAATCGACAGCGCAGTGCTCTGACTATACCCCGCCAGGCTTACGCTCAGCCTCGCCTTCCTCGCTCTAGAAGGCGCGGAAGCATCGAAGACAACATCCCAGCTCCCCAGCTTGCTAGATGCGTAGTACCAGTCCTCCGCCTTGCATTTGCCCACGATAAATGTTAGGTTTGCAGGTCCCTTCTCGGTGAGACCGTGGACGTGCGGACCCGAGTTCGTGAAGCCTGTGGCTTTCTTGTCGAAGGCGCCGACCTGGAAAATCGGCTGCGTGTTCGAGGGGATGCTCCATATCAGGGACCCCAGATTGGTAGTGTGGCTGGCGCGGATGGTGACAGGCGAGGCGGTGAAGTTCGTGTACACGTCGCCTATCTTCCCGCCGTTCGAGGCGGCAATGAGACCGTAGGATCCAGAGCGGATGTTAGTGATTGAGAATGAGCCGGAAGCGTCGGCGAAAGTGGTGTAGTAGTACCCCGAGCCTTGGACGAGGGGTCGCGTGGACGTGTCCACGTCGCCGAGGAAGATTGCTGCGCCAGCTGCAGGGCGGCCGTCGGAGAGGGTAAATTTGCCGCTGAGCGAGCCGCGGGAGTGGTATGCCGTGTTGTTGAGGAAGGCGTACGGAAAGGCTGAGCGCTCTTTGGCTGCACGGGTTTTCGCGTCTGAGACGGAGCCGTTGTTCTGATGTACGTTAGATGCGGTGTTGGGGACGAGAGGAGCGACGTACCAGATACCATAGCCACGGTCCCCAGATTTTGCCTACGGGTTGAGGCGTTTTAGTGCCGACGCGGAAGTGAGATGTGTCTTGCACGACGTTGAGCTGTACGGCATCGCCTGTTGCGGATTCACGATGGACCTTTCCCTATCAGCATGACATGTTTTCATGTAACCCTTGATTAGAACTTACCGTCAATGTCTGACTCAGGTGATTCCCAGGCTGATACTCATTCGAAGGATGAATGTACCAACTTCCTGTCTGATCACCGTACACACCAACGAAATCCCGCTCCCTAACGTAGTTTGCAAAGTCGTACTTCGTTACATAGCTGCCGTCAGGAAACTCAAAGGTTTCATCCTGAATCTCTGGTGCATTAGCGTAAAGGGCAAAGTCTGGCAGTCTCTCGTTCTTGTTGGTGTTATAGCCATGCGTGAACCGATCTGGGTCGAGGCGCCAAAGCGTACGGAATATAGAGAGGTCAGGAAGCGCTTTGTTGACGAAGTATTGGTAAGCGCCATCTAGTTTTGGGTAGATGACCCAGTGGAGGTCGCCAAGGGTCGATGAGAAGGCGACGTCGATGAAGTCAGGAGAGTTCGACACGATTTTGGCGCTGGTGTAGACCAAATTGGTTTCACCGTCTGCAAAGTGCGTATCAGTAGAAAAGCGCTGAAGATGAAGGGACTGAGCACATACCGACCCCAGCGTAGTGCCCCTGGGCCTTACCTACAGCATCCGAACCTTGGTACTGAAGATTGGTAGCGTAGGTCGCGCCTTGAGTGAGATTCCACAAGTCGTTGCCGATAATCCACTGTGTCGAGGTCACCTGCTGGAGAAAAGGTCCCTTTGCCAGCACTGTCTTCGCTGCAGCAAATGCTGCGACGAGCGAGGCGGTGCGCATATTGATTGTAAGCGCTCAACGTTCGTGTGAACAACCATCATGAGTCTTCTCAAGGGCTTTTTAAGTATAGTCCACTTCACAAGCACGCAATATTGTCGCAATAAGACGAGCAACTCGTGGCATCGAAATTGATCGCGAGTGTAGTACTTGAAGAGGTAAGTGGAGCAAAGCTTGATCGAAAGAAGAGGTCGCCACGGACCGTTGTGCAGGGGGTGTGAAGAAGTTACCCACCAAGGTGGGTCACGGGAAAGTTGACGCCCTACCGACTCTTGCAGGTGCTGCATTATCGCCGGAAGAATTATGTCGCAATCGTATACCATTGATCGTTGCTCAAAATTTACCCTCCTTGGGCTCCACGGGCATGGCTAAAATCTCGTCCGAGTCGTTGGTCAAATGCGCAGCTTCAACCGTGTTCTCGCTCTTACTTGCTGGTATTTTCTCTTCATCGCTGGCCTTCTCGGCTGCCTTGAAAAACTCGTTTTCTTCTGTTCGCTCTGCCAGCTTTCCAAATACACCCTTCTTCTTCCTAACAACTGCTAACAGCACCGTGATCAGTAAGTTCAACACCGTGAATGCCAATATAATCAAGAACTGGCGATTGTAGCTCCCACCAAAGACCCCCGCGACCTCGTTCTTTAAAATTTCAGGCATGGGCGCAAGCGCAGCACTCGAGGTCTGCACATCAGCGATCTGCTGTGGCGAGAGGTATGCGGTAAGTCTATCGGCGGTGTACTCGCGATGCACAGCCGTGCAGATAGCCACTGCAACACATCCACCTAGCGTACGCATCATGTTCAACGCACCTGTACCAACGGAAATGTCCTTCTCCGCGATTGAGGTAGCTAGCAACATGAAGTACGGAGGACTTGCTAGGCCCAAACCCAAGCCAATGATGACTTCGTAACCGTAGATGCCAGTCCAGAGATGCGAATGTGTAGGGAGACTGCCCATGAGACCGGTGCCGACGCACACGATAGCCGCAGACAAGATGAGGATGTACTCAGTTGCGATCTTCTTGGCGGCGAGGCCAGCGGCCATGGCGCCGACGGGTGAGATGAGGGTGCAGGGGAGGAGAAGGACACCGGCGCGCTCGGCGGTGGTAAAATTGACTGTCTGAAAGCGTTGCGGAAGCTGGACGAAGATCGCGTAGAAAGGCATGCCGAGGAGGAACATGCTCCTTGTCGTATGTTAGCAGATGATGGGCAAGAAGTATTGTGGCGAGCTTACAAGAGGATGAGAGCCATGGATGGGTTGCGCAGAAACCGAATAGGGAAAATGGGATCTACTTTGGTACGGTACGTAATCCATGCTTCATAGAAGCCAAAGAGAAAGAATAACACAATGCCAGCAATGAGGGTACCGATGATGACTCCGCTGCTCCAAGGGTGCGATACACCAGCTTCTTGCAATGCGAAGATCAGCGGTATTGGCCAGCAAATGGAGAGTATGCCGCCGATACTGTCGAGACCGCGGATGCGCTCAGCATTAGATTTCCCATCTTTCTGGGTGGGCATGGAGAAGTAGATCAATGTCATTGCCACGGCGCATATAGGCCCGCTGAGACTTGTCAATCAAGGATTCGTAGACCCAATGCGGGTACTTACTTCATGAAGAAGATCCATCGCCACGTCGATCGATCTGCGATGATCCCACCAAGAAGTGGTCCTAGGAGATTAGACATGGTGAACACAGAGCTGACGACACCTGAGTAGAAGCCAATCTTCTCCGGGACAATGAGCTTCAAGATCGAGACGAAGGTGAGCGAATAGAGACCAGAGCCACCAATACCTTGGAATGCACGAAAGACGACCCTGACTGGTCAGCACTATTGTCGTACTTCGGGAGTGCTTTGACCTACAACTGTGTCATTGTTTGAGCTGCTCCGCATGCCATGGAGAAGATCAGGAAGATAGCCCCGCATATCAGCAAGACATTCTTGAGTCCCCACACATCACTGAGCTTTGCTGTGATCATCAGAAAGCCTGTTCGTGATTAGCAAAGGTATTCGAGGGCCTCCACGATGCTCACTGTTGTACGTTAGGAGATAGGTGGTGACCAGCCATGCTGCCTGTTCCAATGCACTGAAACCGCTGGAGATCTTGGTGAGAGCTGTTGTCACGATAGTGGTGTCCAAAGCTGAGATGAACAGACAGAACCATAGGCCCGCGATGATGGTTTGTAGCCGTGCTGAACTGATGTTCGGTGCAGTCGATGGTGCACCAACAGACGCGTTTGCTGATTCCGCTGACATTTTCACGGTGTACAAAGGTGCAAGGCTGACGTGGCACAATGCTTCAGAAAGCAGGTTCAAGCCTCGGAATCTGACTGTACGTATGGTACTCACCCATTACCGGTAGTGCGGCACTCGTCGCATCAGTAGCCGTTTACGCTGAAGCCCTGGGGCGAGCGGTGGGTTTAATGACCGGGACACGGAGGGATGGGACGACACCAGGCCCGTATCTGCCTCATCATGTGAGATACGTCCGTTAGGTACGCTGTGTGGCTTGCCTTATGGACCCGCCTCGGTCTGACACAGCGAACAAGAAGGCGCAATTAAGCGAACGCGAAGGAACAGCATGGAGCTGCATCCTGCGCAGACGGCGGTCATATCAAGGACTCCGTTGCTGGGAGTGCTCGTGGGTGGCCGTAAGGGTGTCGATGGAAAGGTCTTAAGCTGGTGGGAAGCGCTGACTGAGTGCAACAGGCGGGAGCCAGAAGCCAGGCGGCGGCGGCGTTGCCGAACCTTCTGCGACTTCTATCCGATGCCTGCGCATCAACCTCCTGACCTGCATCGACAAGCACTAGGAAATGGTTCATCTATTGTCTTCGACACGCGCGCTCGTTAGAATGATCGGGTTTGAAGCACGAGCAATGCACGTCTGCTTTGTGAACCCCATTATTCAGGCGTTCGGGCGCAGCCGCCGACGCCTTGCAGTCGAAACCATCAGGTCACACAAGGTAGTTCGTACAGGCATCTCTCAATTCGACATATAGGCTCGCACATCCAGACGTGGCTTTTCACGTACGATTTTTGGGTTTGTTTGCAAAATTCTCACGGTGAGGCAGATGCGGTGTGCACATTTGAGTTGCGGTGAGAGGTGGGTAGGTTCGCGCCTGCCTCAACTGGCGTCAAACGCGCCTTCTCACTCTCGACGCGTCGACACGCGATTTACAATTTCTACACCCCATCTGCGCTTGCCCCAGCGTCAATTTCCCACAACAGCGCGCGCCTACTCCAATTCGCCTTTCGGTCCCGTCCCCGCTCGTGTCCAGAAGTGTTCTCCTATTTCTCAACCGCTCGAATGCCGTTCTTCTTTCGATAGTTAATCATTTTTCTATTTCGAGGCCACGCGATGAGCTCGCAAGTCTTCGAGGCACAGCTTATTGGCCCGGACAACGCCGCATCGCAACAGCAGTTGGCCGAACTGATCACTGCAGGCACCTTCACTGGCTCAGGCTTACCTCAAGTCGCCCATGGATATCTGGACGCGTTCTGCAACGTGAGCAATTCGAATGGTCACCGAAGATGGACTGGAATCGCGCTAGCCGCTATGATGCGCGCGTCAACTGGCGTGGTCCAGCGCTTGAAGAAGCTCACCCAAGGACTTTCCCGTGTTGGTGCCATCGTCCTCGACCTTAAGGAAAGCGAAGAACGCAGAATTGTTGCCGGCCTCATTATACGCCAAGGACTTGAGCTGGGCATCAACTTTGCGGACTTCTGGATGTCAGACAAAGTCCTGCACAGCGCACCGAACTTTCCCCGGGATCCCGGTGATGGGTGGATGGGCCATTTCCAGACGTATCTGGACACGCTGAGCAGCCTTGCCCTCGCAAACCTTGATAACGAGCCTTTGGTGCTGTTCCCGATGGCGCTCTCGGCCAGCGACGGCTTTCAGTGGACAGGAAAGTCCGCAGTTGCCTTGCTCGAGAAAGATGTGCTGACTATTGTCGCATCTGACGCTTCACTTTCCAGATTCATATTCATCGACCTCCCGGTCCACCGTATCAAGGAGACAGGTTTGCAGCAAGATTCCCCGCACGAAAGCCAGGAGGGCCGATCTGGACACAAGATGCACGAGGTGGTCATAACTTTACGGTCTGATTCACGAACCTATTGTCTGAACTCATCAGATCGCACAGCGGATGAATTTAAGGTGTCGTTCTTACGGCACGAGGACGCCCACGAACTCAATATTGGCTTGCAGGACGCTCGGCAGACTTCAGCCAGATCTGCAGTTTCAACAACTGAGGCAGACGTTGTAGCGAAGTCTAGTAGTCCTCCAAGTTGTACGCATCAAGCCTCCGTTCAACACGTAGATGCCACACTTCCGCCCAGTAACGAACGGCCAGCCTCCGCCGGTTCAGATACGAGATCGGGGATTATATTGGACGAACCCGTCTCACCAGAGCAGGTGGCAGGGGAGCGGACACTTGCACACCCTGCAAGACACGAGAGGAGCAACGGCAAGTTACCAAAGATCTCATTGTCGACGAAGCAAAAGGTCGCACGAACCCGACAGCTGCCATCCGGCTCAGCCAAAGTCACAAAGCACAAAACGTCCAAAAACGCTGCACCGATCGTTGAGGAAAGCGGCGACGAGGACGAAGATGTGTCATCCCAAGACGAGTACGTGCTACAATCAACAATGGCGACATCCAAGTCAGCCGCTACCTCAGCCGGCAAGAGATCACAGGGTCGACGCAAGGCTTATGCCGACGAGGACGACGACTTCGATCCTAAGACATCGAAAGGAAAGTCGTCTACTAAGCGGAAGAGAGCTTTCAGCGAGATGGATGGAGACAGCCAGCTAACTAAGAAGAAGACGCAATCGAAGCTAGGCAACTCCTCGCGATCTGGTGCAGTCAACACAACGACAAAGAAGCCGAAGATGAAAATTCAGCAGGGCGTACCGCCAGCGTCTGCGTCGACTCGAGTTCCGATGAAGCAATCCCGTGCGCAACAAAACATCCAACACAGAGGAACATCACAGCCTACACTGATTGGAGCGCTGAAGAAGTCGAACAGTCCTACCAAGGCCAATGCTCCAACATTCAAGAGGCCAGGTCACCCTGCCTCAACCCCCGGGAGACCGAGAACACAGCCCGTCCGAACCACCCCAAAGCCACAAACACCCGCCGGCAATCTCCCCGTACATGGCCGCTCATCTACACCGCAGAGTAGGTCAATACACGACGAGGATCATGGTCTTGGCAACACTCCTGTAGACACCGAGATTCTGTCGAGTAATACCAAACGTGTACCCGACTCACCGCATGCCGAGTCGACAGCTATCTCTGGGCACGCTTATCGCGACGATGTCCATCGTGAGAAATGCATTGGCGATCTTGAAACTGCCAAGAGCGACCCTTTCAAACAACGTCAGCCAGGAGTGCAGAAGATGAACTCATTCACTCGTAAGCTGACTGGAGAGAGCGTTGCAGACGATAAAGGAGAATCACTTCAGGGAGAGCCACTGTCGATGCCAGCGGAAATGGCAAATGATGATCTTGAGATCGATGATTTCGAACTCTTATTTGCGAGTCAGCCGTTGCCAAAACACAGCCCGAGTCTATTCAAGGGCCGCACAAACACGATCCGTCAAAGTGTACAAGGCTCAAATGTGGATGTCCGAGCTGTGAACAGTCTTCCGATCAAGAAAACGCGCAGAGTGAGCACATTGGACCGCACTACAGGGTTTCAGCCTACAGTTCGAACTACGGAGAAGACTCGACGAGAGAGCCAGCGACCGCAAGCAAACGAGTCGATTGTCTCTGCTCCGCGAGAGGCAATCGAAGATACGCTTCCTGACGCCACAATTGAACCCGCGAATTGTGCCGACTTCGACGGAGAGACGACACTTGTGAATGAGGACATGGAACTGCCCCAACGAAAAGGCACAAGCGCTTCAGATATACGATTCCGGTCATCACCGCCCATCTCAGACTCTTCCAGCGTTCGAGGTGAATTGTATGACGAGTCTGAACAAGAGCCGGATCCGTCGCCCCCAACATCGCGCACAGATGAGCTTGAATGGGAGGCCGCCCTCGAACCGCATCAGCGTGCCCTTCACGAGCAATTGCTTCGTGCCTCGAAACGGCTCGTGCGTCACATTGTGGACAATGAAACAGCAGTGACCGACATCACAGACGTCTTTGCTGCGGACGGCGAGCGTTTACTAGATTTAGTTGTCGAGCGACAAGGCAACGAGTCTGCAGTGGCCTTTGGAGAACTCAGTAGCAAGAGACAGGATCTGCTCAACGAGTTATCCAATGCGTCCAAGAATCTGAAGTCACTGAGGAAACAGACCAGGGCCGTCGAATGAGGTTGTGGACATCAGCGACTCCGGGGCAGTGGCGATCATCCACATCTGAATGACTTCGACGACAGTTTTAACGGCGTTTACTGTGGCTCATGCGTGCATAGATTTACGCAATCGGCAAAGCTTTTTCAATAACGAGACTTCTAACCCGACCTGAAGCGTGCTAATAGCATGCATATATGGGGTAGTCTGATCGCGGCGGGCGATACCTGGTGGGTCTTTGTTGGAAGATATACGTGTGTATCTTAAGAATGGTCATCATGTAGTAGCATAACAGTCTGTTCATATAATACAAGACAGTCACGCTTTAGCAATACCTTGAATCTGTGAGCTCCTGCTGTCACCGGGCCAGCAGCCTTCAAAATGCCCCGACTGCTTACACTACTAGCAATTGCATCCTTCACTCAGAAGTATTGATGAGCTGCTACACTTGCGTGATATCAGGTTTATCATCTAATCTTTTCGTGAAGACTAACTACATCACAGTGCACAAAGTCACACGGGAATTAACGCAACTGCGAGTGGATCTGATCAGGCACACCTTACCGCGTGATACAGGTGTTCTCAATTTTCCAACACAGGTCTCGATTCACTGGAAGGCAGTGACCGTTAACAGAGTTGACATTCATAACAGCCACCGTGATGCTCTAGTATTCCCAGCCAAACTCAAACAACACAGCAAACATCAGTCACGGTCGCAAATGCCTCTATATTTGATAGGCCCTAGGTCCAGCCAAACATCGATACCACCGCCCCTGACAAACAGCGCTAGCTAACAACCAACAACTACTCAATCTAAAACTCAGAACCTACACCAGGCACAACGATCGCCATGTACGGACGCAACAACTGGAAGCAAAGCCACACCTGTGGGCACAGGACTCCTCTGGAGCTATGCGATTACTTTTCTTACGCTATACACGAGTGCCTTACCAACGCAGGCGAAAAGCGAGTCTTCTACTGGGACTCCATACGGAAGGCGCCAAATAGTACCGAAGTCTGCAAGTTCTGCAAAGAGGGCAAGGATGTCGAACGTTAGTGGGCGTATGGGAAGAATTGGAAGGGCGCCTGGGGAGCGGTGAAGAGATAGGGCATCTGAACTGGAGCGTGCGGGCATTATAGTGGATATTTTCGGCGATTTAAATGGTAGACTTGTGGCTTCTCTGTGTGTTCATTGAATACTACTGACTATATGCAAACTTTGATCGAGCAACCTTCCCTGTGGAGTCAGTGGGTCCCTTTCGAGGAGACTTTCCGCCCACAGGCTGCCAAGGGTTCTTTGCTATCCCTTCTGCCTTGGCTTAACTCCTTGATTCTTCTGATTGGGCTTTTGCTATACCATTTCGAGGGCCTCCATATGCCACTTGGCCTGTTTGCAACTGCATAGGATATGACAGTGTGTGCAGTGAGCCCGCATGTGGACATTCCCTTTCATGCGGCGACCGAAGTTCCGTCATGGAATCTATGTGCCCATTCTGCACTGACGTCCTAGCGTTCTGACTGAACACGTCCGACGCGAACTCCGGCCGCAGTTCCTTTGATAGACCAGGCTGCTGCGTGGCGGCTGTGCGTTTGCTGTCTTCCTGACGAGGCTGTGAGTGCGCCATAATGAAGCTTAAAGTTATGCCAGATGAAACAGATCCTGCTTCCTTGCGGCTCAAATTGCAGCACAGACATGTGACATTTGCGGCGAAGTCATGAAAGCCGTATATGTCCTCATTGCAGATCCAGTCACCAGCGTAAAAGAGGATCCTGCTGGTCATGCCATCCCCAAACTTTGGAGTGACCTTTCCAGATCTTTCGACAAGTGTTGTAGCCGCCTCAGCACTACCGTTGCCTTCGTGAGTCATTCATAGAAATCGGAACCTGTATTTGGCCAGCCAATGCTAAGGTTGACAAGAGTAGCAACGCACCCCAGGCCTTCGTCATGCCGTGACACACCGCCTTTGCGAAGGCGTTCAAGTCGGCTGCCAGCTACTCTCCAGTGCTGGCTAACGCGGTGCGAGCATATTCAAGTTGCTGATGACACTCTTTTGTCGCTGTTGATGACTCCTTCGCTACGTGAAAGCGTTGGACGGCTTGTCGTAGCAGGATGTCCTTCTGCTCGTCGAGTCCATTAGTGGCACAAATCATCTTCGTGAAGACTTCGTCGTAAAAAATTTGTTTCTTGGCCTCCAAGCGTGATTCCCGGTCGACCAGGCCCGATATTGTCGAAGAGAGGTTGCTAGATTTCACCGCGCAAGCTTTGCGCTAAGCATTGAGTCGTGCCCCATTTGCTGGCACGATAGTCGACAGGAACTTCTCAAGATTGTTGAGACTGAGCCGGATCGAAGGCAAGGAGGTTGTCAGATCAGACTCTCGCTCTCCTCGCACCATGTCGGCTTTGTAGCCATAGAGTGAGAAGTCTACGTTACGAAAACCGTCACTAGTGGGCCGCGAGCTGGGCAAAAGGTCGGCGCCATAGTCTGCTGAAGACATGATTATCGGGTATTTTGCGAAGGAATGCGCTAACGAATGTTGCATTGAAGCTGCTTGTGTTATTGTGAGGTGGCTGTGTCCGTATCGCGCCTAGTGAAAGCATTGCTCTACGTGCAGCTTTTACCTTTGTTGAGATGCCAGAACTTTCCCTGTCCCGTCCACTTCCGCGCGGCCGAGGTGAGACGCATTGTATACTGTGCTTTGTCAGCGAGACATGCGTTGCAGCGCGCTGAACGAATTGTAGCGAATGTAGGGTGAGGTGAAACCGAGTTTCAATAAATCAAGGTCTGCTCCCCAGCAGTGAGGGTGCGACTTCTACACATCGCAACACCTCGCCAACACGCTCGGACTGCGACAACAGTTCACCAGTTGCAGCCTCGCTCGCACAGTCAACCGTCGCTGATGCTTCTCAGCTCATCATACCCTCATCTGACCAGGACGACACGTCTGTACGTCTGTCAATCGCAGCAAATATTGCGAGCTTCCAAGGCCTGACTTCCTACAACTGCTACTCACAGCGCCACGACTTTTGCGTTTCTCATTCTCATGTAGTGCCGTCCTTCGCCCTCGCCCAAGAGTCTCGTCAGGCGAGTCTTGAAGGGCTACTGCAAGAGGACATCGTTCAGGATGAGAACAAGAGACCACTGACTAGGTATGGCGGACAATACGGACGACTGCAAGACGAGAAGGCTGGCAAGTGGAGTGCGCGCGTATCGACATCCAGATCAGATCTGCAGTCTCAAATGGTACGCAAGACTCCACATACACGGATCTTCAGGCAGGAGCGGAAAGCACTTAACCTACCCGCTCTTTATTCCCCGCAGACTACGCTCTATTTATCACCGAAAGTAGGCAGGAGACGCTGCACACGCTGCTGACAATTGCGAGACATGCTGCACGTCCACCTGTTCGCACCCAGACCTTTGGACCGGCCTACAGTGTCGACGTGGCACTTGGGATTCATCTATCCCAATACCATTGTGGCCTGAGGCCCTGGCTACCCCCTGGCGTGCGCCTGATGGGCAGGCGCCGTGTTGTCAGTGCCGGATGGGTCGATGCCGACAACGACTGCGCGCTGTGCAGAATACACATTAGGTGCGACAAGCAGCTGTTCGAACCATCTCGCCCGTCGGACCGAGCTTGATACGGCCCGGTTTGTGACGACTAGCACGGCAATGAGCGAATGAAAAGAGAGGTGGTGGGCCTCTACGCTAGCAACCACACTGTCGGTACCGTGGTGGCTCCTCTGTGATCGGAGGAGCGCGAGAAAGGCGGCCCTGGACGCAGCCATCAGGTCTGTCCTCGCTCGACAAGAGCACGAAAGGCAGCCCGGCATAGGCGGAAAGCAGGCGATGCATGCTGCTATGCGGCCAGCGACGCTGTGGCCATTATTGGTACATCCGTCTGTCTGTGGGGATTGCGCGAATACTCGTCGAGGGTCGCTGATGGTCGAGTTCACGTCCACCCAGCCCGCGCGGCGAGGGTCGAGCAGACGTCGAATTGAGCAGGCGCTGGCGCGTGTGGGCAGCCCCGCGCCCGAGCAGTTCACCACGGTGGAGCGCTGCGCAACAGGCCCAGCGCTTGCAGGCAACCGCAGCGTGTCGCCCATGAGCTGATGAGCCGGGCTCACGTCCAACCGCTGTGCTGCTGGCTCGAGGGCCGTCGCAAGAGACTTGGTGAATGGCAGGCGCTCGTCTGCGGGTGTGATAGGCCGGGGCAGTGCTAGCTGCATACCGCTGCTGGGATGGGAGCACGACCATTCATGCTTGGCGCGCATTCGAACCCGCCGCGCTGGACAGCAAAATCTCGGTCGGTCGCTCGAGGAGAGCCATGTCTCTTGTCTCTTTGTCCCTTTCGTTTCGATGCCAGCCTTGCGCGGACTGTGTGTAGACTCTGACCGCCACGACTAACGGCCGCTGTTTGTTTACCGCACCGCCCAGCACACGCACCACCGCCCGGTAGCTCCACCCGCCGAGCTGTACCCTAAGCACCCCGAGCACCCCGAGCACCTTGAACGCTGCCTGCTGCCCATTGTCCTCACGCAGCGATCGCCGGCCTCGTCGTCGTGCCCGTTGAGTCTTGACCCTCGCCGCGCCTGAGCCTGAGCCTGCGCCTGCGCCTGCGCCTGTCCCCATTGTCTGCGCCTGTCCCCCGTGCCTGCGCCTGTCCCCCGTGCCTGCGCCTGTCCCCCGTACCTGCACCCGGCCACGGCCAACCCCCCCAATGGCCCTGCTGAAGCGCGACTCTGCTGCCCGCGACGCAAAACCGCGCGACGCCTCCGCCTCCGCCTCCGCCGCCGCCGCCTCGCCCCTGGCCCGCGTCATGCGCGAGTTTGAGCAGCTGGTGCTGGACTTTGAGCGCGGCCTGCAGCGCTCGCTCGAGGACCCCCGCGCCGCCGCGCAGCACGACGCGCGCCACTGGTGCAGCGACGACGTCCGGCGCCAGGCCTGCCGCCTGGCCATCTCCGACCTCAGCGACAGGTACGCCCGCAAGCACATCCGCCGCTCCCTCAATGCCGCCGAGTCTGAGGGCAAGCGCGTCGAGGAGCAGCTGCACGACCTTTCGCTGGCCGCCACCCCGCACCGCGACAACGAGCTCGGCATACACAACGGCTACTTCCGCTTGTATTCGACCGAGCTCTTCGACCTGCTCGGCCAGCCCACCAACCTGCGCCTCGGCACCCTGCGCTTCCACAAGCACGACACAGCGCTCGCCTGCGACGACTCCCAGTCGACTGGCATGGCCGTCGAGCTCGCCCTGAACAATGCCTTCTTCGTCGCCGACTCTGAAGAGACACTGCCCTACCATACCTTCCGCATGCCCACGGCCCCGTCATTACAGAACAGAGGCATTCTCAGCCGAGACCCTGATGACGACGGCGCCTTCCCCGACTTCGACTCATGGCTGCTCTTCACATTCCTCGGAAACGGCTGCATAAAGCTCGAGGTTCCCATCGAGATGTGCGCCCATGTATATGGCGGCCGTCTACGAGGGCGGGAGAACGAGGAAGTCACCTTCTGGGGCTTCTTCGTCGACGACGACATTGATTCATAGCGCGTCTTGGCTTTGCTTGCAACGGAGTTGCGGATTGGACCGTAGACTGGGGTTTGGCTTTGGAGTTGGGCGCTTTGGCACGGCTTGCGAGCCTCGCCGACAAGAGTGGCTGCACATGCACTTACGACTTACGAATTTCCTTGACATCATATCATACCTTGTCTTCTTCAGCTATACGATGCACCATTCATTATTGTGCATTGGTTCGACACACTCTTCACATCCATATTTTGCTCTGCGCTTGGGCGGTATTCTGCACAGCATTGCTTCTTGTCAAAAGGCGGGAAAACAGAGGTAGATGGTAGATAGGTAGGCAGGAACATGCAGCGCGGACGGCAACGGAGTTGTATGTCTCGATGGTGGTAGAGTAAATGAACGAATCAGAGAATCAGAGACGGCGGATCATCTTCGGCAGTCGCACCTCCCATTCAACTTCCCTCACTTCACATAATTTTCCTGCACCTACAAAAAGCCACACAACACACATACACACAACATGGCTTCAGCACTTACCATAGCAGAGCCAGCGTCTATCATGCCCGCTGCACTCGCACCAGCGAAGCTCGGCAATTTTCGCGACGATGGCAATCAGGACTCAGACGCCAGCGACACGGACCAATCAGACGCGAGTGGGCGGAGCCTGTCACCAACGCGGCAAGGTCTCTCCAAGACCAAGAAGAGGAAGGAGCGCAGGCAATTTGGCGCATTCGCAGACGAGTTGGGGGACCTCCTAGGCGCTGCGTTCCAGAACAAGAACGAGCAACAGCCCACTGGTTTGCCCTCGAGCGCACATGCAGGTACGCATTTGACGCACACTGGTGTCGCGATGAAGCCTCCCCAGGGTTTGGAAAGGTATCTGACGTTACGTGCAGCAAACACGACAGCGGATGGCGATCTTGATATGCAGGTTGAGCCTGTCGCGACGGAGCCGAAGATGTGTAAGTACCCATTTCTACTACAGCTCTGGACCTCGCACACCTTGTCCAGTCCTCACACCTGCATAATTCCTGATGTACCGTAGCAAGACGTGCACGCCAGAACATGGAGAGAGCGCAGGCTCGAAGGCTTGCAAAAGAAAAGTCAAAGATGGTTGTGTCAGAACTGCAGACTGTTGCTGCAGAACGGAGAGGCATGACGATCCAGCAGTATCGTGGGCTGAAGCCGGAGGGAGTGAAGAAGAGTAGGAGTGATGCAACGAAGAAGCGAAGATCCAGGCAGGCGAGGGAGAAGCTGAAGAAGAAGGTTGAGCAGGCGAGTGCGATGGAGATTGACTAGCAATGCGACAGTACAGGCTTCATGAAGGTCAACAAGTGAAAGTCTGGCAGTTGCCGCCATCTTAGACGAGCAACTGTTGCATTCTACTTACATCAGCCCAGGCATTTCTTACATTCGCATTGAATACAAGCTAGACGAAAGCTCGGCCTGCACTCGGCTATTCTTTACTGTTCCTAGAAGCTCGACTAAGAAGAGATGGTATCGATCAGAAATGCTCAAAGCACTTCTCAATGAGAACAAATGCTCATGCCACAAGACTGTTTCTACCAGATTTCCAGCAATAAAAATGAACCTCCGTGATCGAGTTCTGTTCTGTAACCATCTTAATCATGATATCTTGTTGCATTTTCTCGTCGACCTTTGCGGTCTTCTCATTGTACCTTAGCCCTTTCTTATCTTGGGCGTAAAATCGTACGTGCGAACGTGATTGGTTGACAGCACTCGAGATCGCATCCAACATACAATTCTGACGGTGCTCAAACAAGATACTGTCCCTGTAGGCTATAAGCTCGGATTTTCTCTCATAATGCTTCTCCCAGGAGACAAACATTGCTTCAAGTTGACGCGCAGGTTGGAAGCGGACTACAAAATTCAACACTGGGCGACCGCCAATCTTCGCTGCCTCCTTCAACATAGACGACATGAAACCGAACTTGTAGTAGCGATGCGCTTTCTCGGTGAAGGCTGCCTTGTACCTGGTGGATCTGGGGACGATCTCAAAGCTTCTGTACTAAGCTCCGGCCAAGTCGACGAACCACGCGGCATCATGCTGCTGGGATCGAATATGTAGGCTTTGCACATGGTACGTGTAGGTCAGGGGCGGCCTGAGTGGACGAGGAAGCCACCCGTTGCTAGCATCTTATTCGCACCTTCCATCCATGCTTGATGCATCGTGCGCTCACGCACAGTGCTGTACCAACCATCATACTCGAGGCCGCCCAACTAATAGGCACTGTGTAATTTCCGTCTGAGACCTGCAGCAACGCTCCCGAGATCGGTCCTCCAATCAAAGCACTGAGGCCGATGACTGTAAATGCCATACCCATTCGCGTGCCAGTCTTTCTGATATCCGGACTGTATGCGCCAATGACAGAAGGGAAAAGTGACTGGAACGCGCCAGCGCTCAGACCGTAGAATACGACCCAGACGTAGTAGCCTGCGATGGAGTCGACGGAGAGCCAAGTCCATAGCATGATGACGTTGAAAACCAGAGCGATGGCCTGCACGTTGAGGACACCGATGAAGCGATCTGCGATGAAGCCGGGGAGTATGCGAGCTGGAAGACCGACGCCATTGACGACAATGACTAGGTTGAGGGACTCGGTGTAGGACATACCGAGCTCGTCACGGGCGTAGGACGCCACGTAGTAGAAGACGCAGTACACTGGTGGCATCATGAAGCACGTGCCTAGCACTTGCAAGCAGTACGGTGCATCTTTGAAAGCAGCCCAGTCAACGAGAGGGCCGGTTTTCCTTGGAGGCAACCGTGGCCGCATGAAAGCAATGCAGAACGTAAGACTGACGACATTCATAAAGCCCAGAACGCGTACTGTCCAACCAAATCCTACCTTCCCGAGCAATTGGCGTCTGTTCATGGTCAGCTTGCGCATGGGCACTCGGTTCTCTCGCACTTACACCACCAACGGATAGAGCACGCCACCCATTGCAGTGCCACTCGTGACCATGCCCAATGCCATTGCCTTCTTCTTCACGAAATACGTAGAGCACACACCCATGATAGGGACGAAGAAGATGCCACTGCCTGCACCAGTGCAAACACCTTGCGTGAGAAGAAGTTCCCAGTAGTTGTGTGCCACACTCATTGTGAAGATTCCAACCAGCTGCACCGCAATGCCTAACGCCACCGTAGGACGAAACCACCCTCTGTCTAGTGCGCGTCCGCTGAAGATTCCTAGTCCGAACACCAGACATGCTTGTACAGAGCCTATCCAGGAGATAGTAGAGACAGGTTGTGGGAGGATCGTTTCGTAGTACGGCTGAAAGGCACCAAAGCTGTTGACAAATCCCCACGAGTTGACGATGGCCAGCCATGCACAGAAGACCTGACTCCACGCGCGAAAGCCTCCATCTGGCGGTGGACCGGGTTCTGCAAGCGAACATGTTGTCAATTGAGAATGTATGCATCCAAGAGCATACGCTGGTCTTGATTGCGTTTTCGTGAGTGACAACTCGATAGGTGCCTCGGTGCTAACTCCTGGTGTTGTGGCGTCGATGTGCGCTTCGGCCTTCTCTCCGTCATGCGTGTAAGTTTCCATGGCCTCAGATTTTGTCGACATTGAAGTCGAAAGGGAGGTGTGTAAGGCTCAATCAGGATGCTTGAGCTCACTGTGGCCAGGTAAGAAGCGACTCAATGCTCTGAATTTTTACGTCGATCCTCAAGAGTCATGAGTGGAAAGCGTGAGTTCTTGGCAAGGATGCGAAGCGGGAGAGGCTGCATCCGCCGGAAGTGGTCAGACATGAGTAGCGTTCAAAGCCCAGCTTCTCATAGAGCGTGGCTGCTACACAATAACGATGACCAACGCATGGATGGTGGGGGTTTCGGTTCAAAAAACCCGTATTGTGGAGGTGTGTCCATGACGTGTGTATATTTTGAAACTATGTCGGACATGATCGGGAATTGGCCGACCAGCAGTGAAAAGAGGCACTAGAATTGGCGAGTCAAGACACGGCCGTTGCAGGCACGCTCTTGACGCGAATGCCCGACAACGCGAATCACGTATTCGGGGCCATGCTGAAGGTGCCCTGTTTTGGGCTGGACTTTGTGCTTGATTGCTGACAGCTTTGGCGTCGCTCAATCTGCTGTCAAACAAGGACTGCATGGTATTTGAGCGGCGCAGCTGGCGTACTTGAGCGCTCGAAAAGCCCCCAACCATGTATGTCTTGAAGTCAAGAACATCGGTCATCCAATCGTCAAGATCAATGCATGCCATAGTGTGGGTGAGCTGTGCAAGCGTGTCTCTGCAAAGATCAGCGCCAGTCCTTGTGCAAGATCAAACTGGGTGGAAAACTTGACTTCCACAGGAAGCTATGAGCGAGGCTGTTGGCTAGGTGCATACCTTGAACCGAAGCGCTGGACCATTTCGAGATCTCGCTCGTGTTGACCTGCGATTATGTAGACCCAACGCTGCTCAGCCTTCTTCCACCAGCGGTTGGGCAGGTATGCCTCCAGCATGTAATACTCATCGCGTTGGTAGGGGAATTCGAGGCTTGGTGGGCCGTGTTTCGACAGGAACGTATCTGCGCCTGAGTCCACATCCGCATCTGCCATGTCGACATGCGTGCGCTTGTTGCCCTTGTTCTTCAAATGCCTCTTTATGGAGCGCACTGTGCTGTCGAGGTGCAGCTCCAGTATGCGGGCATGCCACAGCGAGTCCTTGACAGCTTTCCGCACAATTCGAGCGTTGCGTGCCACGAGCTCATCGTTCCACTCGGCTGTCCTTCCTTGCGGAATTATCGCTATAGGCACGCCATCGTCAAGGTTGGACTGCCAATGCGCAAAGTCCAGCACCAGGCCTAGATTGTTCCACGTGAGGATGCAGGTCAGGCAAGTGCAGAGCTGCTGTGCGTCTGGAGGCTGGATGTGCGTGTAGGGGCGCTTGTGGATGCTGAGCTGCGTCTGACGGCTGGCGTCTGCCATCAGCTTTTGTATTGCGGGCTCGACGTCACTGAGCAGCCGTGGAGTGGGAAAGCACTGCGCAAGAAGCGCGTAACGGCGCGCGATGATGACGTCGCCAACCACGCGAGTGTTGGCGGCGACGAGGGCGTGGAAGCGGCGGCTGGCAAGGCTGAAGCTAAAGACGTCGCGCGGCGTCACGTGCGCGAGGCACTCGAGGAGCAGCTCGGTTGGCAGCTTCGTGAGGTTGGCCATGGCGTCTTTCTTCCTGTCGCGCACCACCTTGCGCCGCTGCATGCGCTCGGTGCGCTTCGACTTTAGAGACAGCGCCGCCGTCGTGTCCTCTAGTGGCTCTTCGCCGTCGCTGTCGCTGATGTGTCGCGGCATCTCTGGTGGTGCATGTGCAAGCGGGCGTTTGTGATTCCAGCTATGTCTCGGCAGTGTGCCGTGAAGCCTGAGGGGGGCAGTAGACGCGGGTGGCGTTGCGGGGCAGCCGCAATGAGGGCTTCCTCTTTGAAGAAACCACAATTCTTCTCTTGTGATTTGTGTCTGGAATGACGTCGAAACACTGTGCTTAATGCTCAACAATGCACGTTTACTTTCTATCTTACAAATCGTAGCTTGGTCTAGCCCACTAAAGGTGCGCCCTTCATGCGTGCAAGCACTCGCCTCAGTCAGTCTGCCTGCGCTTATGATTGGCCCAGCTTGGTCACCTCGGCCAGAATCAGGCCATGACGCCATTCCACTATTACAAAGCAGACCATTGCTCAATGCCTGAGTGCACGTACTTAATCGCGGGCTTCACTAGTTGGAGGCATTAGAAGAGAGCCAGACGCCCCAAAAATGACGACAGCCAACTTCATTCATATCGACACAAACTCCTACACAGGAAAGCCATGGTCGAAGGTTGACGGGCCTGGCCAGAGCTTCGAACACAAGAGCCATTCGCGACCAGTTCACAACCTGCGCGGAAGAGAACACGAATTCAACACCGACAACTCTGGATTCGCCGTCTACGATTATGCTGCAAAGGAGAAGTCCTTCACAGACGACGCCGCCGTAAGGAACGGCTACTACGTGGAAGTTGAGCAGCTGCTCCGCGACAAGATTCCCGGCATCAAGAAGGTCCATATCTTTGATCACACAATTCGTCGGCGAGTCAAGGACTCTGCACGCCAGCCAGTACAGCAGGTCCATGTTGATCAAACCCCAGCAGCAGCCGAAGCCAGAGTTCGCCGACATATTCCCCACGAAGAGGCAGATAAGCTTGTCAAGGGCCGCTACCAAATTATCAACGTATGGAGGCCGATCGAAAGCCCTGCGGCAGACCATCCTCTTGCTGTCATTGATTGGCGAACAACCTCTCCACTGGACTTTATCGCTACCGATCTGATGTACCCTCGACGTGATTCTCAAGACGCTGATGATGATGACCGCGGCAAAGAGGTCCTCCCTGATCCAAGCAAGTACAATTCGGCCGAGGGTTACGAGGTGAAGGGGGAGACCATGGGTGTAGCGCCCAACGACAACCATCGATTTTACTACCAGAAGGACATGACTCCTGACGAGGTCCTACTATTGAAATGCTTCGACTCTTACGGTGAAGGTATGCCCAACGGGAAGAAGGGTATTTCTGTACGCACCCCACACACTGCCTTCGACGACCCTCAGACACCGAAGGATGCTCCAGGCAGGCAGAGTATCGAAGTCAGATGTTTGGTTTTCTACGAGTAATGCAGTATTGTCAGCACTAGATATATCCTAATGCCGATTTCTTCATTTTCATTTCTCGATTTCTTCCATCTGTCTCCTTTGCGCTTCAGACATGGTTGCTCGGGTTTTTCAATCCGTTTCAATGCCCAATGCGACACGTCGTGCTGAGATTGACAAGAGACATTGTGACAACATGTGCCAAAAGCTAACTTGAACATGACTCAAGTCACCCGTATCTCGAAGCACCTGTCTAAACCTTATCTTCCGTGCTGAGATGTGGGGAGCGAGCAGGATGCGCTAAGTTTCGGGAAATACTTCAAGGTTTCGGGTTCTGCACATCCAAACACCCTCACGTCTGGACCATCAACATCCGGGGAGTTTAACACGCACGCGCCACCAAACTGTGCGGCACCACAGCTCAACCGTCCGCGGTCCGCCACACCCTGAAACATTTCTACTCTCACAACTGTCTCCAGAGCGTCGAATGCACGTTCACTCATTCCTGGGATCCTTGACTTATAACTTGGGACTTTATCATCCTCGTCCTGCCCTGTCTGATGACGATCTGTGGTTCTGCTGGCTGAACCATCGCTTCTATGGACGCACTTTTACAGCATGCTCGCGCCACGAAGGCTTAATACCCTGGTACAGGTACCGGATGGCCCATTGATACGCAAAAGGAACGTTACGACAAGCAATCAGCCTAATGAGAAAAGAAGAGAAAGTCTGGTGGGTAGTAATGGGAGGGCAGAAGGGCAGTCAGAGAAGACGCTGAAGGGTGTCGACGAGACAGCAAGCAGCTCGGGACAAGAACAATCGCAGCCCGCACTCGCAACATTGCCCCCGTCCCAAATGCAGTCCTCTCCCAGGACAATATACACGGTGGCTGTCCAAACCAGCCGATCTGCAACTTCGAGGCCAGAAGGAGTCGCAAGAGTCGAGATCGATTCGCTACCAAGACAATATCACAACGATCTTAATATGAAAGTTGTGGTTCCAGCGCTTCCTGGTATCAATCAAGACATGTCGAAGCTGGGCGAGATACCAAAGCCAATGATGCCCGCTGCAGCTGCCAATGCACCGCTGCTGTCAAGTCAGCCTGCAATCACGGAAGATAGACCGCTACCTGGTCAGAACCAGATTATGCCTCCTCCTATATCTGGTCCTCCTGCGCCTGATTATGCCCCGTCTGGACCACCTAGTCCTCCCCGGCCTGGATCTGAAGCGCTGGGGCCTCCTCCACCAGCTGCTGCAGCGCCTCCTCCAGCGCTACCTCCGCCGCCGCCTCCAGCATCGCCAGTAATAACAAGCTCATCGGCCAGTCTCTCGACTACCTCAACGTTGATCACGATAACAGCTTCAATTCCTTCGTCGGCAACAACATTGACGCAGACCCCTACGTCAGCCTCTTCCGGTTCTTTGTCTCCGCCAACGGTCACTTCCTTCGTCACCATTACAAGATCAGAAGAAGGCAAGGAGAACTCTCCACCTACACTAGCACTGTCAAGCATCACCATTGCCACATCAACCGCAACGCCACAAGCCATTGCTGTTGTGCAATCCCTCCCAGTAATCATCTCATCGGCTACTGCCATTGCCGTAGCGTCCTCCACCTCAACGGCTGCAGCCAGCTCTCAGGATGGCAGTATTCTGCATCCAGCTATGCGAACTCTGCTGATCGTGCTCGTCATCCTCGGTAAGTTGTCTACAGCTTTATGATCACATCCACCTACTTACCTCCACCCAGGTGTACTTTCAGTCGTCGTTGCCATCATCGTACTTATGATGATCAGGTCCCACCGGAAACGTCGCGTCCAGCAGCAAAACACACGTAGCCAAAACCCGTCTGATGTTCCGAGCAACTGTATCGGCGTGACGACTCATATCTCCGCGGATCCCAACGACAACCCTTTCTTGACAGCAAGCGAAAAGGCTATTATTGATACAGCTTCTTCAGACGGTGCTTCAGAGAAGAACGTAAAAAATTCATCCAAGTTCTCGGACGCAGTCAACTCGTTCATCGAGAAGTCGCGCAGTCTGACGTACAAAATCTCGCCTTGACACGCGTTCGTGCACGTAGACATCGGTCGGTAAATCTGAGTCGCTGATGAGGAAAGAATTGCATGTAGATACGAACAACTATAGTACATAAGACGTTAGTAATTAAATTGCACTGCGCAAGGGTGCTCTTCGTACCATCGTTTTTGTCTCCACAAACCCCAGCGTAACATGTACACTGGACTGCAAATCATCGACAATATGTATGGAAATTTGAACAATCACCTATTATCACATCGTCAACTAAGTTACAGAATAATATTCTGCAAACCAATGTAAATCTTTGTCCCTTCAATGTTCGCACTTGTCTACCGCCCCCCTTCTTCCCGATCGAACGATCCGTAATAAGCACGCCGAGCCGCTGGACACCCTTGCTTCCACCTCGTTTACAAGACCAACACCACCCTAACTCCACGAAAGTAGCCTGGCGCAGCCTAGTCGCTGCAACTACGTCGCAGGTTTCTAACTTGGTTAGCGAGCGCTAGTGCGGCGTTCGACACCGTAGAGATACTTCCATTTCGGGGGCTTTGGACGCGTTCGGCCTTGCGCTTTCAGCCTCACCGGACCTGAACTGCTCCGATTGCGAAAATGCAACAACTGCTACTGAGGTGGAGAAGGGTGGTAAGCATGTTACTCTGCGCCAATAACAAAGAACGATGCCAACCTGGCTTTCGTCGATAAGACTTAAATAGTAGTAGAACGGAACTTGCGCAACAATTCCATACCGGTATCTAGCGTATCAACGCATTCGCTTTGGTAGCGAGCTCCAACTATCGAATACTAGCATTAATAACACCGAGCTCAAAGCCAACGCGACAGACTCGAAAGCCGTAAATTGCATGCTCGTTTCTTGGTCGATACCCCAGGCGATGAACAACTGCACGATGAGTGGCATAACAAATGGCGCGATCTGAATCGCAATAACCTTAAGGGGACAAGAAGACAAAGTCCATGTCTCCAGAAAAGGTTCAAGGGGACCAGAGCATGTCGTTTGTTTCCTAGCGAAGCAAGTCAAACGGGTGTGGGCTTTTGAGTCATCAACTAGCATCCTTCAAAAGCTTTCGTGGTTGTGCGCTCAACGATGACTTGCCACAGGTAGTCACTGCATGCCAATCGCTGGTCCGCTGATAGTTTTTGGAATGAAGCTCCTAGGCATCATTACTCTTGCACAATGCATCCAGTGATCCTTCCACGATGGGACACGTGGAACAGCACTGCTCTAGAAGGCACAGCAAATCGAGTTTGCCTCTCTCGACTTTTTTTATGAGAATCGATCTGCCTCTCATGACTGATACACAGCTCAGCATAAACGATGCAACAGCATTTACTACCAGCAGTAAGAAAATGGGAGACAACACTGATCACTCAATCTTGCTGTGCGTAGCCGGCAAACTGCCAATCCAATGCACCTACTCTAAAGTGGTTCTTCACTGCAGTTCGACGTGTATGGCTAAGGAGTGGACGAAGCACGAAGACGACTTTGCGAAAGCGCCATCATCGAAAAGGCACTCGCACGTGTAGCCGGCATTGTGCACGACGCTTATTTGCGATTTAGAGAGAATACATGGGGAAGGGTCATGGAGAAGGTCAAAGACAGAAAGGATGCTCTCGCCATGTATAAGGGCGACCCTGCGGCCTCAGAGAACTGGTTCCATGAATACCTTCGATGGTGTCGTTCCCTGTGGTCGACACTCCAAGATGGTAGTTCTGACCTCTTCGTCTTTAGCAGAGCCATGTAGATTTCTACCCAGGCTCTAAGTATATTAAATATTAATGTAATCCACCACCCAACCCGCCAACCGATGCCAATACTAATACTCTCCCTATTATCTTCTTATGCCTTAACAACACAACGCCTTATTACTTGAACACGAAGGGAGAATTTAGCTTGCCCTCTAAGATCTCGAAGTAGAACAGTTCCAAAGCTAAGAGGCTGCTGCGCGCGCTTTCAATGTTGAACACCAGAACCTCTCTATTCGCGCTAGAGGAGTTCTATTTATCCTTAGAAGACTACTAAACAGTTAGAAGCTCACCCTTACTAATGTCAGGCTGGGCATGTGGCGAAGCCACCTCTGACCCGTGACAGGCCGGGCATGTGACAAAGCCACCTCTGACCCATGACACCAAGGCATGTAGCAAGGATACCTCTGACCTGTGTCTTGTAACAATATCAGTACTGTTCCGGCGCAGGCTCACCATCAGTGTGAGCCATGTTACCTTTTGGTTTGCTTGTCTCAGTGGCCGGAGCTGAGGCTTGACAACTTATAACACCTATTGCAGCTGCTTAACATAGGTTGTTTTACCCTAATAAAGAAGGCGTATAGTTGCTAAGCTAAGCTGCTTAGTTATGCGTAATAAGATTACTTAAATTACTAAACTTAAGTTCTTGCTGTTCTTTAAAGGAGCTTTTAATGCCTTAATTACTAAGAGTAATATTTAGGGAGGATTTAGAGGTGCTGGCCTAGTCCCCCTTAATCTACAGGCTGTGATATTAAAGCTTAAAGTGCGCCTATGTACTCTACTACTACTTACTATAGATAAGAGTATATAGCACTCTTAAACCCTAAAGAACACCCTAGAATTTAGGTTGCAATTAAAGCTAATTTAAGAGAGGATTTAGCAACATAGCAATAGCTCTCTAACTTCTATAGTTAATGCCCTTTATCAGCTTACTAAAGGCGTAGAGATAATGGCGCATTTATTAGTTTTAGTGCGTAACTAGGTTGCAGAGCTTCAGGCTGCTAATAAGGCTGCTACATGCTGTAAATTACACAAAAGAAAGTAGATCTAGAGGGAGGGGACTCTTACAGTGAGCAAAGGAGTATGCTTAACGTAGATTATCACCGAGCTGGCCATATCACCAAACCAGCCACTTTCTCTTAGCACAACCACCTTTTACCCTAACACAATATGCCTTAATAACAACAACTTTAGAATACTACTAGAGAAGGTAGAGTTATCCTTGCTATCTAGGCCTTCTATACTAGCTAATTTCGCAGTATCTACAGCGCTGCTAGAGCGTTAAATGTACCTTATTAGCAGGTCTCTAATTACCTTTGCAATATCACGTTTTAACTAGATGTACGCGCTAATTGCTAGAAACTTAGTATACTAGAGGAGTAGACAATTGTCTAGTATATACTTAACCTTAATTTGTAAGGATTTGCGCCCTAGCTATGTAAGGTGGCAGATATAGCTAATAAGATACTTAGTAGTTGTAGTAAAGAGCCTGTTAGTAAACTATAGGCTAGCAGGCTTATAATACATTTAGAAAAGCTTAAAATAGCCTTTAATTAAGCTAAGGATAGACAGAGGATACTACAGGAAGATCCTAAGATAATTAGCGCGTAGTTTAAGCTAGTAGAGGATACTTAAGTTAAGTATAGTGTTTGTAATAATAACATACACAACTTTAATAAAACTAGGTTCTAGATAGGCGTTGCTTTGTCTTTAAAGGTTGTAACAGGCTTAGAGAGACGTGCTTGGCTAGAGCTTGTTTAGCCAGGCGATTGCGAGTGGGTTACTGTTATCTAGAGCATCTGCGCTGCTAGGTATGCAACCCTGCCTTTTATTATCTACAAAGGACGCTGTAACGGTCTAGACTCTTAAGCTAAAGAAGAGCTAGAGCTAGCCGGTTACATTAGCTTAGCCGGCTTGGCTTAAGCTGGATATATATTATCTACGCAGTTAACTAGACGTCTAGTTAACTTGTGCATGCTTTTTAGCAAAAGTTGTTAGGAAGTAGATATCCTTTATTGGCCTTTGGCCAGACTACTACAGACGCGTCTACATCTCTACCTAGTATAAGGAGATAGATATACCCTACAATTAGAAGCTCTTAGTCTCTAAGAATAGTTAGACAAAAATATACTTAGCCTTAAGTAGTTAAAGTACTTTAACACACATATAAAGATGTGTTAGGTAGGAGTGTATAGGTTGCTTATTGTCGGATGTAGGAGCACAGGGCAGATACAAATGAGGCAGAAGGTTGTTGTATTGAGGGAGCTACAGCGAGCAATTATATACACAACCAGATGAGTAAGCAGGTGACTAACACAGTCACGTGAGGTGCAGTTCACAGTGTACCGTATGAACTGAGGTGCCAGGCTGACACTTATCTTAGACAGCTATAAGAGCTATCTTAACTAGGAGTTTAAGGACTATTGCCTAGAGAACTAAATCCTTACTCTCTACATGCTACCTTACTTATTATATATCCTCTAGCTACTTAATATAGTCTATTTCTTGCTATTAAAGCGTAAGTACTCCTAATATATATAAGACTTAGCATGCTAATATATCTTCTATATTAATAAGGAAGGCTTCCTACTAGCCTTTAGGGACATATTCCTTAATATATTTATAAAGGTTAACTACTAAAAGGCCTTTAAGGTATTAGGGCTTATTCCTACTAATATATAGGTAGTGTTAGATTGCCTTAAAGTGCAGCTGCATACCCTACTAGCAGTACCTCTACCTAAAACACTATAGCAATCTAAGACGCTAAGCAATACACACAAGTTTAGGTCTTAATCTAAGCTTATAAGCAACTCCTTCTAATAATTACTAAGTATAGCGCAAGAGGGGTTCTTAAAAGCTTATAAAAGGGGCTAAAGAGATACTGCATAAAAACGTCCTTATTAAGGCCCGCGTGTAAGAGCTTAAAGAGCAATTAGTAGTAATAACTAAGAGAAAATCGCGTAAGAGAAAGAAGATTCAGCATAGTGGCACACTTAAGTATGGCCCAGCAGCATTACAGGTAGCTGCTAAGGCGTGTGTAGTAGCTCAGCTATCTAAGAAGACTTAGGGTAGAGGTGGTTAACTAGGAGCTTAGTTAACAGTTTAGCGCTGTAGGAACTGCAGCAAGACTAGACACAACGCACGAACGTGCTAGGAGGGTATAGAAATATCTTCTAAATCTAATGTAAGTATGCAGTATGCTAGGTCACTGTTTAATAGCAAGTAGTTGTAGTTGTAGTAACTTGTGTTAGTTGTGCTAAGAGAAAATGGCTGGTTCGGTGATATGGCCGGCTCGGTGATAATCTACGTTAACTACTCTAAAGGAGTTTAAAGCCTGTAGTGATGGGAAGAAGGCAAGCAAGAAGAGGCGTGTTAAACCAGGCACTTAGTCTTCACAACGCTGTGGCAGATGTAGTAAGGCAGGGCACAACGCGTGAACGTGCATAAGAGATGCGTAAGATACTGTAGATTAGTGCTGTATACTGCAAGTTACAGTATGTTGTAGCAACTCACTGTAACATGCAAGAGAAGTTGAAGTTTGGTGTGGTCTTGGCAAAATTCGGTCACTCGCCCGGTCTGGCCACTCGCCCCGTGAGGTACGTTATTACAGTCTCTAAGAAAAGCTAGACTACAAGTAAGCCAAAAACGGCCAGTGTGCATGCCTCTGGGCAAGAAGAGTGGAGGGCTTTCTGCTGGAGGAAGATCCAAGAGCTTTGCGATAAACTTGGACTGGTGTTCAGTCCTGCAACACACTCAGAAATCTTCAGCCAGGTCGAATGTCCAGAAGTCTGGGAATATCCATCCGCTCAAGTCCTCACCCGTATCCGCTGAAGTATCGAATGAGTTATGGAGAGTGTCGGCATTCCTGTCTTCGCTGCCACTTATCGACGGGAACGGCATGTCCCTGACCATACTACCGCTGGTAAATGCACCCACCCCCTTTTTTCCAAAGCTTCCAGCTGCTCTGCTCGAAAGAATCGTACCCCTTCGTTCGCTCGCAATACTCGGTTTGCGTACATCACCCGGGCCACTTCTGCTCATGCACTCACTAAGCCCTCCAGCAAGGCTATCCGATGGGATGCGCTGCATTGCAAGAACTCGAAATGCTAGGTTCGTGAAGCGATCGAGTGCGGTCTTGCAGCGCTCGCGAATCTCGTCTTCATTGGCTGTACGGTGCGCGATCGAGGAAATGGGAAGTGAAATAGGGTCTAGAGGGGGAAGCATACCAATTGCCGCACTGAGAAGCCAGTATTCTATGTAACCAGTGCCAAGGCGCATAACTTTGCTTTCGAAAAGCTGGAGAGTACGTTCTAGAATGTCGATGCTGGCTTTGAAAAGAGTGCGAGATAAAGTCTCGCGCGGTAGTACTGCAAGGCAGGCAACTGGACCATGGGGAGCAAAGCTGCCCTTTTGCAAAAAAGGAATATGGGGCCCTTCCATATCTGCGATATGCATGCTCTGATCTGATTGGGTGTGTATCACCGGTATTGATGTAGGCTTTACGCTGTGTCGGACACAGTTGAGGGCGGCGACTTCGGAAAGAGTTATACCGGCACGAATGACATCGTTGCGGAAGTGATTGAGAATGAGGATATCTTGCGACGCCAAATCTTCGTGGATATCGGTTATTAAGCCCGCAGTCTCGACACAAGAGGTGAATGAATACGCAAATCGCTTTTCTGTGTATGCCATCTTCGCATACGGCTTGTGAAGCACGAGCAGGAACTGGAGATGCTGCAGGCCAAGCAATGCCGACGGGATTGTCGCACGCGGGTCTGTCCAAATTGGCACATTGGAGAACGCTGATGAAATTTGGTCATCAAAATGAAGGACATCTGTGTATTGCAGCTGACCCGATGGGTCATTGAGGAGTGTGCTGAGATGGATACGAAGCGGGAGCGATCGTAGTGCAGTGATCAGATACGACGTCGATGTAAAATGCTCCTTCGGCCGAACTGCTGGCATCTCTTTTGTCTCGAGTGAAAATGCTTCGTCCGGTAGATTTCCCGGCGCTGGCGTGTCGAAATATAGATTCGCCAAAGATGATTGTAAACCGCTATCAATCGATGCCTGAATCTCGAGCTCCGCAATGGTATACCACAGGCGCTTCTTCATCTCTTTCTCGTATTCGGAGATATGTCCAGTAGCCAGAAGCGAAGGGTCTCGATGCATTCCAGATGCTAGAGCAAGCCGCATAAGGTCACCCGCAGCCAGCCAGTCGTGCTTCAACATGACACAATTGACCCGCTTTGCAAGCAGCGCCAGACACTGAAGCTGGAAGTAGGGAAGTGTCAAGCGCTTGCGCGACTGTCTGTTGAGCCACATTTCACACGTCTCGATCAGATTAGATGCAGCATCCCGGTCAGATGAGACATCGCCGACGAATACATCATCCTTGACCATTGAGCACTTCGTTGTAGTCACAATCAGTACTAGGATTGTAGCGAACGCGGCGTCTTGCTCATCCCGCCGCTCCCAGAAGCTGTTGTACTCTTGCCAGAACGTTGGTGCGTGAAGGATGCGATAGGTGGTCTCCCAGGTGCGAAAGTACAGGGCGGCTTGGATATCAACCTCATGCTTAGGTGGGAGCAGCGTGAAAATTTCCTCATCAGTACCGTAGGTCCGTGCAATTCTTTCCTTCCTCAAAACCTTTCTCCGGTCACGAAATCCTTTGAAGTCTTTCTTAAAACGGGATATGGTGATGTCCACTGCTAGTGCCTCTTGTGTGAATATTTGTAGGTCTCGGTACTGTGGACATCAGCGATTGCACCAAAGGAAGAGCCGTAAGTTCTGCACTATACCTGTGAGATCATGCTCATCACGCTGGTCGTGCCATGGAACTGTGTCCTGAAGTCTTTCCCTCTGAAAATCATTTCCTCCGTGATCTTAGGTTCGTCGGGAGGCAATGTTCTGAGTTGCGATGGCCTGTTGCTGCTACCATTGGATGTCGCAGCGAGCTTCTTCTCCAATATCTCGAGCCTTCGTTCCTGCATGCGCATCTTCCAGCGCAGTGCATCTGACAAGTCTCCTTTCGTGCAGTTGTCGCTCACTCCACTTTCATGCATGCGGAGCATGGTTTGATTGCCATTTATTGTCAACGGCTGGCCAGGCTGAACCTGCGCTTCCTCGAGCCATCGCGGGTCGTACGAGCATTGCTCAATCCTTCCAGTCTTCTCACATCGTCCACACACTGGGTAGATACGATCGCACTTCATTTTGCGACTGCGACACGAATAACATGACAGCACCTTCCGCTTCTTGCTTGTCCGCTTATCTGCCGTGTCGTCTTGGTCTGCTGAGTTCTCGCGCGACTCAGGCTCAGCGCTGTTCGCCGATACCTCGAGCGCCGACATAATGATTTCTGCACATGACCTTCCGATCCTTGCTGGAATTGTCGACGCTGGTTTGATGTTGTGTTACTGGACAAAGTCAGAGGGCGCGGAAATGGGAAGAGACATACCAAAGCGAGCCGGGGGTAAGTTATCCAGTTTTCGGACTTCGGCTCGGACATTGGGGCCGAGCCGACACTAGCGCCGAACTACCTTGGATCATTGCACCAGCATTGGCTACCTTCTCGGTTCAAATGCAATAGTCAGTAGTCTGTGATGGTTGCCCGAAGCCGGAGAAAGCAGACTCCACCATTTTTGAGTCTACATAGTTGTTGAGTCGGTCAAAAGTCTGTCACTGTCACGACTTACATGCGCGGGCATGCCGACACCTCGTGTCTTGCATTGGCACCGAAGTGTCGGAGAATATCCAGTCATCGAGCAACACACCTGCCTTCAGCTACAGAGAACACTACTTGTCGCATTCTATACCAACACCTTCAATGAATCAGACCTTCTTGAGACCTGAGTCGACTCAAGCCAGCCGAGAGCTTGTCATGACACCGCGTCCCAGAGAACATCGTCTTTTTGCAGATTGATCATCGAAAAGTTCCAATCCATTAGAGGAAGTCAAGGTGGTGTACGTGCAACTTGAAGTCAGAGTCGGGCTCAGAAGGTGGAAAATTATGGCGGAGAATTATTGGAAATGGCATGCGTTCGGAGTTGACCTCATGCGATGGGCCATTTGGTAATGAACATCACTCGTTGCAAGTGGGAGAACGCAGTATTGATTTGAAGCCTGCAATTTTGATAATCAGTCGGCTTGCGCGCCCGGTGTGGAGTGTCGCCGGCCCAGTACTGCCCACAGCGTGGTGACCGTGACGCGGTCGTGGGTATACCCCAAGCCAAGAACGGAGACGTAATTTGTAACCACGTAGCTTAGATCACATAATATCCTATTGTAGCAGGTACTGCCTGGTGGGCAAGTGCGCTTACCTCAGAGCTGAGAGCTCCTGTAACAGAACATCACAACACGACAACAGATAGTAATACACTCGTTGATCACAGTCCCTGACCGACACTACTCACGCAGTTACATAATTGGATAAGGGGATCAAGTTGTGCGCGGGTGTACTTCGCGTTCATATCGTACTTCATCACATGATACATATCTAGCTAAATTCTTCAATGAAGATCTCAACATCTGTGGCTCTTAGTCCCCGCGCAAAGGCAGTATTTGCCTCTGAGACAGCTTTCCTGGCATGTCTCGAGACTACGCTGTTCGCACATACTGCGACTATGGATCTGCTGTGCTGGTCGCTGTTTAGTGCTGATGTGATAATGTAAGAAGTGTCGGGTCGCCTGCCATATGAACACCTGTCAAATATAGGTCGCCCCGGTTTCTGGAGCTTCCCACGCTGATACTGGATAAGAGCGCATTCGCAAGGCTTTTGCTCAAGTTCGTGACGGCCTGGCAGCAGTCGAGAGCGCACTGGCGACGACAGTGGTCGTGACAAATTCAAGGCTGCAGTCTCGTCCACTGTCAATCGCACGCTAGAAAAGGTATTGCTGTGTCGGCGGTCTTCTTGATTGTTCGCTCCGTTGAGTAGCGTGCCGATCTCAGAACTCGCGTAGCCTTCGCCTTCATAGCCTTCCACGGTACCATCTTCACCGCTGTACACAGAGCTAATCTCATTCGCATCTTCGAACGGATCGACCTGCTTCATCTTCATCTCCTCCAGTGCCTCCATCAACGCCCACTGTCTTTCTTCCTCCTCCCACTCGTCGTAGATTTCGTCCGGGTTACGGATAGTGAGGCTTCGATCGCCAGAGCCACATCGCGGTTGATGAGGGCGGAGGTGCGCGAACTGATCGATCTCTGTAGTGCTGGGTTTGAGCTCGGCCTCCACACAAGTGACGTGGAGCTCAGTCTCAATTCGCACACCTGAGTCCTCGAGTATTGTGCCATAACGTTGGCACAACTCTGCAACGGCTGCTTCGAATTGAGGGTCGATGTGTCGTACAATCCATACAAATCGGATGGCCCGAGTCCTAAGCTCTGACACGTTTGATAGGCACAGCTGCTCGAAGTAGTCTAGGATCGACAAAGCGAACGACACGCCAGTCGAAGTAACGACAAGTACAAGAATCTCGTAATCCACCCAGCTCGGAGGATCACCGTAAGGGCCATCGATATAAGCAGTCAGTGATGTCGTAGTGGAAGATAGGGTCGTGTTGGGACATGGGAGCGTCAGCCACTCTGTGTGGAACTCTTTGATTCGCCGAGTCAAACCTGAACGAGCGCGGACCATCAATATGATGTCGCTAGACTGTCTCGAAGATGCCACAGAATTCACTGATCCTCGTCTCTCAAGATCCTCGTTTCTTCTGGGTGGCAGGGGTGGCGGTACTGCTATGCTCGAGCAATTCGCTGGTGTGAACGGATGCATCTCGAATGCACCGAGAGCTGGAGCGTAAAGCCTGATGTGCTGTCCTGGCTGCCACTTCAGTGGTACACTACAGATGCGAATAGTGGTGACAGATTCCTCCATGCCGGTCGAGATGTTGAGATTGTATGGTTCCATCATCTCTACCGGGTAACCTGCGATCAAAATTGCCCGACCCGGGCCCCGTCGGAACTTGTCCAAACGTGATCCAAGCGGCCGTACTGAGATGTTATTCCTAGCGAACAGCGCGAGCGTAGAGATTTTGTCGAAACCCACAAAGCCAAAGGCCATATAAATAGGCGTTGATGCATGCTCTGGCACGTGCTGGATGATCAGCACTAGAAATGCTAACATGCACGTCCAGTGATTGATGTAGAAGGCTCGGTAGCTCCACTTCCTGACTGGTAATATGCTACTGATAGCTATCCAAACGAGTAAGAAGTATGAGCCAATGCCATAGCGAACGACTGTAGTACCCGTGTCTTGAGATAGTAGAATGTCCGCGAGCGAGATCGACGACTTCATAATGACGACATGTGTTGTCGCAGAGACGAAGATCATGCGGCCAGCCCATTTGTGCAGGTATAATACCCTCTCGTACGATATACTGGCCAATATATTCATCAGTCCATTTTTGGTGGAGAGGAAGAGGACTAATGGGATCTGAGTGACTGTGATCCATGCCGCTCTGAATGCTACATCGTCAATGAAGTGTGCTTTAGAGGTTGGAGGATCGACAGATAGCAGCAGGACCATGCCAATGAGCAAGTAAGTGGCAAGTGCAGCAATCTTGCCTGTGGATAGCTCTGTGAAAGTTCGCTGCAACAGCTGTGGGGATGGCTGTACCGCGACGGCATTGATGTGCGCCAATGTCCTTCTCCAGACAGACGGTTTGTCCAGCGCCGAGAGACCAGACCGATTTGTGTGTGATCTGAATGGGTCAGGCTTGCATATTCTCTGCAAATGGAGGAGTCGGTGACATACCTTTGCCCACTCCAAAGCGCGAACAGTTTTCGCCCGAACCTGGACAGCACAAACACTGATATACACGTCCAAACGACCCAAAATATATTTTGATTGGCACTAATTCTGTGCTTGACATGATACTCATAGCGAACATCGTCAAAGTCGTGCTCAGTGACAGACATGGCACAGAATCGGTCGTGAGGACCTGCCAGCAGGACTGCTATTGCTGTTTCCGTATCCTAGTGGATGCACGTGTGTTTCCGAGATGGACGGGGGTCGTAAAGCCGTTCGTGATTAGTATTGAGCTTTGTCTGCCGAACAGGCAGGGTGCCTGCCGATACAAAGAAGACAAAGAAAGTCTGGGACGAGGAGAACGAGTCGAAAAACATGCTCAATGACATTGCGTTAACGGCTTTGGTATAGCAAAACAGTGTTATAGACTATTACTGGACACTGCGTGTCAGCCACCAGGATTTGAGACATGGTGCGCTGGTTGAGGGTGCCTGAAACCGAAGCGTTCGAGGCCTAACTTTGTAACCCCAACGCAACACAGGCTCACACCGCTCGCCGTCCCATTAACGAGAACGAAGCTTCCACTGTATCAGTGATCTATGAGGTAACCTTCACTGTGACTATTGCAATTTGCCGGTTTGCCGGTTTGAAGGTGCCGCACGCGTAGAAGAAGGCGCGAAATTACATGCGCGCCTGAGCAATCATGACGCCATCGCGTTTCAGATCGCTTACTCCTGAAGCCTGCTACCGCAGCCAAGTCACTCTCAACCACAGGAGCAATCGAATTTTTCATGCGGGAATGGTAGGACTAGATCTGAGATGTTGTGGATCATGGAAAGATGGTGGAGAAGGCTTTTCGGCTCCAAGCGCTCGGACCCTACATTTTTTAAACTTTGGGCAGATATTGTTGCGGCAAACGTAGCCACTGTATATCGATGGAAAACTGCGCTGAGTTGCTTGCTATCTAGGAGGCGACCATATATACGTGCCCTGAGACGTGCTATCGTGTTAGGTCAACCAACGCCCGGAGTCAACCAACGCCCGGAGTCAACCAACGCCCGCTATTTACCCGCAAAATCTGCCTTTTTTCTAAGACTTTACTTAAGAATAACTTCTTAATAAAAAGAGATAACGTACTCCACAAGCGAGCTGGCCACCCAAGCGAGCTGGCCACTTTTGCCAAGACCACACCGAACTTCACTCTCCCTGTAATGCCTCAACGCAACAACGTAAAAAAGCCTTCAAATAAAACAGATATACAGCTTGCCCTCTAGGCTATCAAGCAAGACGCAACACTAAGCGTGCAACGCGCTGCAGCAATATACCAGGTCTCTTAAAGCACCCTAGGCACGCGCCTTACTAGAACCTCTTCACAACGCAATGGCAAGCCCAACATAATAAGGATGACTAGTACTAAGGAGGAGGTGATTGTCTAGTATGTATTGAAGCTAGACAAGCGAGGATACTCACCCTGGCTTGCTAATGTGGAGGATATGGCCAATTCTCTGCTTACTGAGCGCCACTAGCCCTACATTGGCAAGAACTAGGCTGCCAACTTTGTGAAATGTTGGCTAGAGCTTAAAGTTAAATTTAATTACAAGTATAACTATAAGAGAGCTCTGTGTGAGGATCCTAAGGTGATAAGGGACTAGTTCTGACTAGTAGAGAATACTAAAGCTAAGTAGTTAGAGGTTATAAAGCTTATAAAGTAGTAACGTACTCTATCACCGAGCCGGTCATATCACCAAACCAGTCACTTAAAATCCCACCAAAAAACACAGAAACCATACCCCTGCATCTCAATAACTACTTAATAGAATCTTCTAAAAACTTCAGAATAGAGCTGCATCTATACTAATAAGACTGTTTAAAAGTCTTAGAGTGCTTAGCCCTATATTGCAGATGTTGTTTAGAAGATACTGAAATACAGGGGTAGCTGCAGGCTATCTCAACATCTATACTAGCTATTAGTCTAAGACTTTTAAATAGTTTTATTAGTATAGATACAGCTCTATTCTGAAGTTTTTAGAAGATTCTATTAAGTAGTTATTGAGATGCAGGGGTATGGTTTCTGTGTTTTTTGGTGGGATTTTAAGTGACTGGTTCAGTGATATGACCGGCTCGGTGATAGAGTACGTTATATCTTCATTAACGTAGATTATCACCAAGCCAGCTATATCACCAAACTAGCTATTTTCTCTTAGCACAACTAACACAAGTTACTACAACTATAACTACTTACTATTAAATAGTGACCTAGTATACTGCGTGCTTATATTAGATTTAGAAGATGTTTCTGCACCCTCCTAGTGTAACGGTCTAGACTCTAAAGCTAAAGATGAGCTAGAGCTAGCCCGTTACATTAGCTTAGCCGGCTTGGCTTAAGCTAGATATATATTATCTACGCAGTTAACTAGACGTCTAGTTAACTTGTGCATGCATTTTAGCAAAAGTTGTTAGGAAGTAGATATCCTTTATTGGCCTTTGGCCAGAGGCCGCCAGACTACTACAGCTTAAACCACGCGCTGATTATCTCAGGATCTTCCTGTAGTATCCTCTGTCTATCCTTGGCTCAATTAAAGGCCATTTTAAGCTCGTCTGAACGCGTCACAAGCCTGCTAGCCTATAGTTTACTAACAGGCTCTTTACCACGCACACTAAGTATCTTATTAGCCATATCTGCCACCTTATATAGCTAGGGCGCAAATCCTTGCAAATTAAGGTTAAGTATATACTAGACAATTATCTACTCCTCTAGTATATTAAGTTTCTAGTAATTAGCGTGTATGTCTAGTTAAAACGTAATATTACAAAGGCAATTAGAGACCTACTAATAGGGTATGTTCAACACTCTAGCAGCGCTGTAGATACTGCAAACTTGGCTAGCATAGAAGGCCTAGATAGCAAGGATAACTCTACCTTCTCTAGTAGTATTCTAAAGTTGTTATTGTTAAGGCATGTTGTGTTAGGGTAAAAGGTAGTTGTGCCAAGAGAAAGTGGCTGGTTTGGTGATATAGCCGGCTCTGTGATAATCTACGTTATTAGGAGTCTCTTTATATCTCTTTTTATTAAAAAATTATTCTTAAATTACGTCCTAGAAAAAAGACAGATTTTGCGGGTAAATAGCGGGCGTTAGTTGCCTCCGGGCGTTGGTTGACCTAACACGGGTACGTAGTCCAAGGTAATCAACAAAGATGACGATCAAGACCTGTCGGACCGACTTGCACCGCAACAGATATTAACACCACAATACCAGCAGCACGCCGAAGGAAGACTCAAGGAAGTTTTGGACGTATCTCGCAGCGTATAGGGTAATTTCTGGCCACTTGTGGATATTTAGCAGTATAGCTTCGAGTGCTTCGAGGCAAGAATGTATCATCTTGTCATGTATTGCTACGAGCCTGGTGGTCTTCAGGGCTTGACACTCTGCCCATTGTACGTTCGCGTACCTTGCTTCCGCCTCCATTCCTGGCCGCCACCTCCTAGCCCACATACTAGCCGTTCCTTTACTTATCGGGATACTCCTCGATTGGGAAGAGCAACTCGTACAAGTCCCTGACCTTCTTGCACCCGAAGTTGTCCGAGTCCAAAGAACCTTTGACGATGCTGTCCCATTCCGGGTGTTTCTCTGTGAAAGATTAACTGAGCCATTCAGTTCAATCAAGGAGCGGAGTACGCTCACCCCAACGAACGGGCTGGCAATCGCGATGGTCACTGCCGGCGCAGTTGTGGCGTCCAGAAACTATGACGTGATGGTGTAGGCGGCACCGATCAAAGTGGTGCTCGCGGAAGTACTTCTCGTCGAAGGTGGGGCGACCACAGGTGCTGGACGGCGGTCAGTAGGAAACTCAGGACTGCAAGATCGGACCAGCTACCCTCGAGTGCAAAGCTATCGTTCGTATGGGAGATGCTTGGCTAGATGTTATCATAACGAACTATTGCTTGTTTGCCAATAGTCTCTGTACGGGCAGACTCATGCAGACACTGCAGCTTTATCGAAGAATGTCCATCAACTAAGTCACAGCTTCGCTACACCCAGATTCTAGGTTTACTGTGGCCTTGGGGAGTTTGACAAATGTTGCGGTGCAAGTCTGTCCTATAGGCCTTGATCGTCACCTCTGTTGACTACCTTGGACTAGCCCTTCTCAGGGCATGTATATGTAGTCGTCTCCTTGCTGGCAAGCAACTCAGCGCAGTTTTCTATAGATACATACAGCGGCTGCGTCTGCCGCGACAACAAACCCTAGGGCGTGGCACGTCTGACATTGCAAAAGCATCACAATATCTCCATACTTTCGCACGTTTGGCTGTCTTTCGGTACGAGTATTTTTCATTGCTTCCATGATAGTGTACCCCTAAATTCACAGCTTCGATGCGCTGCTGATGGCTACTTCGTATTTGCCATATTTGGGTATCATTGCGCAGCAAGTGAGCGAAGCAACTAAGCTAGCAATTAATTGGGACTTAGCGATAGCAATGGCGATAGCAATAAGGAGCTAGAGCAGGGGGCGGGGGAGGTGGTGGGGGAAGGAGACCGCGCAGTCGCGCATTTTCGACCTGGAGACTGTTGACCTGTAACTCTAGGGCGTCGTTCTCGTCCATAAGACAACCCTTCCTATTCTAAGCAGACTGTGAGATGGTGGGTTGGGGCAACATGCCGAACGAGGTTGATTTGTATAGAAGAATAGATTCAAGGAGAGGTTGCGGAAACGAAGTAGGGATAAATTGAACTTATAAGGACACGGCTGCAAACACCGCCGAGCTGTCTTCACTGCACAATCAAGACAGCCCCGCAGAGCCTCTGGTTGTTTTCGAGCTTGAGAACACGGTGAAAGCCGGTTCAAGTACTTCGGAAGGTTTGTGCACAAACATAGCTTCGATCAGGTGGGCAGGGTCTAGAAGAACCGGCACGAATGGAGGATTGGCGGATGGTGACATCTTGCAAATATTGGTGGTGATGGCGTGATAGCTGTGAGGCTTTGGGAGAGTTTGATACCAGTTGGATGTTGAAGAACGTGCCAGAGAATTGAAAGTCGAGTAGCAGCTTGTGTAGGTGATAGAAACCAGGATCAAGCCCATCCTATACGTTACAGTGTCTCAGCCGGCCTCAGTCACCGTCGTCTTGCGCAAAAATAATGGGCAAGCATCGGCGCCTGAACATGCGCCGGATAGTTGGCTTATCGTGTAATTTGAGAACGGCTTCCTCGCAGATATGAGTTACTCGACTCCTACCTTATCTCGCACTTCTTCTTTACATGCATGACGGTGTAGAGGTGCCGAATATTTCCCATTGTTCTGCGGTTTGCCGCCCTCTGCGATTTTCAGATCAACGTCCCCCCTCAACAAAGTGTCGTGCTGGCCAAAATTTGCGAGGAACTTGCATGTGGAGGGGGATACATCTCATTCGCTTCAACTCGCTCTCTGTGCTCCTGTGATAATTTTGTGGTCAATTGATTGCAGTCTCACCATCTATTCTATCGTGATCGTTCGACCGCGTCTACTGAGTGTGTTCGTGTTGCACATACAACTGTTCCCTGGGTTGATCGTTTTTAAAACTCCTGAGGTCCTGCTTATCCCTCAATGAAGCTGTCGTGTGTTCTTTCAATCTCTCGAAAAGATACTACGGCGTTAAGATTCGGTAGGCTGTCACTTTGTCCACGCAAAAGCTGTGGCCTAGAGCGAATGCAGCTGTGTCACCCCAGGTATAATGAGTGTCTTGATAGTGAAAGCTGTCCTAAGGAGCACGAGGTTCAGATGCACTTTACATTTTAGGTCCTAGAATCTCTTCGTCTCTGTGTTTCTTTGGTCAGGTCAATGCTGGAAATCGAACATACTGTGCGCAGCCTCGCTTTTGCGCCTCCGCCCACTGCTATGTTCTGGGCCACCGCGCTTCTAGATCACAGCAAAGATCGTGATATTACAAGAAAAGTCCTCCATCACCTCGCTTGCATCACTGCTGGCCCCACGAGCGTCAGTGGAACGGTAAGACAAGACATAAGCTTTCTCCCTTTTTGGGAGTCGACCCAATGGAGCCAGACGCGTTAGGTAAGCCCGCTGAGCATCATTGAACACACGCAACGCGACTGATGTTGCTGGAAGAACTGAACTTCTTGTCCAACGATGGAGGCCCTCATGCCGTCATCGAAGCGCAGCGCCCCCAGCAGGACGAGCCCGAGAGCAATGAAGATCAAGGGACCGTCATGGTATCGAATTTGAGTACAAAGAAGCGTCGCCACCAGAAAACTATTATACTTGGGCCTTAGATACGCTCATTATCGAAAGCGACCCATACTGCGAAAAGAGTTATGAGCGTTGCATGGTCTTCGTATCGGACTCAGTCCCCGTAGACCTACAATACAAGGCGCTTGACCAGAGCTTTTCCAAGAAGAACACTGAGGTCGAGTTCTTCAGCGCAGTTGACAAGGCATATGAGTGGAGTTGTACAGGGAGAGGTGTCACCGGCGCGACCGTTGAGACCTTCAAGGATGGCAGGATATCGCGACATTTCGTGTTGAAGATAGGTCCGCCGAACAGTCCCAATGGCGATGCTCTCCGCGTTGCCAAACGACTCAAGGCACTGGTTGAGCACTTCTTCTTCACCACAAGTCCCATCTGACCATCGAAACCACCACTCTCTTCCACAGACTGGGCAACCAATCGTACTTTGAGAATTACATTGAGCAGATCCGGGCAGTGATCGATAACGAGAGGATTAGAGACCGCTTGACTGTTCACCTTGATTCCGAGTCCGCTCAGCAATACCTCGACTGCGATCCCGACCATTTTCATCCACCGAGCACCGACCATGACGCAATTTGGCACACGAAGGCCAAAGGTTTCGAGCTTGTCTGGTCTTTTGTGAATCGCAACCAGATAGACGCCATGCCTGAGGGCTGGATTCTCTCGGGCGATCATGTTGCGAAGGGGAAACAACAGTGGCTCCATCGTCAGAAGCTGAGCGAAGCCGACAAGAAGAGATATTTCCATTGAGCGATCGAGAAGGTGCAGGAATTTGTCCGGTTTGTGCGCCAACCAGATGATGGAGCACCAGGTTCGCAACCACCAGCGTCACATGCAGCAGGCAAATGTGCACAAATGGCAGCGGTTGTACCAACAACAGCAAATATCCTCTAGCTGCACCCATGCTGTCATCATCTGAATCAGCAGCCTGGTTAAGTGCGAGTGTCATGAGGTTGGCGACCACCTCCTCGCCGGGCAAGCGCAAAGGTGACGAGAAGAACGACGAGTATGTGTGGAAGCGCCCGAGGCAGTAGAGTATACAATTGTCGAAAGACGAGGGATAGAGACTGGTAGACTCAATACAAGATGATTCAAATCAGACCACATTCAAGGATTCTTTGCATTTACCCCCTCGAGACCAAGCACCTCTTTCAAAGCCATGTTCGACCGTAAGAACATGACACTTGCGAAGATGAAGTGATTGATACCTGTCATCAGCAGTGCGCTTGTTGCACGATCAGGTTTGAGGACGACGGTACCGAGAGCGAGCGCTGACCAGACCGCGTTCATGACGACGAGAGCTGGCATTGACTGTCTGTCTTTACTTGCTCGGACATGTCCCAGACCTACAGCAATCACCTAAAGGTGTCAGCTGTGTACACGAAACAGACTTAGGGTACCTGCCATTATGGCGACGGCATGTTGGGAGCTTATCTCGCCTTCAGCTGTGGGATGCGGATTTGGCAGTCGTAGTCCAGAGACTTTTTTGAGGAACTTTGCAACCGCGCTGTGGTATATGATCTCCGGCTTTGTTAGAAGTATGACGCCAGTCGCTGCATCCGCAATGCCTTTCCAATATGTGAGTGTAGTCATCGTTGCAGATGCTTCGAGTCGATTTCAGGACGCTGTAGGGGCCGGGGCTCTGGGCAAAGGTTTCACTGTGCTCGCAGCTCGTTTGAGGGCACTTGATCAGGTGAGACAGAAGCTACATCAGATGAATCATGCGCACGGTCGAGGGAGTACAGTAATGTTGTGTAAACGTAATTATTACACAAGGACGAGGGCGGATGCAGGCAGCCTCGTGGGTGACGGGCGCGATGAACAGCTATTTATGCTCATGTGTTGCGGGGCCAGACGCATACCTTTGCAGACTCACAAACGCTACTGAGCGATGAGATGGATAGCGATGTCTCAGCCTCGGGCGCAAATCGGCCTCGAAGTGATCGTTGTGATGAAATCGTGGGATCGTATGGAGTCTGATGAGGCCTGCCCCTTCCCCGCGACGCGCCCGGCGGCGCTTTTCCCCTTCTGGCGATGCCGTTCTCCAGGAAAACCAACTCGGTCCTCGCTCGTACCTCGTCGACATCCGTCGATTCAGTACTGTCACGCATGCCAGCTCACCGTCATGTCTGTCTTTCCGTCGTACGTCATCGCTGAGTATGCAGTTTTGAGACTAATGAACCGCATTGCCGAATTTCAGCGGCCGCTGCAATGCTCCTGTGCCGTGTGAGATCGAACAGGCATTTCCCCGCAATATGCGCATTGGCGACGACGGATGAGAGCGCGCGGCGACCTCGAGACATTATGGGCACCGCCGCAACCCTGGGTCGGCTGTTGACAGCTCTTGATCTTTGAGAGCGCTGTGGCGCGCACACGACCTCTTCCTACCTTACTTTGTGCCCCTTCACGCCGCGTCTGATAAGCAATCTCAAAATAGCCAACCACAAGAAAGACGCCGTGACGCAGCAAGACTCGAGCCCTCAAACGCTGCAAGAGCTCAAACATACCGACACGATCGACACAATCCACATAAGAGGCTCTTCGAGTGCTCGCTTAGTATGCTGGAGACCTAGATTGGACTCTGGAGGAGGAGAAATATTGCTTCGCCGACTCGACCGGAAATTGACCTCGCTCCTTGTCATTAAATACGGCTTGCAGTATTACGACAAAGCAATACTCTCGCAAGCTGCGCTCTTCGGTCTTCTGGAGGATCTGAAACTCACTGCAGGCAATGGGTACTGAGAGCACTCCCATCAGCACAAATACACGCAAGGAGAGTTATCCACTCGCGATTGCCATCTTGTAGCATTTTATTTATCTCTCCTGCCTCATAGCACTACCTGCTGAACACACGCTTTATCTTTGACAGTACACTAATTAGGAAGCCCTTCTCATCCATATTGTACATGTTCTGTAGTTTGATATTATACCTAGCAAATTTACGGTGGAGGAGCTCGAACTAAGCGTTATATTTGACTGCTGAGTTGGCCTCCTGGCGAAGAGCGTCCTTGCCAGAAGTCTATTAACAGGGGAGGTGGACGTGGTGTTGGTTGATAAAGCGGTCTGCCCAGCACTTTCCCACGTACTTTTTAGCTATTTCTGCAGCGAAATCTCAAATCATCTCTCTTATAGGAGGTAGGCCGCGCTGACAGAGCTTGTCAATATACGCAACAAGTGCTTGCTTGCCTTTGTTCTGCATAGCCCGCCTCGCGTGACGCGCATACCCCACAGTGTTGTCGTGAAAACGTTGAACAAGAGCAATCATAATTGCGAGCGATCTTGGTGTAGTTGATCTTTTCTCCAGGCTTCAAAGATGCCGTGAATCCAAGGGCGTCTGCTAATTCTGTCATTTGGCGGAGTTGTTCGATATATGGTGTGGGTGCTAGAATGTTGATTTTCGCACGAAATCGTGCACGTCCTCGGCTCGTGCACGGGCCGATGAAACACTGTACGAAGTAGTAGATAGCGTCCCAAATAAATGGCAGATGCCCACATCCAAGCCGTGCCCTCCGTGACATATATGATCTTGTAGAGTGAACGGATACGTCGGCAGTTGCATACTATATCACATGGCATGAGTTGTAAGATATCTCCCGACCCGTGCGCAGGTTTGGCACTTGTGGAGTGTCAGCGGTTTTTCCAGCGATCTTCGGCGCTTCGGCACTTGGACCGCCTGAGACACGCTACGTTGAGAACTTGCCGGAACAAAGCTCAGTCTTCTATGGAATTTGACATGAAATGCTCCATATGGCAGGAAGTCCAGAATGGCGTTCGGATGGAAATCGAAAGTTTCAGTACATTAATCTCACGTTCGAGTAATGAAACGAAGTATTTCTTTCTGTATGTCACCGAGTTAAGAAAGGACATCCACGTTATCGGTGCGAGTCCGACTGACATTTAACACATTCAATATTGTGAAGTTGGCATTCAGTGATGTGGTACTTCAACAGGTGTAACGATCACATACAAGCAGACGTAAAGATCTTCATATGGGGTAATATAGGCGAATACCATAGGAAGAAGTTTTTGCCACGTGCTCATGCCCCGTTCGTCGTGGTTACTCCTATCTCTTGGTCTTGAAAGCGCGGCGCCTTCTGCCTAGGCCTTTACGGGATCCCGGATCATGACCGTGTTCATGTCTTTACCCTTGCCTCCATACTTGGTCAGGTCAAAACTCTGCTCATATCGTGGCGTAAATCCGCACCTAGCATACAACGGCCGGCCCATGACTGAGGACTCCAAGAAGCACGGCAGTTGCGCAGCGTCAGCCTGTGCAGTGCCCCAACAGATGAGCTTAGCACCAGCCCCGCGTCGATGGTGTTCTGGGTCGGTAATCAAGATATGCAAGACTGGAGCAGTGTCAATAGATGTTGTGCACTGAGAGGATCGTGTGGCGCCTACAGTAGAAGGGCTTGGTGCCCATGAACTCTTTCCTAACCCTGTTCAGATACCAGATGAAGTCGATCATTGCCTGCTTTCCATCTTCGTCTGCGCCTGGCACAGGCAGCATGGACTGTATCTCCTGCTCCTTGCGCTCCTTTTGGTTGATGCGCCACTTTGCACCGGCAATCATCTGGCCATCACGCTCGGTGTCGACGACCTTGAGATATGTGATATCATCCTCTTCGCGGAACGACTTGAGGTGCTTGTCGACTGACTTGTTGATGTACTCTTCTGAAGGTGGATGTTCGACCATGAATTGGGTCATGCCGCCGCCAGTCCCGAATGCCGCAATCTGGATTCGGACAAACTCCGGGATGTCCAACTCGGTACATGGATGGAGCTCGAGGACCATGTTGATGTTGTTGCAAAGGCTTAGTTAGTTGAGGATCGAGTCCGTATTGTGGATGTTCCTGAATTTTAAGGAAACGAGGCTGATGCCTAGTCTGCACCTTCCTTCATTGGCATGGATCATCCGGCTGTGAGGCGAACAACGCCCTTTCACGACATGCCATGACTCAACATCATCCTACTTCTTACCCAACGCCCTTCTGCACTCATCAGCATTGCGCGATACACTTAATGTTTGACAGCGCTCTTGTTGCAGGGCCTTCCAAGCGGGGCACGGCCCTGACGTCGTTGCCCCTCTACCGGTATTGCGGCATTGCCTTGCACTGCGCCTGGACCGGACAAGCCATCACCAGCCATTACCAAACAACATTGCAAGCATTGAATGCTATGAAGGATCGCGAGCGACAAAAGATGGAAATGTGGCGCAAGCTGTTAGAGTTGAAGAATCGACTTTGCCCTTCGAGAATATTACATTTCCTGATCGGACCGATCCCACGACTGTGACGTTTGAACAAGCTCACCCAGTCAGCGGCTGATCAATGCAAGGCCGTTGCTCAACGGTCAAGGCAAGGAGATCCTCAAATCATGCGCGTGGAACGCCTCGCCCTCATCGATGAAACGTATCATGGTTCGGTGCAACTCAAAACGATCTACTGAAACAAGTCACAGAAGGGCGACACCCATCAACAGAACTCATTCATCGAGACTGATGGTAGAGGCACGGCTTTAAGCAATAAGTTCGCACGCATTCTTGACATTCCCAGGTATACTTGCGAAGGCGCTCGCAGCTGCTTCTGTTTGTATCTCAATCGACGACATCCAGGAATACCAGGTCTCAGTCCGTTTTGTCGATCCTGCTCGCCTTAACCCGACGTTCGAGCTCGTATCGCGGCTATCGTGTTGCACACCGCATCGAAACATTGTGCCAAGCCCCTCGTAAGTCTTTAGACTGCCGAAGGAGCTGCCTCAGATCAGTCTGGAGACGCCGAATGTGCGGCCGCGCTACCTCGGTACACGATCGCTACCAGAAGAATGTAAAATCTCCATGAAAACCAGCACATCTTGTCTCAGGTATGCCGGAACGAGCTTTCCGCAAGTATCAGATGCAGCCCTATTTGGTAGCTGGGCCTAGGGCTGTACCAATCCTGTTGAGGAGGAGCTTGTTCCCGCATGGAACAGCTCGGGGGATGTCAGCTGGGCGTCGAAACTTCAGACGGCATGTGCTATTATTGCGGGATCATGCATGACGTTTGATGGCACTTCGGAGACATCCATCATCGAAACATGACAGATCTGTGTATGGCCGGCCACCTCCTTCGTTTGGCTTGCAAGCTTGACATCGGTCGTTCACACAATCGTCACTTATGCCGCTCTTTTAAATACGTTGCAGAGTACCCAGATCAAAATTCAGAGCATCTTCACCTTCACTTCTTCCACGCCCACTTTCCCCGGACTGGCTCCTGCATCCTCTACTTTACATCTTCTAATCTTTTATTTTCCAATCATCAACATGAAGTCTTTCGCGAACCTCCTCATCCTCGCTCCCATCGCATCTGCGGCCCTCACGTCCTCGACCCAAAGCGATGTCACCAACGGCAGCGGCTGCAAGGCCATGACCGTACTCTTCGCTCGCGGCACAACCGAGATCGGAAATATGGGCACCGTTGCCGGACCGCCTTTTGTATCTGCCATTGGCAAGATGATGGGTGGTGCACAGAACCTGGCTGTCCAGGGTATCCAGTATCCTGCCGACGTCCCCGGATTCTTGGCTGGTGGCGATGCCAGAGGTAGCATGTTGATGGCGAAGATGGTCGGCCAGGTCATGACTGCCTGCCCAAATACCGCGCTTGTCATGGCAGGCTACTCGTTCGTACCACTCCCTGAACATGGGCACGTCAGAGGCTAACGATTCGCAGTCAGGGTGGACAACTCGTCCACAATGCAGCGTCTATGCTGACCGCAGACCAGTCTGCGTTTGTCAAGAGTGCAGTCATCTTTGGTGACCCGAACAATGGCGATGCTGTCGGTAAAGTCGGTGCTGCCAGTACCAAGGTCATCTGCCACACCGGTGACTTGATCTGTGCTGGCCAGAGTGTCATCCTTGCTCCTCATCTGACATATGGTCGCGACGCCAACACTGCTGCTGCATTTGTCATGTCGACTGCAGGTACTGCTGCAAAACGCTCCACTGCCGCTTCCGCCAAGCTTGTAGTCGGCAAGGTTGCTAACAGCTTCTCTGGTTGAGCAGGAAGTCATACCACGGAAGCATGCAGAACTGGGAAATGATGTATATATGTAGTGAAAATGCTGAAACTCAGCTCTGATACTCTTTGGTCTCTATAATTTCCATAAATTGTCTTTCACGCTGAACATGTCCAATGATGAAGAAGGCTGCTGGCTGCACGATTGCACTAATCTGGATCAAGTTAGCTTGCTCATGCGAGCTGATGTATCTTACCTCGCCTTCCAAGAACCTCTCTTCTTCGCCGGTCAACATCATGAGGACCTCAAATCTTATCAAAAAGTTCTTCAAGCGAGAAGAATGTCAGAGCCACCAGCGCCTCCATTGCCATCTCATCCTCCCCTCCACTCTCGCCCGTGATGGGTATGAGTCTCCAAGCCTCTCTACCACAGACGTCATCACAACTCCTCTCCCTTCCCGGCGAAATCCGCAATAAGATCTACGCCTTCGTCATCTACCCTCTCTCTCCAGTGTCACTCTGCACCGCGCACCTGAAAGAGTGTTATCTCTCCCAATCTTCGCCATCTGCCATCAAATGCGGTCCGAAGCCATTTCGAAGCTTTGCTCGAGCAAAAGCTCCTCTCTCTCTGGTCTTTGGGCTACTAATACGTTCCCGGAGATGATAGGTGGCGGCGTGAGCGATCTGTGTCACACCACGATACGCTGCGAGACAGATTGGAGGAGTGAGAGCGAGGCGATGACGGTCGAGAGGGTGAGGCTCCTAGAACATCTCCAGCTTGCGACTTCGCTCCTGTCTTTGCAATTCATTGTTGGAGACCTGCCGCTAACGTACCAAGACGAATCGCACCTCAGGAATGCGTCGTCGCTGGGAGCACAGTTCCTTTTCGCGGTCAGAAGTGTCGTCGATCACGGGAGGGCATGGGCTGATGAGGGACGTGTGATGAAGGAGAGATTTCTCACGCTCTGCGACCAGATTGGCACATTGCAGGCTGTCCGCTTTCTGAAGGTGGCGCTGAAGAAAGAGCGCGAAGAGCACGCTGCGAAGGTATTTCGGCTTTGCAAAGTGGCCAGTCTGGAGGGAAATTTTGGGGGTGTGATGCTGCCGCTCAGGATACCGGGGCATCTGAGGAAGACGGAGATCAATCCCATGAGGACTTGCTACGATGGCAGAAACGAGGATGTTTACGCTAGCTGAAAACCTTCACGATTATGTACAATAGTTACGACTATGTACAATAGTTACGACTTCGGCACCATCAATCGGTCGATATCCGCTGCATATTCGCCATTTACACCGACGAATATGATCTCGTTGGTCCCCTGTTTCAGGTTCACATTCAACACACTGCTTCCGGGGTCTCCATCTCCATGAGGCAGGAAAGAAATCCTTTGCGTCTTGCCGCCCACCATGACATCTGCGATTCGCTGGCTCCGGTCACCATTCAAGTGTTTCACCCTGATGCTCGTCCTAGTCGCTGTATCACTTTGTATGTTGCTGAAAACCACTGTACCCTTGTCGGAACCACCGATGTAGCCAGCCGCCTTCCCGCCCGAGCAACTTGTGCAGTCGATGGTGCGCGCATTGTTGCTCAGTGTCGCAGCCTCGCCTTCATACTGGTTCTCCGATGGTCCCGCGCTCGATACGCCAGTGCTGGGGTTCAAGATCCAATTGACGCTATTCTTCAGTGTCGCGGTAGTGCCAGAGATAGTGAGCGGAAGCCAGACATAGGTGCTGCGCATGAGGTTGTCGCTCACCCAGCGATCGCCCATATAGACGAAGTTATCGCCGACAGGTAGGACGAAGGTGGTCTGGCTGGCGTAGGTGTTCGATCCACTATCAGCGAACTTATTCCAGCCAGACCATGGCCCTGAGAGCGAGGTCGCAGTTGCGTAGTAGTTGTCGTTGGGGTTCCAGCCCGTAAGCTGCGAAGCGAACATGAAGTAGACACCATTCTTTTTGATTACGGCGGGAGCCTCGTACTTCTCGGCGAACGTGTAGACGTTGGAGGTCACGGCGAGGTAGTCATTCGACAGCGCGTCAATACGAAGGCCGTTTTCGCGCTGGGGGTGTCAGTCACTCAGTCTTCGTTCATTCTTCAGGTTACTCAGGCTTACATCTTCAGTCAAGAGGTATGCCTTATCATCAGTATCGACGAAGACACCCGAGTCGCGACTCTGATGCCCAAGAGGCTGCTCGCTGCGCAGATATGTGTACTTGCCACATACAGAGTCGCCAGTCGCGACACCGATTTTAGCTTCCTTGTAGTCACTGCTGTCAATGTGCATCCACATGACATACTTCTGAGTCGACTTGTTGTAGATGATCTTCGGGCGTTCGATGACACGATTCGGCCCTGTGTCACCCGACGCGGTCTGCGAAAGCAACGCACCCTCGTAGTTCCATTCTACGAGGTTGGTCGAGGAGTAGCAGTTGACGTTGATGAACGAAGTACCGTTGGTCTTGTCTTCGCCAACCCTGAAAGGCGCATTAGCCGTTATCCATATCAAACCCACTGGTGTCGTACATACCAGTACCACTTGTCGCCAACTTTCAGTACACCACCGCCGTGTGCTTGGATGTGCTGGCCTGTGTTCGTCTGATTGATGCATTAGCCAGCTCTGAGCAACAAATTTTACTGTACTGACCGCGGTCCAGGTTGCTCCCGGCACAATCTGCAAAGAAGCAGTCGCCACCGATGAGAGTAGGGCGAGTGCAGAGATGATAGTTGAGCGCATGTTGCGAGGTTCTGCCGATTTCCTAGCTCGATATGTTCAGGCAGAAAGAGGGCTGCTGGGCGTCTTCCAAACTTAAGTCTGAAGCTGATCTAACCGGCGGGCAATTGCATTCCGGGCTCTTCTACTTAGTCTACACCTCTCGTAACGGAAACGAAGCTTGTCGTGTCACGAGGACGATGGTATGGTGAGCGCCATGGACAGTTTATTAGTTCGGCACAGGTAACGGAGCGAATTGCGGGCAGCTTTAGTGCCTGGCAGCGGCGTTGCTTGATCGGGGCTTCGCGTTGTGTTTAATGGCATTCTGCCGATGCCCGGTGTTGCCATATCATTACTGTTTCAAGTAAACATATCGATCGATCGCGTGGTGTGGAGCTCGTATAGGGCAGCGACATTAATGAGGCAATCCTTCCGCCTACATGCCGCTCATCACGGCGAAGCCTTGGAAACGTACAGTGTGATTGCGATGGAAAGTGTGTTCATAGTCATGGTTTCATTATTGATCTTCAACAATCGGGCTAGACTGTACCTAAGCTTTGCCATAACGAAGAGCACTGGCATGCGCGGCTTAATCGTGCTCTGGCTACCTTTGGCGTCCATGACTTCTTAGGCATGACTCTCATGGACTATGTTATCTTTTTACTGCTGCCATCAACCAATACTGCTTCCAGGAAGCCAGCAAGCTTGCTACATGTGATAGGCTCTCAGAGTAGGCTCTATGTCGTCACAGCAAGGTGTTGCTTTGGTAGTAAGCTGGAGGGTGTCGTTTCTTGCGTTTGTGAGCGCTGATCAGACGAGGAGACCTGCCCTGTTTGGAGTTGCTTCTAAGTCGGCTCGGAGTTGCTTCTAAGTCGGCTCGGAGTTGCTTCAAAGTCGGGGGATCATATGCTGAGGGCTCCTGTCGCAGTCTCGCTTTCCTCTGACGGCGCTCCACGCAATCGTGGGTGACGGAGGAAGCAACGAGGCAAGCTGCTGCCGCAAGCCCCACCTTCTCCTGACCATGCTCCGGAGCAATATCCACCAGCAAAAACCGCTCTACTGTCTTCCCAAGGCACTGAGCTATTTTCCCGAGGTTGTTGTTGAGCTCCGTAAGTGTTGCCGAGCTCTTGCAGATGCGTCGTGGTGCTGCTGCAGGGGTGCTGCCGTTGAAGGTACCGGCGAGGCCGGTCGCCAAACTCAACACCAAGAGCGTCATCACCAAATCTCCCGCCCCAGCCTCGCCCCTACCACCCCACTGCCGTCAACTCTATCCTGAGCGTTTGCTGCTCTCAAGTCATCAAGATGGCCTTCTTCATCCTCAGCAGGCTGCTCCTTGTCTAAATATAGCCTCGTGGCATGGTAGCCCTGTCCCCTCTTCGTTGCGCGTTCAGGGTCCCTCGCGCCCTCAAAGCGACCGCTCCACACCTCGAGCGCACTCCCACTTCACTATGGATTATTCTTGACCTCCCAGCAAGCTCTGAAAAAACTCTTGCGACCTCGGACAAGCTCGATGCCCATGCTACAGCCCATGAGAGAACGGCACGGACCTCCAGGCAGCTGCAGCCAACGTAATGCCACTTTGACAGCCCTGGCACTCGAACGAGTGGCATTGAGGGCGCCATGGTATGTATCCGTAACTGTTTCAAGCATCGTAATGGCTTTGCGCAGCTTTGCTGACATGTAGAGGAAGCAGCATCGAGCCATCCGCAGAACCCCCTCGTCCGCCATGCCTCAGGTACCGCTCGGCGGTCGTACACGTAAACTCAGATCCGCATCTCCGATACGAGTATCAAAGCAGCGTTCTCGAAAGAAAGCGCACGCGTAGTAAAGCCTGATAGACACCTTTACAGACAAGTCAATGCCCGCCAGCGATGAATACATCTTGAGCATACTGGTGAGGGCGACAGATCGCCTGAGCTGCTGGAAGGCTAAGCGAATGCGCTGTACCGGATATTGAGCGAGCTATCCATGATTATCGTTGCCGCGATACGCACCAGTGTGTCGAGACCGCATGACCCGCATACCTTGCCATGTCGATGTCCAGGTCCCAGACCATCCCAGTAAAGCAGCCATGGTGTTCCACAGCGGCAGGGAGTATCCATCTCTTTTCGTTCTTGACCATCGACATGTGTTCTCGACCTCGTCATATTAACATCCATCTCTTTCATTTCCACCATCTCAGCAAGCATCGCCCTCGTCGCTGTCTTGCATCGCTCAATTTCCTCACCACTTCCATGTCTCTCATCAATCAGACCTCATCAACTCGACATCTCTCACGTCATCTTCAATCTCTCAGAATATTGACTCAGCTCAGCGTTCGACCTCACACTCTCTTCACAATTCACCCCAACATCCTGTCTCATTGTCTCCTTGCATTCAGAAAGGTAACATGGCGATGGCTGTCAACCATCAACCTCTGCTGAAAAGGCCTCTGTCATGAAAGGTCTTCCTTGAGGTACAGCGCGCTTAGATGAGCAATCTGTGCCGGCGACTGGGGAGGCTCGGATCCGGCACGTCCGGTGTGGGCACGTTTCTTAGTTTGATGATTGGTTCCTTGACACGTCGGCTAGTAGGCGGCATTGAGCGAGAATCTGGTGCTGGATTATCGACGAGGTTGCTGAGGTCGACTGCAGCTGATGTCGACATGGCTTTTGTAAGCTGTGACAGAGTCGTCAATGCTCCTGATTGATAAGAACGAAGATCGACGACCATATGCTGGATCTTGTGCTCGGACAGCCTTTGGGTCTGCACAATCTTCTTCATCGAACACATCCCTGTCACAGTACATGCTCGATACTGGCGCTGCAGCTGCCTTCGACCCAGGGCTATGCCTACCTATCGACTTGTTCCGACTGGCTCGATGCCCTGAGAGCAAATTACAAGCATTCTTGGCGATGCTAGCACAGCAAAAATTGCTCAGGTACGTTTCCTTCGAGATCTATGATGCATTAAACATGCCCATAACTAGGTGAGCACGCCTGGTGACGCTTGGTGGCCTTCCAATGGGCCAGCATGTAGATCGCCATCACCATCTTGATTAAGCAATCTCGGTCATCCTGTGACTTGTCAGCTTCCCAGCATGAGACATGTATTCGGCACTCAATCCGTCACCTTGAACATAATCTGCTCCCCTTTCCCGTCCCTTCCCCGAATGTTACTGGAATTTGCCATGCGAAACCTCTTTCATATCAATTTTCGCGAGTATCGTCTTTCTGCTGTCATTCTCTCGCTTTCTTTCGTAGTGTCAGTCACATCCCCCATTGTTCCACATCACATCATCACTCTGTTCATCAATACTTTTCCGTGCTGCGTGTAACTTCTATGCGCAAGGGTTGTGTACACTCCGTGGCCCTATCATTTTCGAAGCGGCAGGACCCACGCTCAAGGTCAGCAACGATATCGATGCCTCGGTCGGTGAGTTGACGTTGATTGTTGCACCGCTGAACGTCTGGGGTTGCACCTCCCGCGAGCGGGCGAGCTCATCGACCGGTTGCGTAGCCTTGGACGAGCGACCCCGAGGGTACAGGCCACAGGTATCTGCCGCAGACTCGTAAGGACATGACAATTCTCCCAGCCTTTGATCTAAAGACGATCAGAGTCGCACTGCGAGTCGCACTTCGACATGCCCCCAGGCCTTGATGCGCTGCTCGTTTTTACGACTTGCCGGCGAAATGTGAGGGTTTTCCACTGGTGCTGACAAGTCGACCGAACTCAAGCAAAATGTCGGTCTTTGGGCTTTGAAGCATCGTCTGCGGCCAGTCCATGAAAGGGGGTAGTGATCTCAACTCTCGATTGCGGCGAAATGCAGGAGGACCCCTGTTGCTGAACAGCCTTGCTACAGCTGTGAGGCGCACCAGGCGGACAGTAATCTCAGGAGACTGAAGCACAAACGGAAATTCCGTACGTCGAGGGCGGCGCAAAGGGACCGAAGGTGGAGTCGTTCACGATTTGGCGCAAATCTTAGTCGATGGCGGATGTGCAAGGATACGGGCTGACGGTTGCCCTGCTATCTTCAGGATAGATCTCATGGCTGGACGAACTTACGCTGTGGTTTAGTTCGTCGACCTGATGTTCTGGATTTGCCGTTATGGCGCGCATAGGCTCACGTCTGATGGGGAAGGCGCGATCGTACCAATGGCGCAGATGTGCACGATCGCGGTTGCTCATGCTGCATCGTGGCATTTCTATCTCCGCCCTCTCATTTTTCCATTCTCGTATGTTATTACCCAGCTTGTCTCCGATGGTCGATTCGGACGATTGTGCGGTGGGATACGCGTTCGGGGATTTGATTCGACCAGATCCATCCTCAGTTATTTTGATCCAGCAAAGCAAAGCTCGATGCTGATCTCCCTCCCAATTATCGGTATCACTTGTTGCAGCAGACGTAGCCGCTGTATGTATCCATGGAAAACTGCGCTGAGTTGCTTGCTAGCTAGGAGGCGATCATATATACATGCCCTGAGATGTGCTAGTCCAAGGTAGTCAACAGAGGTGACGATCAAGGCCTATAGGACCGACTTGCCCTGCAATATCACCGTTGTTTCGATCGTTCGTTATATCGCGGAGTCCGTTGTTCGGCGTTCGCGGGGACGGAGAAGGGCGAGGCGTTGTGGATCGAAACACCGCTCCATCGGGGTGGGGCGGTGATCGTGTAACCTGCACTTCAAGTCAGCCAGTCAACTTCAACATAAAGCTCATGCCTGCGATCACAATTCTGTTCTCGTGAGTAATTTAGCTGCAAAGACGGTGTGCACACCACACTTTGTCGCCCTCTCTTTGACACCTTGCCCCGGAGCGCGTGTTGTCTCCTGGGCAAGCATTGTGCGCACCTGGGGAAGATGAGGAAGTGAGAGCTAGGAGACTATACAGTAGGTTGCTAAGAGATCTGAGGGCGCACTTGAACCTGTACATCATCACGGTGTCTTTTGTTGCAGCGGCGGCGGCGAAGTTGAATGCGGAGTCGAGTGCAAGCTCGGGAGAGTGCAGTCGAGATGAGCAACACCAGCACTCGCATTGACGAGCTCAATTATTGATCAAGGGTTCAAACAAGTGGCAATTGCTTGGTGGCACAAGTCGTATTTGGGGTGGTGTTGTTGTTCAGTGAAGCTCTGCATGCACCAGATGGTCTACCAACACCGCGGCAGCCTATCGACGACCTCAAATGCTGCAAGTTAGCAATCTCATCTGATTCTCAGCATACGAGGCTCTTATTGCGCTGAAATTCTGCCGGATCGAGTACAACATACGCTCTGCGATTGTCGCGGTCATACGCTCAAACTCTATGAAGGGAAATATGTGAGAGGTGCGCTCAGCACGAAGCTGGCGCAAGGAAGCATGTCAATACACTATATCTATGGAAGAGCCCCCAGTTCCTTCTCGCTTCAGGAAAGCCGCCCAGAAGTCCGACGTTCTGCAACCGAGGAGGTCGTCAACGCCGCAAAGGTCATCATCGTCACCGTTGTCGTCCATCCAGAGGCAAGTCGAGGCCCCAAAACCAAACGCCAGAGATTCCAGTCCCAATGCCATTACCTATATTTCCCTTAAGGCCAGGCACCGTCACGAACAGACTTAGTCGCTTAACACGCATTGTGTAAAGGGTCCTCCTTCAGGTCTGAAAGTTAAACTTCCGGTTAAGATCACCTTTCTCCCCACTTGTTCTTCTTCCCCTTCTTGTTCCCACGAATAACCTCGGGGTCTTCGTCGTCAGAGTCGTGCAGCAGCCCATCCTTCGCAGGGCGGTACTTCTGCTTGTTGCCGCTGTACTTGGCAAACATGAGGGCATCCTTGTGTTGCTGGTCGTCAGCCTCGAGCCGGCTCATCTTGATCTCGAGATCGCGTCGAAGGTACGACCCGTACTCTTTTGCTTGGCTCGCGGCAATAGGAACCTCCTGCTCCTGGATAGCCTCCTCATGGCGGCGACCTCTGTCTCCCATCTCCATCAGCCACGTCCGGTCTGCTTGGACACGCTGGGCGTGCTCGGCAGCGGCGGCAGCGGTGATAGCGCGGCGGCGGGTGTCGTAGAGGTAGAAGTGCAGGTATACTTGCCGTTCCTGCTCTTGCTGTGGCTGCTGCTGCTGCTTGGCGAAGAATCGATACACTAGTGGGAGCAGTGCCCGGCGAGCGACAGCACGGACAATGAAGACTATGAAGAAGGCCGAGAGGAAGAGCCCCAGGACTATGGTGAGGCGGCGAAGTTGGCGAAGGAGAAAGGCATGTTGTAGTCTCGAAATAAGGAGACGAGGAGACGAGAAGCGAGAGGAGAAGATTTGAAGGGGCTCAGAGTTGGCTAAGAGAAGGAGAAGCTTTGCTCTTTGATGAAGGTAAAATGTGATGTGTAGTTGCAGTGAGAGTGATAGGAACAGG